TTTTCCCCTTCTCTTTACATTCTTCAGTGCTCTTAAAGTTTCCTCCCAGGGTTTAGCCTTTGGATAATTTCTCCCTGTTTCGGTTTCTGATCGACAGCGCTTGACAGGGAGACTACTCTTTTCGGAATATAACATTCGTTCCATCCCCGGATTCCTCGTGCGCAAAACTGTCGGTCCACGATTTACTTTTTACTGTTCGATATACAGTTTTTCACTTAACTCATCAACCGACGGGTGATTGCTAGCTCCCCCGGCCACTATGCGCACCGAGGCGTGATCGATCTGCTCGTTATCCGCCCACCGATCACCCTCCCTCCTTGATTACACTAGACCTCGAAATGCACCTTTGGGGTCTATTGGCCCTCACCGGTGCGATCTGGTCAGCGCGGACCGAGGCGTCCTCCGGTTCGTTGACGGGCAGCGCGGAACAGCACTACGGCAAGGTCGTCAATCAAGACGACCCGGACCCCTTGTGGGACAAGTACGGCTTAAACAAATCCGAGGAGTTCAAGTATTTCCATGAACCGGGCCACGATGACATCCTCGGCCACTATGATTCCCGCTACTTTACCGAACCCGTGGCGGACGAGGAACGTCCGCAGACGATGACCTATATGGTGCGCGCATACTTGAACTTTTTCGAGGAAAATGGATTAGAGACGTGGATCGCTCATGGGACGTTGCTGGGATGGTGGTGGAACGGCAAGGTACTGCTCGTGTTGCCAGTGCGTTTATGATATGTCGCTAATTGGGTGCGCTTGCTTTTCTCTTCTAGGTGATGCCATGGGACTGGGATATGGATACTCAAGTACCGGATACCACCTTGCGTCAGCTTGCCGACCGCTATAACCAGACGGTCGTCCAGTACGCGACTAAAAATGCCGACATACAACGGCATTATCTCCTCGACATTAACCCCTGGGCTCGTCAACGTGAAAATGGCATGGGATTGAATATCATCGATGCGCGATGGATAGACATGCAAACGGGGCTCTATATCGATATAACCGGGTTGAGTAAAGCAAACCCGGAGAAGCCGAACCTGTGGATGGATAAGCATGAGCACCAGTACCGGACAGACGATATCTACCCCCTCCGGAAGGCCATCTTCGAAGGGGTTGCGGCCAAAGTACCCTTTGACTACGAGGCGATCCTGATCGAGGAATATGGGGAGACTGCCTTGACCAGCACGCATTTCCATAAGTGAGTTTTTCTGGCCTTCCCATCATAAGGTAGTGCTAATCGCAAGCAGCCATACGTGGATTCCCGAGTCGGAGGAATGGATCCCCGATGATCAAGTGGCCGATGCCATCGACGACGATAAACAATACGAGTAGCGTGATTGCTCTAGTGACGTAACCGGCTAGATGACCGATCTGGACATTGGATGTGGTCATACACCATCATATATCTCCCGACATATATACGTCTTGCGTTTTGATATAGCTTCGGAGTTTCTGGGAACAGGTATCCTCATTGGGTGGCGTACGGAGAGTCTTATTTATTGCATTTGTTGCATCTATTTCAAGCATACATCGGTGTCGATTCGGCCTGTATATTTAAATAACATTCTTGCTACTGAATTAGCTTTGCTTTTGACCATGCGCCTTGTGTAACGCAGAACCTTGGATTCGGAACCAAATGGTGGTACGGGATTCACACGGGGGTAAAACAATTAAAAAAAAAATCGAAAATTATATTGATAACCCTTGAAAGAGACTAACCAAAGTTTTTACCATGCTAATGATCATTTGATGACGATGAGCAGTGCCCACGGTGATTTAGTGAGGGGACGAGGAAAACCGATGGGGTATTCGGACATGATGATCGGCAATTAAGTTTGGTTGATCGCTGTTGTCGATCCGTCAGGGGGGAGAAACCCGGCCTGAGGCCGCCATCTGAGCTATCTCCACGTGAACCGATAGCTTCATTGTTTTATCTTCACCTGATAGCCGTCGATATAACTTGAAGAGTTTATCTTAAAATCATCCAATCAGAACCACGACCTGTGATTATAGGCGATGAAAACTTTCTCTCAAACAGTCGTCGTGCAGTGGGAAATACGCTGACGCTCTCCACGGATGTCTCCCCGTTCTCGTGCGTTTCCGACTTCGCCTCCACGTCCATCAGTCCGCTGGGGTGTTTGAGCGACCACTTGACTGTTTTCATCGTTGGATTCATCGCCATGACTTGCCATTTTGGAGAGACATTGTGCTCATCATTTGCGTCTTCTTGGCGCCGAAGATCCCGTGCCACCGTTCCTGGGATGCTTAGCACAGTGCCAAGGCAGACAGCCCCCGTCAACTGAAGGCTGGGATGAGGTTGACCCAGGCTGAAGGGCAGTGTTACACTATCAGCCTCATCAATGCAACCTTCTGCACCTACCTCGCGTCGACCTGGATACAAAAGGGCGACTTTAGGGGTGCCTCTAACCCTGCTATGCTGTAGTCGCCGTCCTCGGAAAACTTACCGTCCGAGATGACGTGAACGGTCTCTACCAGGATTTGCTGAGTGTTGGGTGTTAAACACTGTGGTGTCCACCTGCGGGTTTAACAATGGTGTCAGAATGTGAGCTAAATATTGTAGAAGGCAAGCTTGCCATTCTTTGCGCCTGTATTGTTGGTTTCACGAGCTATTCATCTAGAACAAACGGTCCTACCCGGACGCCGTGTTTCCACACTTCCCTGTCGTGTCAACTTGGGCTTGATCCGGGGCAATCTGAATAAAGGTATAGTCGACGCCCACCCCGGGTATTGCAGACTTGCGAATTATTGCCACCTTAGAAGTGGTTGATGTCGCGCCTCCGACTCTACTGAGTTGCCTCTTGTCGGTTTCCGCCGAACCTAGAGCAGAGTGTAGAATTGGTGCCCAAAGGTCTCTGGATGAAGGGAGGCCATGCTCATGAATAAAAAGTCCTTTCCAAGTACCCGCCCTCATCCAGACGGCTGGAATACCCGTTCGGGTTGAATTAGAGGCGCGAGAGACGACATGCTCGTTGATTCCCGGCATCGAATCGGACCTAGATGAGTATTTGTGGCTAGGCCACTGCCGATGAACACTTAATGCCTTTGTGTCTCTTGCGTCTTTGAACTGAAACGAACAAAGAGGTCCGTAATCTTGTGAGCGGGACAGTTATGTTTGAAGGTATTATATTGTGCCGTGAAACAACATATGCTTTTTCGTCCATCCTCTGGGTAATGATGTCGCACGGGAATACCGCCCCAAAAATACCCTAAGGTATACATCGTATCCACGCAACCATTTTGCTCCGCGGGAAGATCTGGCCCGCGGGATATAACTCGCCGTGTGATTTCTTTCAACGTCACACCCCAGACAGCCAATAAATAAGGCTCCTAGCTGAATATGTCACTCCTGTCGCGTTTAGAGGAAGCACCTCCGTTCCTCTTAAATAATCACTTGCTCCTCGCCATGGTATGAGAACGAATTCTACAACTGAATCAAACGCCAGCTTCAACCATGCGGAATTTGCTCAAAAGACAGTCGGGTGGTTCTGGTTCTGGTACCGCTGGGAAGATGATCACTTTACGGGTGTATTTCCTGGCCATCGTCACCTCAATGGGGGCGTTCCTATTCGGATATGACATGGCCTTTATCGGCACATCGATCGAGTTGCATTCCTTTAAGAAGTCAGCAGCCTCTAAACAGACATCGCTCCATGGGTTCTGGCGACCCTAACAATCTATAGGGACTTCGGGCTGGAGCACGCTTCCAGATCTGTCGAGGATGTTTTTGCAGCCAATATTGTATCTCTCCTACAAGCGGGCTGCTTCTTCGGATCTCTCGTCTCTGCCCCACTGAGTGATCGTTTTGGACGTAAACTTTCTCTCGGGCTGGCGGGCTTAATATTCTGCGTTGGGTCAACTATGCAGGTTGTATCGTTGGGAAGGGAGGATGTGATGTTTGCGGGAAGATTTGTTTCTGGTCTTGTAAGTTGTCCATGGCTTGGACTGGAAGCTAGACAGCCGACAACTCAAACAGGTATAAATGAATCGGCTATATTGACTGCAATACAGGCTGTCGGCGCCGCAAGTATGCTCGTTCCCTTGTACATGGCCGAGTGCTCTCCACCTCAAATTCGGGGGCGTCTGGTCGGTATATTCGAGATTGGAGTTCAGGTGGGAATGTGCGTAGGGTTCTGGATTAACTACGCTGTCGATGAAACTATGCTACGGTCAACTTCCCAATGGCTGACGCCATTCGCCATTCAATTTGTTCCTGGAGGCCTTCTGATAATTGGACTTCTTTTCCTTCCCGAATCTCCGAGATGGACTGCAAGGGCTCGGGGACAGAGGCTCGCAAGGCAAACCCTTTCGTACTTGCGGGGACTCCCCGAAACCCATCCCTCTGTGGAGTCAGAACTCAATGATATCATTGCCCAGCTCGAGGACGAAAGGGCAAATAAACCTGGAAAGGGACTCTGGGTCGAGATCAAAGAGCTAGCCCAACCTGGTATCAGAGAAAGACTCTTCCTGGGTTTTATGATTATGGTTTTCTATCAAATGGCTGGTTCCAACGCCATCAACCATTATTCTCCTCGGATATTCCGATCGATCGGTATGACGGGCAGTAATGTGACTTTAATTCCAATGGGTCTCTATGGAGTAGTCCGACTGGTCGCTGTTTGCATCGCCATGTATTGGACAGTCGATTGCTTCGGGCGGACGCGAATGCTGATCTTGGGGAGTGCTCTGATGGTAAGTCTGCTGCCTCATGACCGGTCCTAACTCGCGGATTATATCTAGTTGGTTTCTGACAAGCTATAACAAAGGCCGTTTGCATGTGGTTTATAGGGGCCTTCGTTAAACTTCATGCTACCACCAACCACGCCGACGATACAGGGCCCATCAGCGCCGGATCCTATGCCGCCGCAGTGTTTATCTTTGTTTATGCCGTCGGCTTCTGTTTCAGCTGGGCCGGTGTACCATGGATCATCTGCTCTGAAATCTATCCGTTGCGCGTGCGAAGTCTTTGTGTGGCCATCTGCACGGCTACCCATTGGCTTTTAAACTTCGTCATTGCCCGCAGCACCCCCTATATGATTCGGAATATCAAGTACGGAACATATATCTTCTTTGCCAGTTTTTTGACGCTTGCGATCCCGTTTGTGTGGTTAATGGTGCCGGAGACGAAGGGACTGAAGCTTGAAGAAGTGGATGATGTGTTTAGACATCGAACCTTCTGGGGAAGACAGAGACATCAGTTATCTGGAGGGCATCATGCTTATCCTCCTTCTGTGGACGCCGAAAGGGCCGAGACTGAAAGGGTTGAAGATGCCAGGAGCGCTGGATTCAATGAGGTTGAGAGAATTGATACTTTAAAGAGGTATTGGCTTAACACCTTGCCAGACTGAGCCCTGGTCGTCACCATCTTTTGTTCTCATTTGCGGTTTTAGTGAATTGTCATGTGGACCTTGATGCCTCTTAAGTATTCCTTGGCGGTGGTTTTGGTATACTGGGTGTTTACACTAGTTTCGACCGGGGAATATGACAAAAGCAGTAGCTTTTCTATGTGCACGACGGCCACCAGACGAGTTCTATAGGTTATGGACTTATGCTACACGCCCCGTAAGAACTCAATGCTATAGTGACTCATAAGGTGTTGTCTAGGCATGCTTCCATTGACACTGGTCAAGCTTCTCTGGAGTCACTGGTTTCCTTATTCTGTAGATACTGATAGTGAACATCCCGTGGCTCTTATGACCAACCTGTCTAGAAAAACCTTCACCACCAACCCCTTATCCTTCACATAGTATGGTCACTATGGTGAAAGTCTAATGCCCACCATCAGATCATAGTACATCACATGATATCCCGCGGCAACTCCTGATACCAACGGCTATTCCGGTCATATACTTGCCGGTACGAAATACAGACATCAGTGGCGGAGAGCAACTCGTCGGCGAAGAGCGTTTCAGACCTGCGAATTCTGCCGTTGAAGGAAGGCTAACAGTGGACTCTGATGACCAGATACAGAACGGAACGTCTTTAATAATTCTTAGCTGAAATGCGACAGTCAGGGACCGATTTGCGCGACCTATCGATCATATGGCAGGGATTGTGTTTATACTACGCTTCCTGGAAAGCTTAGGTAACTTGTATAGAGCTTTTTTATCACCAATAGTCTGTGCTGGTTGCTGATATGGATTATAATTTCTGGATAGACTATCCGATTATCGACTCCAGCTGGAAGGAGAGAGAAGTCACCTCTGACAACGACTACAAGTTGAGAAATGAGAACCCTTGCAGTAAGCTATGTGACCTCGTTGGATCTTATGGGCATGGGTAGCCCCCCCCCCCCCCCCCCCCCCAACAAGTGCAAATTTATTAGCCACTCACCCCACAATCGAAGACACTGGTCAAGTAATCATACATTCAACAGTGTCTCTGATCTTAATTTGCCACAAAGGAGACTTCAGCTACCATGGTCGCACCAGTGCCCTTTTTTGACGATACTGCAATGAAAGAGTGGGTTCTCTAGAGCCCCGTGACTAATCTGAAGATGTCCGTCGAGTAGATTAACAAGGGACTGATGAGAGAAGCTGCGTATCAACATAAGTGATACTCCATTTTGCGCGAATAGCTCATTTTAAATGAGTACAGGCTAAACGGAGACCCAGAAATTCCCCTAAAAGAAACTGGATTTCGACGAAGAAGACCTAGAGCTGGGTGTGCATCTTCTGTCATTGAACTGGAATCGCCCACGCCGTTCCTTCCCCATCACCTACCGTCCCGCATTTATGCGAGACATAGCCTGTGGCAGACCATATTGTTTCAAGTTACTGTCAAATGCCATGTATTTCGGGGCCTCCCAGTCCAGTCCCATCCTGGGAGTCCGTCGAGATCCCAAAGGTGTGCGCACGGCAGGTTGGCGCTACCAAGAAGTTGCTTGGCATGTCGGTCTACGGACCTGTCTGTCCGTGTGGAATGAGAACCAAGAGACATATTGGGCCATCTGGCGTGCTAAGAACGTCATTATCTACTTGATGAAGCGGATGGGTGTTTCTCTCGATAGGAATCATAGCACTCTCGAAGGGGCCAACAGCCGTAGGAGTTCCGGCAGACAAGGGCCCCTTTGACAGTCTGCACACACCATCAATACCCGCAACAATCGTCCCTGGCGTCAGCCGTAGAGACGCAATCGAAATGGGACAGTTTGCGTTAGCTGACCCCGACACCATGGAGCTCGATATGTACATGATCGTCCAAAGCTTTATCACGCAGGGGAATTACGGGATGGTCATCTCAGATACATGGTCCCCTCCCATTGTAACTGCGTCAGGGGCCGAAAAGCCGCGGCCTATCAGGTTGGGGACCCCTCTGGGGCTTCCATCCAACCATCGGCATTGTGGTGGGGTCGCGTCGTTTCACAATATGTTGTTCGGGTTTGATGGATCCGGACAGGACCTGTCAAGGATAAAGATGAATCAGGAGGGAAAGTTCGATTTTCCGCTGATAGAGATGACGACATTGGTTGCACAATCTGTAAGTAAGTACAGACAATGCACCATCATGGACCGGTATTAGTCGCATACGGGGGGGCATGTAGAAATTATTGCTACTGGATAACAAACAATTCTCTGGCTGTGTCCCTCGGGGCGCAGCAGTGGAGAATCAAGTGGCGGTGACTGTGTTTGTGGTCCCGGGCTCCATCTTTCTCCGACAAGATTTCCCCCTTTTGGGTCAAGTGTGGCGTCATATCCTATATTTACTTTTGGCGATACTCCATGTTGACTGGATCCCCCATTTTTGGGCCTGGGTCGGGAGGGAGGGCTTCTCATGCTACTAATTTGTCGTCCCGGAAGTAAGCAAGGGTTTCCACGGGACAGTCAACATCTTCATGAGGGTGTACAGTGTAATAATAGTACACAGTATCGAGGTAGAATTCCGATCCCTTTAGGTCCACGCAATCTGTGGCGTGAGGGAATAACCAATAACTGCCGCAAAAGCCGAAACCACCAGTGGAACTTGGGCAAGACTTGTCCAATGGCACATTGAGAGCATCGCCTAGACCGGCTGACAAAGCTTAGCGAAGCTTAGCCTCTGAAGTGGGGTCAAGACTAGTAATACTACTAGTACAGTGTACATACTATTAGTGCACTACTATGATTAATCTTTCATAACAATAACACCCCCGAAGAGGGGCAGATTAAGTCTCACCCATCATTTATAAATCCCTCCTCCACCCCTCCCCCTCTTCCCCCCCTTTTCTTCTTCATCTCATCACTATCTCTTCTGTAACTACATCATCACACATCATCACACATCATTCACAATGGGTTGGTTCGGTAAGTTTTCCTGGCCCTCGACTTTCTTAACCGTATTTTCTCTTGCCCATACTGACTAAAAGTCTCAGACAACGACAGTGAGCAGGCTCAGCACTACGAGCAGTTCAACAACTATGACGGCAGCGAGGAGCACAAGGCCAAGTTCAGCCATGAGCTCATTGCCGGTGCCGCCTCCTTCGAGGCCATGAGGGCCTACAACGACCATTGTGAAAAGAACGGTATGTTGGAATTCATTTGCGTTTCTCTTTCCCCTATTCCACCCCTCTTCATATCGATTTCCGAACATACACTAACAAAAGATCGAAACAGGCCAGCCCCAGAGCCACGAGACCGCCAAGGAGCTCCTGGCCGGTTTCGCCGGTGCCTTCATCGACCGCGAGTTCGAGTCCAAGGGTCTTGACTTCATCGACAAGGAGAAGGCCAAGTACCACGCCAATCAGCAGCTCGAGGAAGCCTCCCGCAGGGACTTCTACTAAGCGCCTCCGCTCGTGGGATCCAGCTATGACTGTGTTTTTATCCTAGCTCTGTTGATAGATACCAATTTGAATACCAATGTATCGCGTGACATCCCTCTTTTTTTTATTTTTATTTTTTTTATACCTATCCCGTCCGATCAGGAAATATAAGAAAGACTCGAGAGGATCTAGATAAAATGCACCTCATCCCGATCAATCTGCCCATCCCGCACCAGTTCATCCAACCGATCCTTTGTCCGCTTCGCTACGGCCCGGCCATACTCTGGTCCAACTGGAATTGACGACGGTGTTTTGCCAGGATCGATCTTGAGCCAGGCAACCGGTTTGGCATCCGGACCCTGACTGGCCGCGCGGATCTCCTGTAAATCAGTCTGGGTATATCCGCCACCCATGATAATCGCCGAGGGGGATGTTCCGTTTTCTGTAGATGTAGTTGAACCTCTCTGACGAAGTAATACAGGAATCTCATTCTTCGCCGTAGCAGGTGAGAGGAAGAGATGGGTTACTATATGATATACTCCGTCAACCATTGACACAATGCCGTATACTCAAGTCACACAGAATATATTGCATATCACAGATAAAAGATAGATTAGAAGATAGAAGATACCTTCATATTCAGGCTGTAATGCCTCCCTGACAATATCTCCGATTTGACTCGTCTTTCCGCAGACGATGACAGGTATTGCTGCTGGGGTTTTCCCCGAGGTACCACCAAAGAATCGGGTTGTGGCGGGGAGTGCTCTGGAGAACATCTTACAGGAGTTTTATGAGGTAAATCTGGGGTGAATAGACTTGATATTATAGATCGCTCGTTGTTGATGTGAAGCTGGGTAGTAGTATATATCAGTAGGATGGGATCTTTTTGTTTGAGGTCCGATTAATATCTGATTGGCAGTTTATTTCGAGCACCAAAGAGGATATGATATGATATGTGAAGAGAAGAGAAATTGCGGGGTTTCTTGATGAGCTGCATAATCATTTATGCTGACGTTTGTCTGCGGCGGCTCATCATACCTAGCGGATTGGTCACAACAACAGTTTGTCTTACTAAGTTTTACCGCCTAATATTGTTACTGTATCGCCATCTTTTAATGTATAATATAGATACTATAGTTATTCCTCTATAAAATTTTATTTACGGATTTCTATTTGAGTATTTCCCCTTAGACTCTATTACATAGAGATTGTACATTCTTTTTGTAATCTCGTGGACGGTAACACTGCCCGATCAGGTCAGATGCGACGGAGCAGACTTAAGCCAGTCCCGCTCGCCGCTTTTAAGCGCTCTATAATAATCTCACTCCCTTCCCTCACCTATTTAGTACTCTTTCTCTCCTAAAACCATCGATTTCTACTCCTGCGGGCTTGCCCATGCAAATGAGTATAATTAATAGCAGAGGCACGTAGTAAAAGTAGGTTCTATAAAGTACTGAAGTGGTTGATTTTATTGATTGTAGCACCCCACCTTGGCGCCCTTGTATTATGATTGGTTATGATGCGATGCTTCACTGCACATTGTTATTTATGCATGTTGTTAGAATCAGATATTTTCTTCGGCTTTTCGTATTGTATATGATTTCTATCTATCGTTTCCGGGGCTGCAGCGTACAAAGTGTGCGCATTCCACTATCCTTATATACTCTATCAGAATATACCATTTATATACTATTTATAATTCATGCTAACACCATAGCTAGATCTCTCTAGATTAAAGTAACCCCGTTGCCTAGAGATAGTGACTGTCAAATGTTCACTATGACAGTATGAGGACGAAACCCGAAGACCCAGTATGTTGGGATTCACTGCCTCTACACTTGTGGTTGACAAGACCCAACCAGCTCACCCTCTTGAACAAACAAAACTCCCGGTCCGAGCGGCACCTGTTTGCCTTATATGCATCTCCGCCACTCTGATGGAGCTGCTGTTAGTGTAGACAAAATAGAGCAAGCTGCCAATAAGGTCTTGAACGGGAATTCCCATCAACGAGGATCGACAAATCTTTTAGTGAGTCCGGCGCTTTTGGAATTCAGCGCAGTACAAATCCAACCGCGAAATCAGAGCGCGTATCTCTTGCTCAGGGAGGAACGAGCCATTGATGCTATTGCGAGCAAGAGTGGTAACTTGGTCGACTGAAAGGTCAAGCGCAGCGTGGCACTGTAGGAAGTTGTCATTTATGTAGGCGCCAAAGTAAGGCGGGTCATCAGAGTTGATCGTCACCTTCAGCCCTGCGTCGAGTAAGATTCGCAATGGATGAACATCAAGCGACGAGACTACATTGAGCTTCAGATTTGACACTGGACAAACGGTAAGTGTGATCCGCTTTTGAACCAGTTCCCTGACCAGGGCCGGGTCCGAAAGACAGGCGATCCCATGATCGATCCGGTCGACCTGTAAGAGCTCGACAGCTTGACGCACATAGTCACTCGGGCCTTCTTCCCCGGCATGGATACAGGTCCGGAATCCACGTTCGCGACATACTTTGAAGTAGGTGGCAAACTTCGAAGGTGGGTTGGGCATCTCCGCCCCGCCCATACCAATACCGATAATATGTTCTTTCCACGGCATGATCGACTCGAGCAATTCAAGCGCTTCCGCTTCGGTCCGATGGCGATGTGTGCTAACTATGAGTCCAGCGCTGATGCCTAACACCTGCTCGGCATCGCGAATTGCACCCAGCACGCCTTCCATGAGTTCACTCAGAGGGATACCCTTTTCGGTGAAAGTTTGAGGACCAATAAAGAGCTCGGCACGGACCACATTGTCCATATGCGCCCTTTTCAGGTAGGCATGAGTTACATCATAGAAGTCCTGCTTTTTGACGAGCACTTTGCATCCCTCGAAGTATAAGCTGAGAAACGACTGAAGGTTATCGAATCTGTAAGCGTCCTGTAGCTCTTCCGGGGATTTCCATGGAAGAGAGATGCCGTTGCGCTCAGCCAGGGCAAACATCATTTCCGGTTCAATGCATCCCTCAATATGCATATGAAGCTCCACTTTCGGAATACCCCTGATGAAATCCTGGATGCTATCCATTCAAACTCCTATCTGTGATTTTTATTTTTATTTTTATTTTTTTTTTGGTTGTCAACCCGAGCTTGGACAGAAACGCCAAAGGATACACTGAATAATATGCACGGAACACCTTGAGTTTGACTTCAATTGGCACTGGCTGCGTTGCTAATTGGCAACCTTGTCATGTATACTGTGTGGAAAGTCAAGTAGACTAAAAATTATTATTTTTCTTTTTTTTTTTTTAAAAAAAAAAGACGAAAGAAAGAAAGAAAGAAAGAAAGAAATGGTGAACTAAAAAACAGGCAAAATGTAGACAATAACTAGGCCTTCTTAAAGTGAGTCGCGACTTGTCAGGTCCGGTCAAGTCCAGTCCAGTTCGGGACCTGAGTCTTGGCGGATCAGGTTCCACGATATTGAGGTCAGGCGATCTGGTTCCAAGAAAGTTAGGATCGGGCCTGGCAGGTCCGGTTCAAATCTCAGGTTCTGTAAACAGTCCAAACTTATAAAATCCCGCGATGTATATAATTTATGTATATTTTACCTATATTTTTTTTCCATATTTGACTTACTACTTAGGTTAGAAAAGATACGATAGATTTTGTATATAAAAATATTAGAATGTCAAGATATAGGTTTAGAATGAAAGTTAATTTACGATCGTCTATATATTATATCAAGCGTGCTGCCACTCGACCAAAGTACCTTAGGCATTTGGTCGTGCCTGGACTGAACATAATAAATCGCAGTCCGGCTCAGGTTCAGGTTCGAGGTTCCAAATGTTGGAACCTGAAGGCTGAACCAGACCATTTCAGAGGTCTACCTACCAGTTCTTCCTCCCACGCTCGTACTGGTTGACAGGTCGATTGGCTGGCGTCACCCCGTGACTTGCTTTGCAAGGTGCTTTTGGTGTACGAACTAAATGACATGATGTACGTGTTCTCTAACCCCGCAATTATATTCAACCCCTTAGCCTTTCTTGATTTCTTCTAATCTCAACCATCGGTCCCTTGTGCATCATCTGCCAGCGTTTGTCTCAATTTAACCCCCATGTCAACCATGTGTCCCAAGTCCTATGACACGTCCGCAAAATGGTGGAAAGAGGCGGTGGTGTATCAAGTGTATCCCGCAAGCTTTAACAACGGTAAACCTGTGACTAGAGCCAATGGATGGGGTGATGTGGCCGGTATTATTGATAAGGTCCCTTACTTAAGGAGCTTGGGTATCGATATTGTATGGCTTAGCCCCAGTAAGTCGATATGCTACGTTTCGTGTCATAGATGCAGACGTCACAGCGAGTTTCAATTTGGGGCTGGCTTTCAGGAATTTAACGATTGACATCGTCTTCGCTAAGTCTACATGTCCCCACAAGTCGACATGGGCTACGACATCGCGGACTACAAATCCATCGATCCACGTTATGGCACCTTATCAGACGTGGACCTTTTGATAAGGACGCTGAGGGACCATGATATGAAACTCATGATGGACCTCGTGGTTAATCATACATCCGATCAGCACCTTTGGTTTGTAGAGTCTGCCAGTTCCAAAGATTCCCCTAAACGTGATTGGTATATCTGGAGGCCGGCCAAGGGATTCGATGAGGCCGGGAATCCAGTGCCTCCAAACAATTGGGCACAAATTTTGGGCGATGCGCTCAGCGCTTGGACTTGGCATGAGGCGACGCAAGAGTTTTATCTGACTTTGCATACGCCAGAGCAAGTGGATCTCAATTGGGAGAATCCAGAAGTCGTTACCGCTGTTTATGATGTGAGTTAAGCTAGTCATTAAGGGGGTCGCTTAATCCTTGTGTTTGACTTCCCCGGTATCCACGGCCGTTGAGATGTCCGAAAGAGTGGTGTTACTGATCTGGATTAACTTCAGGTTATGGAATTTTGGCTGCGCCGTGGGATTTGTGGGTTCCGCATGGACGTTATCAACCTTATTTCCAAGGACCAGTCTTTCCCAGACGCTCCGATCATTGATCCAGCCTCTAAATACCAGCCCGGGGAGCGATTCTACACAAATGGGCCACGTTTCCACGAATTCATGCACGGTATCTACGACAACATTCTTTCCAAATACGACACCATCACTGTTGGAGAAACCCCGTACGTCACTGATATGAAGGAGATCATCAAGACGGTGGGCTCTACAGCAGAAGAGCTTAATATGGCATTCAACTTTGATCACATGGAAATTGAAGATATCAAAACCAAAGGAGAATCCAAGTGGAGCTTGCGCGACTGGAAGTTGACCGAGTTGAAAGGCATTTTGTCCAGATGGCAGAAACGAATGAAAGAGTGGGACGGCTGGAACGCCATCTTTCTGGAATGCCACGATCAGGCGCGGTCAGTGTCACGCTACACCAACGATACGGACGAGTTCAGAGAACGTGGTGCCAAATTACTAGCGCTTCTGGAGACGACACTCGGTGGGACCATTTTCCTTTATCAGGGCCAGGAGATTGGTATGCGCAATTTCCCCTTAGAGTGGGATCCCGAGACAGAGTACAAAGACATTGAGTCAGTCAACTTCTGGAAGAAATCAAAAGAACTCCACTCTCCCGGGTCTCAAGGGCTCGCAGAGGCACGGAAGCTCCTGCAAAAGAAGGCCAGAGACCACGCCCGCACCCCGATGCAATGGAGTGCTGCGCCACATGCGGGCTTCACAGTCCCTGATGCGACACCTTGGATGAGGGTGAATGATGACTATAAAACCATTAATGTGGAGGCACAGATGTCCTTCCCGTGCCAGATAAAAGGCGAACTATCCGTTTGGCAGTACTGGCAGCAGGTATTACAGCACCGAAAGCTCTATAAAGATGCTTTCATTTACGGCGACTTCGAGGATCTGGACTTTCACAACGAAAAAGTCTTCGCGTACTTGAGGAGTAGTGGAGACAGAAAAGAGAGCTGGCTTGTTGCGATGAACTGGACAACCTCTGCGGTCGAATGGACGGTTCCTCCAGGCGTCCACGTCACACGTTGGGAATCCTCTTCGCTCCAGACTGCTCCGCCCGTGGCAAGCCAGCCGACCATCACGCTTCAGGCCTTTCAAGGTGTCATCGGGTGTTGTAGTTAAGCACGTTGCACGGTATCGCTAGCTGTGTTGTGGTAAGATCGATATTAGTGGTCCATGTACTCTCGCCGGTCCACAAATTACGGTTCCACACTAGCCCTTTTTGTCGATGTAATAGCCGCGCCAGGCCAACAAATCAACAAACCAGGGTTATAGTAGGGCCGATCAAGTGAAACTGTTTTATATACACCACCAAAAGTAATCATCCCACAGTTATCCTGTACAACAAATCTTCTCAGCTCTTTCATTCCTACCATGGAGCCTTCTAGAGAAAAGGATCACGAGTTACTGGTAGCTGCCAAGTCGCTGGCGAATATACCTTGGTGCGAACAGTACGAACGTATGATATCAGGAATGCTGTTAGTACTGGGAGAATCATAGCTACAGAGATGGCGTTCCCAGTCTTCCGATTGACATTGTCTAGATACGATCCACTCGCCCCAGAGCTTATACAAAGCCGTTTTCGAGCCCGCAAGCTGATGTCCAAATACAATGCACCAATTCCTGACGACATATCGTTTGAAGGCCTCACGGATCAGCGCGAAGAATTGTTAAGGCAACTACTGGGGGCAACTGGCAAAGGCGCCTTTATTGAGCCCCCCTTGATGGTCGATTATGGGTGCAATATCAAGATTGGGGACAATTTTTATGCTAACTTCAAGTATGCCTCTTCCCAATCCTGATTCAACCCCGATAATCCTCCATGGACAGTGTGTGTGTGTGTGTGTGTGTGTGTGTGTGTGTGTGTGTGTGTGTGTTAAAACTAACCATGTTGTAGTACCACGATGCTTGATTGCTCCCTTATTATCATTGGCGATCGTGTTTCCTTCGGCCCGAATGTAAACATTCTCTCTGCAACGCATGAGACCAGTGTAGACTCTCGTAGAAATGGAGTCGAATTTGCGAAAGAGGTCATTATAGGTGACGACTGCTGGATCGGGGCCAGTGTTACAATTCTGGCAGGTGTTAAAATCGGGGAAGGTTGTACAGTTGGGGCTGGGTCGGTCGTGACAAGACACATTCCTCCTTTCAGTGTTGCTGTCGGCTCTCCCGCTCGAGTCATTAAACAGGTAGAGCCTGGACGATCCAAGACTATAGGACCAGCTTAGCCAGTAGGACTGAGCCAATTACATATAACAGATTACCTACCAAGCTATCAATCATTTTTATGACGGACTACATAAGATCAAGCAGGTATGGATCGTGCCGCGGTGATTCATTCAGCAATATGGATACTCGTCTTATAACATGCTATTGATACCTGTCTAGATATGGAGACTTTTGTTTAGCTAATAGAATAATCACAAGTGCCACCCATGTGATGCTTTGGGACTTTGGTGAAGAGGATGGACGCAGATCGAAATTTTGGGAACAACGAAACATATTCCTGCCTACTGGTGTAAAGTGCCTACGGTTTGCACGGAATGAGTAGGTACGCAACGAGATTCCTTTTGAGGAAGTTTTGAATTAAAAGTATCACTCAGGGGCACGCGTCAAGATATCAAGCCATCTTACCTACCACAATATACGAGTAAGATCTCCTCTTTTCTACTCGTAAATTATCATATTTCCCTTCCCTGAATATGATCAGAATCAAATAACAGACCTGTTCAGATATACAGATGCTAGTTTCATAGAGACTTAACCATAGACCTCATGCCCTATAAAATCAGCTATACTGTACTCGCATACATAGTAGCCACATTGGTGAGTAGATGGGCTTGGAGCATCGATCTGTTAGTTCCGTTGGACAAAATATAAGCGGGTATCAGATACATTAACTTTCTGTAGAATCTCTAGCATTTTTATACTTTTTATTGATAAAGCGTCAAATCACTATTCTAGGTAAATCATAAGCTCTGATAATGTCTTCGCATATTAAAATCATCCCAGATTCCAGTCCCTTTATGCTCTATCAATAAGATCTTGAATCTCACCGGGCTCGAACGGAGCAGTCACTACCTCCTCACCCTCCCTATAGAGAACCGTCAAGGGCATCTCATCTGGGCTATGCTGGGGATGGATAAATCCACTATCCACAATGACAAATTCAATCTCATCTCCTCGGCTTTCTTCGGCGTCCAAGAACAGAGGCATGAGTGGCGACTCTGGCCCCATCCAGGGGGCCCAGTAATGTACAACGACTGGCTTTGGGCTCTCCGTAATAACCTGGAAAACTTCCTCGGGACTGAAAGAAGAAATGAGAGTTAGTTATATAAGTAGGAGGACTTGAAGGTGAGGACGCGGCGTACTTCTCTAAGGTTTGGACCATTTTGGGAATATGAGGCTTGGAGGTTGGGCGTTGGTGTTGAATTGGATTGAGCTTTTTGTGGTTTATGACTATGTGTGAAGATGGTTAATGATTGCGTGAGACAGGAGGGGTTTCAAGCCTAATATATAGAAAGATCGGGGGGCAGCTCAGGAGATTTTCAGCTACGATCTTAACCAGCCACAAAGTATATTATGGTAGGATGCGAAAGGGTCGTGCTGATCCCTGTGGGGGGTGGCTGTATATCATTTCCTATTTACAGTATTTTGCCAGCTGGATACCAAATATAATAGGACCATCCTCGGCCTCGATAGTTCCACTCACGATTATTAAGCGAACAGCTCCACGGGGATCAACATGATCTCTTCGCACTATCTCGGTAATGCGTGAGCGATGCAGATAGAGAGCTGAGAACATATGTCATAGCTAGCCATTTACAATAGCTATGGGAAGCACGGCCACCTCTAATTCGATCAAATGAACCACTTTATGGGACACACTAATTGATTAGATCGTGGGGCCTTGTACAGCTGTTGTGACCTGATACGCCTGAGTACACCTCAGCTCTTTTCAGCTGAGCGGAAAAAGCAGATTGATCTTCCTCTTATACGTCATGAGCAAAAATTAACCGATGGCGGGGTAGTTCAGCCGTAACCGCCCTGTTATGGATATCAGTCATTTAGACGGGTAGAGAGAAACCAAAAAAAATAGCAATTAGTTATAAATGTTTGGATGCAAGAGACTTGAGCATGCAATTGTAGAGTAGATGGGAATTACTCATTACATGGAATAGATCAAGAGTCGAGAACATCCACAGATTGCTATGGAAAAGTGCAGGCAGAATAACAAGGCGGTAGTCTGATGTGGACCAATGATATATAAGATAGCCCTATAATGTCATGTATGCTGTACACTGTATAGGAGTCATACTCTTTACTACTAGTACATGGTATAAAGTCAAGGTACTTCTAATTAGACCTTTGAATGGTTGACTGAAAATTCATGGATAGAATAATCTTGAAGAGTGTGGTTGACTCCAATTATAAACCAATTAAAAATAATATTTGATACCTTCACTTAGTAGCTATATATAATTGGTAGTCGAGTAGAAATAGCATTTGATTAGCCATAGATTGCGCAATGTTTTCACGATACATATACAAGAGAATATTAATTGCAGTCACAGAATCAAACATCTAACAATTAAATCTGTGTGAACCCTGATATTCCTATCGCTCAAAGTATACCCGCAAATGCCAGGATTGAAGTAGGTCCAGTCAATTGAGATCATGGGCTGTTTCTCTCCCTTTTCATTACATATTTATATCTTCGAAGCATTCAACAAGAACAATTTTAATATTGAAGGAGACAAAGCATATAGTTAAGGTATACTGTTTTACTGGGCGAATCATTACCCACGGACCTCATGTTAAACTCAATAGTGCCACGTATGAAAGCCGAAGAGATTACGAGGCCAAGCGTAAGCATTAGGCCTCAACATTTCTTTTGACGGCAACCACAATTTGACCTACTAGAAATGGTGGCCGGAAATATCTCCCTTAACTAACACAGACAGAAAGAAAACAAAAAATTAGGAAGTGAAAGACAATTATGGCATTGATCAAGATCGAAATCGTCTCAGACGTAATTTGTCCCTGGGTAGGTGTACCACTCGCAACACGCACAGTACTCCGATAGCTCATCTGTCAAAGTGCTACATTGGATATCGAAATCTACAAAAGGCTATCTCCTTATACCAAAAGACCTACCCGGGCGGCTCGAAAGACACTATAGAGGTATGGTGGAAACCATACTTCATCGATCAAGAACCGCCAAAGGAAAGCATCTTGATACAAGGTCAGTCTTCGATCCTATAATAAGCACCACAGACTGCCACTAGCCGAACCTAACTTCACGGGCTAGACCGTATGCTCCGCCGCATGGGCCCCAAAATGGTAGCAGCGGCCCAGACCCGCTTGAAGCGTGTAGGTGCAGATGCCGGGATCCGATTCAAGTTTGGTGGGTATATCGGGTCGTCTAGACTAGCACATCAGCTGCTATATCTGGCCGCACGGGAGGGAAGTGAGCGGCAGTGTCGGGTTTCGGAGTTGCTCTTTCACTCCCAGTTTGAGAAGGAGGCCGACATTAGCCAATTAGATACCGTGGTTGCTGTTGGGGTACAGGCTGGAATGCGTGAAAATGATATCCGAGAGTGGGTAGTTAGTGGTGCTGGGGTGGCAGAAATGGACGCTGAAGCGAAGAAGGCGAGGGCTGATGGAGTCACTGGTGTACCTCATTTTATCATTGGGGAGAAGCATCATATGGAAGGTGCTATGGATTTGTCGGAACTTTTTGAGGCCTTTGTTGCTGTTAGAGAAGGGCAGTAGAGCTTTAGGTTGTGAGACGATGTTGCGAGCATTCAATCTATTCACGTTGGAGCTTTTGACGTCTCAGGTTCATACCATCCCCTCGATTGTGTACGTACAAGCCACGCCTGATGCATTGAATATGTGTTCAAACCCACCTGAGGACTGAAAGTATCTGGTTCAAATCATAGAAGGTTGTTTAACTGGTACCTGTTGAAGGCCCTTTCTTTCTGAAATAGTATAGTATTGGACTGGACGAAACATTCATATCGACTGCAAGCTACTAGACTGTGCACGCGTCTCTGCAATCCTAATTGCAATCACATGAAGTATCGCCAGCGATACTTAATTCCAGGTGGCCAGGGTTCAGCTCCCTTTCAGGTTTCGTATATGGCGCTGAGATAATTGTATCCACCCAATCTTATGAGGCACATGTATTTGCACGGAAGATTGAACCAACAGGCTAACAATATGAATAATGGATATTGAAGATCTTACCAGAATTAGTAAACGGTAAATGCCGTCACCTGTCTAGGAAATGCTCTTATGATATTCACCTAGTACTGGAAATAGAAAGGTCTAGGCGGCCACCGTTAGTGCTTATCTACTGCAGCATTTGCTTAAGCAACCAATGGTATAACCATAACGTCGTAAATTCGGCAACCGAAGGATTAGGAGCAGACGTACGAACAGGGATAACAATCCTTCATTTCATTTACTCAAGCTCTGACGATTAATGTTGGCACTTCGTCTCCACATAAGGCGTCCGGTCAATCCTTTCTTGCGCGGCAGCCCACTTGAAATCCTGTTTAATATGAGGAATTAAGAGACACTTCCCCTTCGAGTAACTGGTATCTTACTCACTTTCATACCAGCCTCGGTACATAGAATTGTTAGAGTTATCTGCATGTGTGGTTACGTTTCCAATGGCCACACTGCCTCCAATGTGGCCCGAATGCATTTGCACCGGCATACCATCTCAGGCTAAAATAAGCAAAGCAATCAGCGAGCCTGTACTATTAATGCTTAATGCATTGCCAAGTAGATTGCCCTTCAGAAAGCACCTTCTAAAACAGGGCCGCTTTCTCATATCATCTCACTAAGAGTAATAATGGCTGAGGATATCACGGCGTTGGATTAGTTATCCGGAACTTTCCTTGTGAACATTGGCAACCAGAACTACCCTTGATAAAGCAGGATTCAATACTAGGGATCGAGATCCTTCAGACGATGGATCTATTCCTAAAATAAGAGAAAGAGAAAATTCAACTATGAGACAAGGAGATTGGTGATCTATATCCGTCGAGGGTCCACTATTTGGCCGCCCGCATATATTACTGAGTAATCCAGGGTCCTCATCGAGTGTGTGATCGACATCAGCAGTGGCGTATAGCTAGCCCTGAAGAAGCGAATGATATGCACCCTGGAGGAAATCCTGCCGCTGTAGGCGAGAACGAATGCGGGTAAAACCGCACTGTTGCTACTGGCTAGATTTAACGAACTCATACAGTCAAGCTCTGTTGGTTGTATTCTCATCAAGACAAGGATAATGATCCCGCTGATGTTTACCCTTCACTGACAGCTTGTGCCATGTATCCGCCCTGATTAGATATTGTTTCTCAACCAGTACTATTGTTCCTGTTGCGTTTTCATTATTCTTGTTTGAAAAGGTTTTCCGATGAGTCGAGTATCACTCAAGGAATGATTTAGTTACTAAGCAAGGCCTCTGTTGGAGCATCTTTAATCCTGTGTCGGGTATCCTCTGCCCGGGAGGAGCTTACACTCATGTATGCTCTCATACTATAATAGGATTATTTCCACCATCACCTGCTCAAGCACAGCATTCATGTGGCAATGGTGCTCTCGATGAACAGTGTTAGATTGAAACACCATATTGTATTTATCAGCTACTGAAAAGAACCCACACTACGGCGGAGCCATGGAAACCTCTCACCGAAGAGTATAATCCCATCACCTCATACTAGCCCCAGTAATGATTCACGTACTTTAGTTCCTCCATGAATACAATGAGAATTTCGGCTTGTGCCGACGGTCATTTACTGGGATTGAGTCATTCGGGATGATCCTACTCCCGCCACAGATAACAGGATGCAGGGATGAGTGGGCAAGATCAACAACCTTGCAGTCAGAACGATAGTGGGAGAACCTCCCCTGCTGTAACACCCTCGACGGCAGAATCGGCCTTGTGAGGCGCGGCCTGTACTTTAGCTCGGCCGATAGATCCGGCATTGAACCTAGCGTGTTTCGGATGGACGTGCGTTCGACGTTGCAGGGTTCGGCGGTTAATACCAATGTAATGTGAGCCAAAGGCCTAACGCGCATTCATAGATTACTTATGTATGTAGCAACTTTGGAGGCATGTCAAGAAGCCGTTGGCTCCTGCTCCGGGTTAGCATTATTAATAGTATCATCTGGATATCTTGGTCTAAGGGTATTTTCGGACTTTTCTCATTATGAAGTTCCCAGCCATAGAGCAAATCCGAAAGTCAATAGGCAATTATTCACGGCTTACTCCTGCGTTTCTGGTTGTTTGTTGAGATTAAATAGTCGGCACGGAGAAGACACTCTGCGGCCCACAACACACCTGTAGGAGTGATAGATAAGGAAAACGAACATAATCATGGCCGAAACGGCGAACATCCCTGCCGCTAATATATTTATTAATTTTGAAATCTTGTAGGGTCGGTGGGTGGAGCATTATGCACGGTATTTAGATTCCTCAGTAGCTGCTGATAAGTCTAGAGCCAGCCCTAATCCCTGTCGATCTCCGCTAGGCCGGATTCGCCATATGCCGAGGAAGAGGTGATTGGGTGGATACGAGGCTTATGTTCGGGATTGATTTAATCAGATTACCATGTTATAAGATATTGGTTGGATTGCGAATGTATAGTCAAGACGCTGATCGATACGATTTTCCGTGCAATTCGTGCTTTCTGGTTGCTGAGGGGGGGATCATGCCTAGAGGGATGGTGGGTGGGTTTGAAGGACTTAGATAGATAGGCGTTATTCATTTGGTCTAATGTTGCGAGTAATATAGGATCTGATGCTCTATTTGCTAAAACTCAAAATCACATTCTCTAACGTCTAAAGCATCTATTCTCTAGTAATCAAGGACTCATTAGCGCTACATACGAAACTAGTTGCCATTGGGAAAATTCACCGAGCCCCACTTAGTTTGCAGTGACCAGTGAAACATAGGTCTGCAGGTTGCTAGTGTGGTGCTCGCCCAGCCCTGGCTTATCGCCAATTTCCTTGCCGTGGGTGTGGAAGGCGCTGCTCACAGTGAAGCGTACGCCATTCCACTCCCGAACCACACCGTGCCGTCGCCGCGCGATGTCATTGATCAGAGGAACCACCTCCTCGGCAGCAGTCACAACATTGCTCACCTTGCCGGGGAAGATGTGGATCACGCCGTCTTTCTCAAAGGTCAAGCTGCTTCGGAATTCGGATGTGGTCTTTAACTTGGCCAGAACACTGCCCTTCCAGCCGCGGTAGTGGAACCGATCGAGGAATCCGGGCCAGAACCGGGTGATCTCCCGCTCACAGTGGGGCTTAATCTGAGCAGCGATAGCTTCCTCGTCAAGACTATCCAGAAGCGCTTGACCCTCCTCGTGACGATCGAATGATCCGAGGATGGTGTAGCTGCCGTGTGTTAAGATATACTTCTTCTGAAGGGGCTCGTTTGTGTCGATCGCCGGCATCACGCAGGGAAACCAGCCATCCATGACAATGAAAGAAAGGGGCTTTTCCTGCGGCTGCTGGTCTTCGTAAACAAGAGCGATACAGGTTTGATACGTGACGCCAATGTCGACGGGAAGAGCATCTGCGATATTCTGCGGCAGAAGGCTGGTATAACCGGTAGCGTTGATCACTACATCGAAGATGTACTGTCCATCCCCAGTTTGAATACGGTTGGTGTCCTCGGTGTGGATGATACGGTCGACTGTCGTATTGAGGTGCACGTAGATGCCTGCACGACCCAACTTGTCTTTGAATGCATTCCGGAGACGGTCGCCAATAGCGACGCTGGGTTCGTCTAGATTGTATGCGCTAATGAGGCCCTGGAAGCCATTTGCCTTCGGATCAACTGTAGTACACTCGGGAGACTCGTAGCAAACATCCCTGAATGCCTCATCTGAGACCTTCGATGGGTTTCCCAGGGCGTCTGCTTCGCCGTGTGCATATATCGCGGATTCATGGTAGACAACGAGTTCGGGATACGTCTCGCAAAACTTGACCAGGGCTTCACGGCAGCTGTCTCGAGTGGCTTTGGACCGAGGATAGTGTGGCCCCTTGTGCAGGCGGATACCAAAGTTTCCTGAGACACCTTGGAAGATATCAGGCTTCTGTTCGAACAAAGAAACTCGGTGGCCCTGTTTCTTGAGCTCTAGGGCAAGATGGCAGCCGTTCCATCCGCCACCGACGATACCGACCCTTAGCTGTGTCGTGACACGCATTATGAATAGGCAGGTAGTTATAGTCTAGAGATGATTATGTTCGGTTCAAGAGTCTTGAGAAGAATGGTTGTTGAAGTGTAGAGGAATAGCCCCCCAAGGATTCCCGTCGCTTTATATCCTTCCCTTCAGCAGGATAGCTTGAGTCACTCCTATGAGCATGTCAAGGATTCTCCTTCCCTGATTGTAACCCAACACACCCGGATAACGACACATGCACTCTGAAGCCAATCGCATCCAATGTGATACGAACGGATGAGGTGGAATGAGCGGCAAAGTCGGGATAGATGATTGTCGACGACTCTAGAAGATCGCAACATACTCACTGAGCTTTTAATGCATGTCAGCGATTGATAATGTCACATCCGCGGTGATGCATCCGCAACACAGTATCCAATGAGAGGGTCGGTGGACGGCACGAAAGGAAGCACGCTAGTCGGGATGTGCAGCCTTTGCAGTGGACAGTGCGCCCTGCAGAAAACAGAAAAATAGCATTCTGCAGGTATGGTATCATCGCTTAAGGATTCCAATCCCAGCAAATATCCGTCGGGGGATAACGGGATCCCGAATTAGGGTTATCCAGTTGCAGCGTTGGAGCCGCGCGTCGGAGTTAACATTTATCCCGACTGCCCGATACCTCGTACTTTTGCCCCCCGTCATTCCCACTCTCCCGAACCCCCCACTGATAACCCAACGTCGACTGCGATAGATTTCCTTCTTTCGCGATAACCCTGTAGTGCAACGTAATGTCGTTGAATACCGACGATTCCGGTCGGATAAGGACCCGGCAGCGCGCGAAAAGAGCGTGCGAAACGTGCAAACTGCGCAAGAGGAAATGTGACGGCCATGAGCCCTGCACTTACTGCTTGCGATACGAATATCAATGCACTTTCAAGCCTCATCCACGGAGAAAGCCTGCAGCTTCCAAATCTTCAGCAAGGCCCAGCGAGGAAGAAGACTCACCAAAGTTTTCCGACAGAGTTGATGCTAATCAAGAACACATGGAGGCCAACTCAGGCACCGCTTTCCCCCATCTCCTGGGGATGAGGTTGAATCCGCAGGGTGCCCCCAAGGTGTACGGGTTCAGCTGGAATCTAGGTCCACGAAATGAGCCTCTGGAGCCCTTCATCAATCTTACAGATCTGATTTCAAGAGAGGAAATGGAAGACTTGGCCAGCCATTATTTAAAGAAGATACATCCGGTATATGCGGTCCTGGACCCCGACACGTTAAGGCAAAAGATTGTTGCCAGATGGCATGATCCTGCAACTCCGGCCAGCTATGACCCCATTCTTTGCGGCGTCGCGGCATTAGGCTCCTTGTACTCAGGCCACCAGGAACACTCGAAAGAAGGGGCACTGGTGCAGTCTGCAAAGGAGATGCTTGAAACCACCCGGATCTCAAAGACCACCCTCCTGCATCATGCCACTGCCTGGATCTTACGGACCATATATCTCCGAAGCACCAACTGCCCCCATGCCTCGTGGATGGCCAGTTGTTCCACCATGCATATCATAGAGGCTATCGGAGCTCACCAGGATCCGGAACTGGTGTCTTTGGTTTATTCTGACACCGCAGACGTTAGTGTAAATGATGAGAGTCAAAGACGCCTATTCTGGGTAGCAACAGTGTTAAATTCATGGATCTCGTATGAATATGGTCGATCGCGCGTTATTCTACGGGGTGTCTCTTGCAAGCCACCTTTACCGCGAGCGGGCGACTTCACCACGGACCTCATCTCCATGTACCAGATCTCCGAACGATTGGATCCCGACCTGAACAATAAGCTTTCCGACCTAGAAGATGCACTCAGCCGTGTTGAGCGTCTCACGCTCTCCCATGATGCCCTGATACTATCCCAAAGTAATCTGGCACTCACAATCTATCGCCGTCTGCGAGTCGCTTCGTCCAATATATCGAATGACATTCTTACCCGTATCATCCGACTAGGCAATGACGGCCTTGAGGCCGCAGTACGTTTGGCGGAGGATCGCTGTCCTTGGTGGCATGTCGCCAACATACCATTTCAATTTCTCTGCATTCTGCTTGCTATTGACACTAGGGAATCACTGTCATATGTGGGTCCAGCACTGCGCTCATTCAGGGCCATCACCAGGCATTACAGCACGCCGACCCTACAAACCGCGCTGGAGACTATAGAATCATTGGTTCGCCTATCTCAGAACAAGAAAGAACGGGACTTGACTCTTCTCAGAGATAGCATGCAACAGGAAGACCCGGGGCTCACCGAACAAGGTTCAACAGCATCCCAAGCCTTCAACGACGCTTCTTGGCTGGGAGCGACCGGTGATCTGACCTTACCAGATAACTTTGACTGGGATTGGAACGTGTTCCTGGACACTCAGGTTCCGTTCTTCGACGAGGGTGAATCCAGTGGCCAGAGATATAGATAATGCAGAAAATTGAGGACTAATTACACGATCAGAAAGTGCTCGTATGCGTCTACTTATAGTATTAATCGATGAGCCTAGTACCTATTAATTCTGCGTCCATTATATCATAGACTGACGTACCTCTTGTAAGCTCTTTCTCGCCCTTTGGCGCCGAATAAGGATTTTCGAAGCCATTCAGCGGCTAAGTCGGGCATGACGGGAAAGTCGGTTAGGGCGGATTTCGGGTTGACGCAATGGAAGGAACACTAGAAATAAATACTCCGAAAAGAGCACATTTATTCTTGCCGAGGAGTAAAAACATTTGACAGATGTTGTTTTAGTTTAATATCTCTCTCCCAATTCCAATCTTTATTTTGTGGTGTGTGTCGTGAGCGCCCCGCAACGATGCAGTCCTTTCGCCAATACCGACGGATGCGCAGAGACCTGCAAGAAAGCATTAAGCTACACGGCCCGTATGCCGCTGCTGGCGATCGTCATGTACAGCCGACTGATGACATTTTGGAGGATGCCGATGATGCCAGACTGGAAAAGGGCATTCATTCAATGGACGGACACGGCCAATCACCATACTCCACGCCAGGGATCGTCCTCCACGACGGTCAAAGAGTGACTGTTCCTGGAGTCAACCTCCGCCGCGCCTCCGAAATATGTGAGCGTGTCAATACTAAAACATTATTCATTGTCGGTTTCGATGGCCCAGATGACGAACTCAATCCCAAAAACTGGTCCATAGGACGGAAGTGGGCGACATTGGGCATTGTCGGCACAACGGGTATGCTTGTTGGATGGGCTTCCTCCATCGACTCAACTGTGATTAAACAAGGGCAAGAGGCGTTCGGAGTCAGCGAAGTCGCCGAGTCTCTCGCAACTGCCCTGTTCCTGTTCGCATTCGGCTTCGGTTCTTTGGTAGCAGCACCTTTTTCTGAGACAGTTGGGCGGAATCCAGTCTACATAGCGACGCTGTCCATTCTTATGATCTTTACCATGGCTTCAGGTCTGGCTCCAAATTTTGGAGCTCAGCTTGCCTTCCGCTTCCTAGCCGGATTATTCGGATGTACACCGATGACTACCTTTGGTGGCAGCATGGCGGATATCTTTGACCCCATGGACCGCACATACGCCTTTCCAGTTTGCTGCACGCTGTCATTCCTGGGGCCATTTCTAGCTCCAATGGTTGGAGCATTCATCGGCCAAAGCACACACATCAGCTGGCGCTGGACGGAATGGGCCACGTTGATCATGGCTGCATTAGTGACCGGCGCGATCTTCCTGTTTGTTCCAGAAACATATGGTCCCGTACTATTGCAGTGGAAGGCTAAGCAGCTGCGTGAGATTACCGGTGACCAGCGATTCATGGCGGAGATTGAGCTTCGCCAAACCTCACTCGTGACTAGGTTGATGCACAGCTGCTCCCGTCCCTTCCATCTATTCTTTCGGGAGATCATGGTAGCACTTTTTACCATGTATCTGGTCGTGGTCTACATCGTCCTATTCGGGTTCCTGACAGGCTATGAGTTCATCTTTGGTCGGACATATGGGTTTACTCAAGGGTCTGTGGGTCTGACATTCATCGGCATGAATGTAGGATTCTTGATCGCCTTCGCCATGGTGCCACATATCTACTTCTCATACAAAAAGCGGCTCCTGAATGCGATTGAAAATGGACACAATGGGTTACCTCCGGAAGAGCGGCTTTGGTTCGCTATGTATGGAGCACCCTGGCTACCAATCTCTCTTTTCTGGATGGGCTGGACCAGCTATCCGTCTATCTCATACTGGTCACCGCTAATCGCGTCTGTGGCTTTCGGGTTCTCTGTCCAAGGAATCTTTATCTCCACATATCAGTACCTCATCGACACATATGAGCTCTTCGCAGCCAGCGCCTTGGTAAGTGCAACTTTCTTCCGTTATATCGCTGCTGGCGCGATGGTCATCGTGTCGATTCCGATGTACGGAAATTTGGGCGTACATTGGTCACTCACATTGCTGGGATGTATCTCGGTCCTGATGACGCCTGTGCCGTATATTTTCTATAAGTACGGACACGTCATTCGGCAGCGGAATAAAAAGACGCCTTGAGGAGGGTATCGGAGCTGTGTCGTTCAACTGTTGGAATGTGGATGGTGTGAAGCAGTGGCAAGTTAATGTCAATATCAGTGTCGATGGAATGGGGGCGGGAAAAGTTAGTAGATGCAATTAATTGGATTCACCGAAGAGCCCATCGTGGTAGTTCACCGTTAACGTGAAACATGCGACTGCGTCCCTGGTCGGTAGAGGTGCCCTGGTGAAGCTTCATCTGCCGAAAGGAGCTTGACACATTTTGGTATAGTTGGATCAGCGACTGCTGTATCCGATAGTGATAGTCGAAGGAGGTTATGAAGTCAGGAAAATGAGGGTAACAAACGTCATAGTAGGACCAGCTACTGCTGTATCCGATGGCGGATGTTAAGAGAGGGCAAGAATGAAGACACAAAAGGCTAGAGGAACACGGTGGGATCGGCTTCTGCTGTTTCCCTTTAGTGAACCTCTAGAGTCCAGAACAACACTATGTGAGAGCTATAAGGCTAGTTTAGATACAAAGAGGTGTTGTGGGTCATATGACCGTTAGGCGACCAATCAGGTGGCTGGCACTTTACTGAGAGCCACTGGCAGGACGTAGTAGAGGGAGGGCCGTACCAGTAATTTGAGGCAACGATGGCTGGTAACCAGCCACGTGCCGGTCAGACAAACGATGTAAAAGCCTCCATGTTGTCCAGCATCGTGACATCCCAGATTTGTCTTTTAACTCATCATGTAAGAGAAGTGTGTATGTGTTTCCATCCCGGATAAATATCCGTGCCGCTACTGACTATCCAGCTTTCAGCACCCTCTTCACACAGTAATAATCAATATGTACAATTCATTTACGCAACCATGGTTGGTTTCACACATCCAATGATTGGCTCGGTCCGCTTGCGTCGGCCAAAATCCGCTTCTCAACCGCTCGGTGAGATTCCGAGGACGGCAGACCTTCATCCATTGTTTGAACTGAGCTACCCCGGTGGCCAGGTTTGGTGAGTGGAGCCCGTGGGGTTGTCGCATGCGGAGAATCGCAAAGTCCCCGGGATCGGGCCACGCACTCCGTAGTGACAACAGACTGGCAGCTGAATCTTAGTTCAATCTATATACTGGTGTTCTTCCTTCTCCGCATGATAATTGAATTACCCGATAATCGGATAGTACCAAGGCCGGCCCCGTTGGGTATCGGCTCAGCGCGTCATCCCTCACGGTGATACATCGGCCTGTCACCACGCGCTCGGTTTCGGTTACGTTTAATGCCTCATAGACCAGAGCGTATGGATGTCATCCTTGGGTCATGGCGCCCATAGCAAGCCAATCGCGCATTAGCAATGCTAAGCATATGTCGGCTCTCCACTTCAGTGGGTTTTGGCCCCGGGGTTCCGACATGGTTATTGGAGGGTTCGAAGACAAGCACGACAAGCATTCCATACTTTCCCTGCCAAGTCCCATTTTTCTAAAGTCCAGTGATTAGGGCCTGCTACCCCTGCGGGTCTCGCAGGATCCTGTGCGGGTTATTCCAGCAGTACTGGGCTACAGAAGGTCCGGTGCGAGAGGGCCGAATGCCCCTCCACTTCCTCAGGATTATTGGTGCCATTCTTGCCTCGGTTGTTATGGCGCTCTGGCTCCATGAAGGTCATAGAAAACTGAGGAACGTTCCTAATTTCCGGGCCTCATATTTCATTTCCTCTTCACCTCATAATAGTTCCCTGCTCTCGCACACAGCGGACTCAAACTATTGACTGCAACTTGCCTGAGGCAGGAATAACAAGTCATGATGCAGGGCGAGACACTTCGTTTTGCCCAGATCTTCTTGATCGTGTGCCCATCCTTCATTCTCTTCGGTTACAATCAATCCGGCGTTGGAGGCTTGACAGACTTCCCGTCGTGGGTGAGGCAGTTCCCTGAGATTGACACAGTCAATACCACAGGTGCTCAGAAATCCCACAATGCTACAGTGCAAGGCGCTGTGGTTGCTTCTTACACCCTTGGTGCCCTCTTCGGGTCCCTGATCTGTACGTGGGTTGGCGACATCCTCGGTCGGCGTCGAACGATCTTTGCTGGGGCATGTATTGCCCTGATAGGCCAGGCATTAGAATGCTCGGCTTATGCTCTCTCACAATTCACAGTTGGTCGGGTAATCCTCGGGTGGGGCGTGGGTATGCTGAGCGCTACAGTGCCGGTCTGGCAGTCAGAGTGCTCACCGGCGGATAAGAGAGGGAGAAATGTCGTATTAACAGGCATGTTTATTGCCTTTGGGTTTGCCCTGACACAGTGGATCAACTTTGGGTTCTATCATATGCAGGAACGATCCGCGTCTTGGCGGGGATCGCTGGCAATCCCAGCACTCTTCTCTTCGACTATCATGGGTAGCATCTTCCTCCTGCCAGAATCTCCTCGCTGGCTTGTTCTCAAAAATAGATCGGATGCGGCACAGCAGACCCTTGCTTGTTTGAGACAGAGGGATGTGTTATCGCCCGAGATTATGCACGAATTACGGGGAATTGAGATCTCGCTGGAGGAATCATCAAGTGGTAATATGGGACTCAGCGATATTTTTACAATGGGGGAGGAGAAGCTCTTTTACAGATTCATTCTCTGTATTCTCCTGCAATTCTTCCAGCAGATGACAGGCGGTACTTTGATTTCTGTCTACATCCCGATTATCTTTGAAGATAATCTACACCTGGGCTCCAGTTTAGCAAAGGTTCTTGCCGCATGCGCTTTGACGTGGAAATTCCTCTGCTGCTTTGTCGGCTTCTATGTTGTGGACCGGCTTGGACGCCGGGCTGCCTTTATGATTAGTGGTGGTGGTATGTCCATGTGCATGCTGGCGCTGACAGTATCCAACTCATTCTCAAACAACCATACTGCGTCTATTATCTCGGCTCTGTTTATCTTCGTGTACAATTTCTTCCTTCCCGTGGGATTTTTAGGAGCGAACTTCGTTTACCCGGCGGAGGTTGCCCCGGTTCGTCTGCGAGTCGCCATGCATTCATTTTCAATAGCGAATCAGTGGTTATGGTAAGCATCAGTTCCCTATTACTGGGAGTGTGAAAATACTAATCTGGTTTACCGGACTAGGATGTTCGTCGTCGCCATGATTACTCCTACCGCGATCGCCGACATTGGCTACCGCTACTACATCGTATTCACCGTCATTGGTGGTCTAATCCCGCCTGTAGTTTACCTCTTCTACCCGGAGACAATGAATCGATCCCTTGAAGAAGTTAACCAGATCTTCCACGACGCGCCCTCTATCATGTCCGCCGTGAAGATGTCCAGAACCCTTCCAATTGGTGATAGCATCATTGGAGAGATTGAAGGAAAGAAAATGGCTGAAGAGATTGAAGGAAAGAAAATGGCTGAAGAGATTGAATGAGACATGCCAAGCGTTCTCGTGGAGATGCATCAGGGTACTACAAGAGAACTCGGGCATCTAGCACAGAAGAGGTGTGGTAGGGGTGGTAGCTGTGGACGAGATGATGATGTATTGTTATAGCAATCTCCCCTCAACTGAAAAAGCAATAATATCAGGAAAAATAAGCAAATGAACACGAAGCAAATGAACACAAATGAAGCACCGAAATCCATATCTTGTAATCAAATGATTGCAAGTGAAACGCCGAAACCTCTAACGGATATTGGTGTTGCGGAAACCCAGCACGAAAGGTGATCTTTCTTCGTCCGCCTGCTCCTCCTGACCCATCTGCTCCCCGCCAACCTTTTGTTCAACATCTTTGGGTGTCGGCAGTCTGGACCTTGGACGATTTTCGCGGACTGGGAGATTTTCGTCGGTGCGAGTATTTCTACTACCCCTAACTCTGGGGGCTTCCACAGCTATTTCTTCCTAAGCTTCATCCTCGGTGTCTCGCCCTTCTTCTTCTTCTTCTTCTTCTTCTTCTTCTTCTTCTTCCATTTCGTCGTCGGTATCCTCCTCAGTGTCCTGTTGTTCTAGCTCGGACGTGATAAGCCGAAAATACTTATCTGATTCGGACTCGAGATCTTCATCGGTCGCGTCGGCAGCACCGCTTAGGGCAAGGACCCGGTGGAGGACCCACTGCATGTTTAACAGCTCCATGGATGGAAGGGACTGGTTGATTGGGTCATTGGTTTCGAAGGTGAGAATGTCCCCAGAGCAGAGTTTCGCATCTGTGGAAATGTTAAACAGCTTCGCACTGTGTCGACCACCCACTGTGCTGGAGGAGGGATTGCCAGGGAAAGGACCGGGAGTGTCGATTGCTCGCATCTTACGAGAGTATGAATTTCTCGGCAGCCAATAAAATCGCACTGTAAGAACCTTCTGATCCTCGCTTAACGACAGTGGTTTCAACGCAAACCGGGCCTTTTCCCACAACTTGTGGGCAACGTTGACCATACACATCATATTAGAACAGGTCTCTGTCCCATCTGGACCTAAGACCTGTTTCTCCCAGGCTTCAACCCTGTCTGAGGTCCAGAAAAGGCCTAGAATATTCCAGAAGTCTTCAAGGTCCTTTTTCCCTTTCTGGCCGAGGCTGTATGGGTATATATGCGCAATTTCAAGCGGCTCAAGGAACCCGGTAAGAACACAGGTAGTGTTATCCCGTTCCTTGCACTTTATTGGGTTAGTGAGAAATTGACTCAGTTGTGTCGTAAGTAAATTGAACTTACAAGTTTCTTTGCGGCTGCCTTTCGGCCAGTCGACTTCGTCGGTGACAAAGATGTAGATTTTCGTTTTTTAGGTCTTGCTGTCGTAGAGGAGGTTGTCGCCGAGGAACGTCCAGCTTCTTGCGTGGCGATCCGTCTAGGGACTGTAGAAGACACTCTTGAACCAGAAGCATACCGGCGCTTTTTGGTCGGAGTTTCTTCGATCTCTTCGTCTTCTGAGTCCTGAAAGGGTTCCTCCAAGTCGTCGTCAAACTGTGCAGCATCCCGTTGGTTTCTGGACCGAACCGCCCCTGATGCTGTGTTAGCTAGTACCTCTTCTATGGTTAATCAAGTCACTTACAGGCCTTCACCATGTCAACAATCGTCATACTAGTGAGACTGGCTTTCGTAGTCCTGCAAAAGAGTCTATCTTCACATTGTTTGGTGAGGCTCCTTATGTTCGAGAGATCTGCAAACCACAGGCAAGCCCATGCAGCTGAATTAATGAGAGGCTCTCCAATAATATGTAACAGCTGCATGATCAGCTCGTGACGCTGTGGGTCGAGAAGTTCGTCTGCGGGGCCCATGGTAGCCATTTGAGCCTAGTCGGAGGTAAGAGGGACGGGTTGTTGGGTGGGCGTTGACATTCACGAGAACTGAAGTGGCGTCAGCTTCTGCTGTGTGCCACGCGGGAGTTGTAATGAGAAAATCGGCACAAGCTATTGCTATGTACCACGACGGGCATTTAAATAGAAAGGCGGCAAATGGTCAAGCTACAACAGATGGAGGTCCTGGGGAGAGGGTTGAATTAAGATAGTAAAGTAGCGGATTATTAGAAGAAGTTCTCTAGGCAACAAGCGTCATGGAGGATGATGTATGTGCTATTCATAGCCACGTGCCTTGGGCGCAACCAGATCAAGCCAACCGCAAGGCAACTTGTTATTCCAGCCCCCTTTGCCTAAGGCGTCCATCCCCTGCTCTTCTTTTAGTTTCTTTTTAACTTTACTGTAAATACTATTTTCTATAAACACTTAGGCCCCGAGCCCACATTTATACTCCTTGTATGTATATACTCAATGTGAGGCATGCTGTTGTGTTATAGATTCAACCATCTCCTTGGCCCTGAATTTATTAGCGAGAGGCATTCTCCTCTTCATGTACATTGGACTTACACGTCTCCAAGCGCTACCATGCACACGGTCTGCCAGACTCCTAGTCCGATGCGTGGCGTGACTCCGCGGTATAGACCCCGTATCCCACTTTGCGCATAGATATACCGGAACGTGCTCCCAATACTGAGCTTGGTGGGGCGATTGGGATCAGCCTTTAGGCTCTGCATCTCTACCCGAATCACCTCGATGGGCTGGTTCCAGCTAGCCAGAGCACCTCCAACGCCGGAGGCCAATATCTTCTCAACAACGCCGAGTCGTTCCTCACGCCCTTTGTTTGTGGCTCTGCGGATCGCGTCTTCAACCAGTCGTGAGAAGCCGAACCGAGACCCCCAATTGGTGACCTGCCGAATTGCTACGGCATTGACTCCTTTGTTAATTTCTCGCAATCCCTCCGTCCGAAACATCGTGACAAATGTCTCCAGGGCACCCGGTGGTTTCAGCCCCGCTGCCGCTTGCTTCTGGCGAGTAATCTCCGCTGTCTTCATACAGGTACAGAACCCGACCGTTGCGTATGCCTGAGCCGCACCACCGACCATGCCTCCTGCAATGCCGGACAGAAACTCGGAGGCCCCGGCTGTCCGCGAATGATACTCGACTTCGGAGGCTACAAAGAGCAGAACCGCGCCTTTCGTGGACGCTTCAATCCAGGCCCACGGGATCAAACCTTGGTAATCTGCTCATATTATCGGCGGGGGTCAGTGGTATGAACGTTCGTGTATCGTCATCGGTGTAGGCGACGTACAACCGGCAATTCCTCCCCGCGACCAGACGCGCCTGAGGGCTGTGATAAATGAATCCGATCTATTAGCTGCCATTGTGGTCTTGATGACTTCCAGCGGCTAGTTCTCGTTAGGCACACATCGCGTCAATAAGGGAACTGACATAAACCGACCTGTCCGAGTGTGGTGACTCTATTAATATAATCAATACATAATCAACAAACTGCAGAATAGGTAAAAACGTACTCGAACATATTCAAGCTAGCACCAACTAGATTGCAGGGTTAGTTAGACAATGCGGCAACAGGCGACAAGTATCTTGGGGCTGGGTCAATTACGCAAAAGATTACTCGCTCCAACATCCCTTTTCTTGATCCTGCCATCAGGCGCTGACTGGTGGAGAGGAGACATTTTTGTTGAACCGATGAAGCACCGCAGTACGAATGACAATTGAGAAAGTACAAGGTTGTTTCATTCTCTAGGCATTGAATAACATGTTCCTATATGTGTTCCTCATCTATAGAACACTAAGCCGATACTACTTCCCCATTCCTCCGATTTTCGGAGCGGTTGCGACCCCCAATCTCTTTTCCACACAGAGCTTGCGCTTCTAGATGTTCTTGACAAGAAATTAGTGCTATAACTTATATCCACTACGAAATGTACTCCCCGACAATCGGACGTTGGTGTTGGGGAGATCTCCAATCACATTGTCCAGAATTACCGATATATATTTCAATGAAGCGGAATATCTGCATGGGTAACCCAACGAGGGACCACTACAACGCGTAGCGTATTAATGGAGCCGATGTGATAGGGAGCATTGATGTTCATTGGATGATTCTAATAAAAGAAGAAAAGACAACAAATTAATTCCCCGCATGCCAATGGGTCCCGTGGCCTCGGAAGATAGGTATGTGGGTGGCCACTTTGGGACCTCTAAAAAACGTGACACCAAAAAGGTACGAGGTAAATCCTTACCATTTCTGATCTTGAGCTACGTCGCTAAAATGTCACTAACCCTAGATATAGCACAGTACGTGCAGATACGTGCAGATACGTGCAGATATATCGTCATAGGGGCTTAGACTTTCCAGTGGCGGCATTAGAGTCGCCAGACGCCAAACGACCTCTCGGATATAATATCCAGAAGGAACACCGGGCTTCCCACGGTAAGGGCCCTAAATATTCATCCATTCAAGAGGTCGAATTCTACAGTCGCGTATACTGGATGGCAAAAAAATGTCAGGCCATGATTACATCATGACGACAAACGATCGCAGCCCTAATGCCACGTGACCCAGAAGTTCTAGGCCGGTCTCATTGGTCGGGGGCTGCCACGTGACCATCGCGTTCCCCGGAGCCATTCATTCCACCCAGTGGCAGCCTCCATTAAGACCGGAAAAGTCCCTCTTTTTTTTCCCTCTACTCCCATGTCCTTAGTAGCGCCACCCGTTCAATCACTATTGCCCGCCCCAATGGCGTCACCGGACTAACGACCCTTATTTTTTCGGGCAATTCCCGCTCTACAGGCTCGACCACGAGACAGGAACTATCAATGGACGACCTGTATCTTTTGCATGCCTCCGGTCGAGTACTACGAATATAAGTATGCTGAGTGATCCCACCGACGGTGCGCTGTCGCGCATGGGCGCGTCCAGCCGGGAATCATCTTCCGACACAGGCCAGACCTTGACTAGCGCGGGGAACCCTAAGATCCGGATTGAGCGCTTAAAGACCGCCGCCCCCGTCATCGCTCACCGCCAACGCACCAGTCGGGCGTGCGCCCCGTGTCATCAGAGGAAGACCAAGTGTGACGGCCAAAAGCCTCAATGCAAACAATGTCGTCAATTAGCCATCCCTTGTATCTACATGGGGTCAAAGAGGGAACGACAAAAGTGGGCCTTGGAATCCGTCCAAGCGAAGATCCAATCTTATGAGTCCTTGTTGCAACGAATCATTATCGATAGTAGCGAGGATCCATCCAAGTTCAAGTTGATTGAAGAACTGATCACGGTATGTATGTCCGACTGTCAGGCATACGGCAGGAAGTATTCAGCGCTGCGGGCTATGCTAATACACATCCAGAGACACTTTGAAGGCACGCCGACGATACTTGCTCCGCTTCTGGCGCTAGGGTCTCCAGCGGACCGAAGCCCGTCCCCGTCCAAACATGGCCTATCACTGTACCGAATGCTTGCCGCGTGGATATCCCATGCCCGTAGTGAGACCCAACCACTAGTGCAGAAACCAGTAATCCAGATCACCCAAATTCATCGTTGGACCTTGCTGGTGAACAATGACGCGGCGAGTCATCTATTATCGCTTTACTTTACGTGGGAGAACCCGACCTGGCAACTGATTGACAAGGATGTGTTCATCCGCGACCTGGAACGTGGACACGGAAAGTTTTGTTCCCCATTATTGGTTACCGTCTTACTCTTTTTTGGCTGTGTACGTGTTGCTGTCGACCGGAATGGAGCGACGACTAACTAAGGGTTCAGAGTCTATCCTATAATCTAGATAAAATCACCGATCGACGAATGGAAAAGCTGCTCAGCAAGGATTTATATACTGAAATCCAGCGTCTGTGGGAGATCGAAAAACACCTCGAGAGTCTTCCCACGGCGCAGTCCAGTATCCTGATTGGGTTACTCTGCTGTACCTTTGGCCTAGATAGATTCGGTACCCGGTACATCATGCATGGTGCTCAACTATGCCTCGACTTAGGGCTCCAGGATGAGTTCCCCTTATACTTCTATGGCGACTCACCGGATGAAGATGGTCAACTCGCTAGGTGTCATAAGTTGGTTTCCTGGGCGGTGTACGATGTTCAAGGGTAAGAGACACCTACCGGCTTCAAAATGTTTCTATCTAACTCGTCCACAGCCTTGCTTCTCAAGTTTACAGAAAGGTACCAGCCTGGAAAGAGCCTCCGCCCGTAAAATTCTCCCCAATTGAAGCAGCAGGATTAGATGCAGGCATTGAATGGTGCCCCTATCCATTCATGTCTCCTATTTCCCAGCCATTCTTCGTCACGGCGGCGTGCTTCAGGTCTGACCTAGTTACTATAGTTCATCAAATTGCCAAGTTTGCCCTTCGGTTTCCAGATGAGGTCATGAATAATGATGATTGGGATTACGGCTACCAATTGTACCGAAAACTCCTTCAGTGGAAGGCCGCCCTGCCACCTGTTCTTCTACTTGAAAATAATACCACACCGCACGTAATCTGCTTACAGTTAGCTATCCCCTTACACCTTGTTGCATGTTCGGTGACTGATAGATATTGTAGTGAATATTACCATGCAACGATTGCATCTCTTTGCCAGGTCTTCTGTGCAAACCTGGGCTCGACGGATAACCAGATTCCGAATCCGAACGAGTTTGATCCATACACAATAATGTCGCAGGCTTTAGATGACATGGGGTCCTTGGTATTGCTATTTAAACGCTGCCACGGGTGGAAGTCTCTCCCGGTCGTCATGCTGCACTATTTTTGTGTCGCAGGGGTTCACTCAGTGTCGAAGCTGAGTGCTCATGAACCGAAGTGGAGCTATGTTCTGGAGGACTGCGTGGTGGGCCTTTGGCATATGAGTTTGGGGTGGGGTCGATTATGTACAGCATTCCTCCGGACGATCGAACTGGTCCTGAAGCAAAGCAATCCGGACCCGTCTCTCGTGCCTTCCCGGGTCGTCGAGATATTCACAAAACTAAACGAGGGCGCTTTGTGGACGGTGACGGACATCTCATCCCTGGCGGCCGATTATGTGGTTCATCACGTACCCACCCGAGCGGACTCGAGTTCGAGCCCATGGTCTGCTTACCGATCCCAAGGCTTACAGAATCTTATCCATGATATGGATAACCTTTCCATCCATCTAAGCTCTGAATCACCGGAGTCCCTATCGTCCGTCAAGACCCCGTATGATTCTCGCAGTTCCGAAGATCCCGACATGTGAGGTGTCTGTGTGATTATTTGGGGTTAATACTCTATGCTACTAACACCATCTGGGAATCATGCACTACGTCGGAGCAGGGGTGCTTCTTCATCTATGATGCCTCTTTCCTAGTCACACTGTACACGTGATGTGGCGGACGGCATTGGCGTGCGGTTTGAAGGTGTTTCTAAAATATGAGTCAAACCGCTGTCTGCAGAGGTTGTTGCAAGCTAGAGCTATCGCCATGGCGCCAGTCGCCTGTCTTTATCGAGACACCTTGCTCATCCCCACACGGGAAGATCTTCACGAACTCTAATACCCATTTACTATGAGAAAACGACGTGGCGAGAACACGGTGCCGCATTTCGTGAAGGTGATGGATATACACACGAACAGTATATAGAGTTCACCTAATTCGCCGTGGAACGGCCCACAGCCCCCATATTACGGGATGACCATCTTAATAGCATACTCAACCTGGTTCATTCAGATGCACGTGGCTTCCTATCCTGACGAAGGTTTCTGAGGTTGTCTGCAGGGGCAAAAGACTTCTGTCACCTTCCCTCATCTTCAATTCAAGAGTCACAGCGTCTTTAGATGGCAACCAGCTTGCCAACTAATCCAATGTATCGCGAACAAACTCATCTAATTATAATAGTTTCTGATTCGAAGTGTTGCTTGGCCTCCCGTGCCCCTCTGGTTTTTGTTCCATAATGATGAGAGTGAAGTACATAAAGACGTTATTTATCGCTGATATCACACTTAAAAGTACTTGTATGTATAAGATTATACTATGTACAATTATATAGATCTTAATTTGAATCTATGCAATTTTGAAAACGCTATATCTCAAACACCACCTCCTCATCCCAACCTAATCAATCCTTAGAAGGTTGTGAAGCAGTCCGAAATAAGCCCCGAAGCGCATTAATAACGTATTTCTCCGAGGAGCGCTTCTTCTCATCACGAAAGATACCCACATCTTCTTCTTTCACTACCTCCGTCTCACTAATTCCCCTCCGCCGCCTCCAATTCATCTCTGTATTCGTAACATACCCCTCCCTATACATCGGTCCGTAGAACTTCTTTGCCTCCTCCCTCGGTCTCCACCTGAGAATATCATAAGAGCTAGCCCTCGTCATCGCCGCATCACGATCCCGAGTCGTCATATTCGAACCCCCGTCGACAACATGTACATTGACCGCACGAGAGCGGAATTCATCGCCCATCAATATATTCTCAGTGGGAGTCACGAAAATAGTTATATGTGATGGAGGGATAGGATACGCAAGGAGATAATCCAATGTGGCCCTGTCCACACCAGCGACGGGGCCGATCACAAAGCGATGTCCACGTTCAATGGCAGCGTTGATTTTGGGTACGTAGTGCGTGTGGAAATAGGTGTTGTCTCGGCCTATGTCCAGAGGGCCGGAGATAAATGCTATCTCTGGATTTCGGGGGTTTGTTGAGTCTGGGGATGTCATGTTGTATTTTTGGGGGGAAATTGAGATTCGATCCAGGAGGATGGTGGTGGTTTATATAGGGCAAGGCGGAGTTGGGTGGTGTCAGCCTTATGGGGCTGTGCGCTTGGAGTGGGGAATTATGCTTGGCAGTTGATTTATTTGTTAGCGCATTGCAGCATGGGTAAGTCGAAGGACTTATAGTTCTGGTATTATGCTTGGCTTGTAGGAGTTTTGTAATCATTGGTGGACTGGTAGGGTGTTCAGAAATTAGCAATATTTCGTCAAAATCTGGCCACAGAATCGAGATGATGGCTGAAGTAGATATGCGATTGCAATGTAGGGTTCGTCAATAGTATGCGATTTTTGATTGCTAGGAAGAAACAGCATGCTGTACTATATGACTAGTATGTATTCATAATGCAGCATTAAAGCCTGGCGCTGGTTCACATAAGGTATTGGTCCATGCGCAGCCATGCACGAATGGTAGATACCCACAATGCCACTGCCAATCGAAAAATGAAAGTCAACGATCGACTAGGCATGATGGGGCAGTAAGCCTGTACTAGCATGGGCCTTCGCTTGCTCGGCACGGACTCTGGTGTTGACATGATGCTGCCATCGGATGTCGCGATGGCGTGCTTTTAGTCTCGCATTAGATTGATAACAACAAGGATACATAAGCCGTTCTGTCTGTCTTGCACTGTTCGCTGATGCCTCCCAGTACGAGGAAACAATGAGGATATTTAATGCTAATTTAATTCTGGCCGCCTCTGTGGTGGCCCTGGATCAAGCGCCTCTTCGGCTTCAGGATGGCAGTGGTGGGAATATCCCCGACATCATCCGGCACAATGACACCCACGGGCGTCCGAACATTGTTTTTATTTTAGTGGATGATCAAGACTTGCAGATGGACTCATTGTCCTACACACCACATACGAACCACTACATCAGAGACCAGGGAGTCTTCTATAAAAATCACTTCGTCACAACAGCGTTGTGTTGTCCGTCCCGTGTGAGCCTGTGGACCGGAAAGCAGGCGCATAATACCAACGTCACGGAAATCTATCCACCATATGGTACGTTTCGTGAGATTAATGAAAACGACCTCCAAGCTTACACTTTGTCTAGGAGGATATCCGAAATTCGTCTCCGAAGGACACAACGAAAACTGGCTGCCGCTGTGGCTTCAAGACGCCGGATATAACACCTACTACAGTGGCAAGCTCTTCAACGCGCACACTGTGGATAACTACAATTTGCCATTCGCCAAAGGCTTCAATGCTTCCGACTTTGTTCTGGACCCCTACACTTACCAATACCTCAACCCGGTCTATCAACGAAATCATGACCCGCCCGTTTCCTACTCCGGACAACACACCATCGACGTCCTGAGGAATAAAGCACTGGGCTTACTCGATGACGCCGTCGCAGAGCGCCACGAAAGACCCTTCTTTCTCACTATTGCGCCAATTGCGCCGCATTCCAACTTTGAAATGACCAATGCGAGCGACTACACAACGTTTCGCTTTTCGGCGCCGATTCCGTTGGAACGGCACAAGAATCTGTTCCCCGAGGCGAAGGTGCCGCGGACGGAGCATTTTAATCCTGATACGGTATGTTTTTGTCTCTATTGTTCAGTAAAATGAATTTTAACTCTAATATTAATCCTCAAAACAGCCCAGCGGAGTCAACTGGATCAGTACTCTCCCCAAGCAAAGCCAAAGCAGTATCGATTCCAACGACGAGTTCTACCGTGCCCGTCTACGCGCGCTCCAAGGAGTTGATGAAATTGTCGAACAGGTCGTCCAGCGTCTTGAAGATGCAGGCGTCCTCGACAATACGTATATTTTCTATACATCTGACAATGGCTATCACATCGGCCAACACCGATTGCATCCCGGCAAGGAATGTGGCTTTGAGGAGGATATTCGTGTACCGATGTTCATTCGAGGACCTGGTATCCCGGTTGGTGAGGAGGTCGACTTTGTGACAACGCATATTGATTTAGCACCTACTATTTTCGGGATAGCTGGATTGGATCTCAAGGAAGAATTTGACGGCACTCCCGTACCTCTGACAGCAAGGGAAGTGGAAGAGGAGAAATCATCGAAGAGTCGTCATGAGCATGTCAATGTGGAATATTGGGGCAAAGCAGGATTTGAAGGCGAGATGAGCAGGGCTCGTAAGTCACTCAATTATTGTCGTTCGTTTACTAACGGTCTTTGCTGATGTTTTAACTCCAGCGGACGGAGGACCCATTGCCTTCCGGAACAATACCTACAAGGCTCTAAGAGTCTTAGGGGAGGGTTATAATCTCTATTACTCCGTATGGTGTACGAATGAGCATGAACTGTATGATCTAACAGTGAGTATCTTTCGTTGTACACCCATTCCACGAAGTCATGTCACTTATTCAACGACAGGCCGATCCTTATGAACTTAATAATCTTCATCCATCTGTTTCCGGCAACAGCGAGCAACAGTTACTTAGGTATCCCATTGAAAAGGTCATCTCCCGCTTAGATGCCCTGCTGCTTGTTCTGAAGTCCTGCAAGGGATCTACTTGTGTGAAGCCATGGGAAGTCCTTCACCCCGCAGGGGATGTCCAAACTCTGAATGATGCTCTGGGCGATGCCTTTGACGTGTTCTATGATGAACAGGTTAAGGTTGAGTATGGATGGTGTGAGGAGGGATATATCGTGGATGCTGAAGGACCGCAGGTTCCTTCTATATATCAGGGGACTCGATGGAGTGACTGGTGGTGATTTTATCTCCATTCTCCTTCTTCAGGTTGAAATTGAAAAGGTATATTACCCGGTAGAATATGTGAGGAATAAAATGTACATATATACAGCCATGATCTCAAGTCGCTTTGAATATTGGCTTGAACAGAGTGGTTATACAAAAATGAATATACGAGTGATTAATTGGCTGATAACCCTAGGAAGCTCGCGTTCCTACTATGGTAACAAGGGTGCTTCTGAGATATCAAACAAGCACGCAAAACAGCTTGTCACACTACCTGTCTAGACTGCAACTAATGTCTTGTTTTTAGTGTAATAGAAACATGCAGCTGCTGTATTGTTCTTAACTTAATCACGAATATCCAGCCTCAATACAAGCAAGTAGTATATTGAAATGGATATAAGCTTTAATACAGTGCTGAGAATATAATTTCTTGTTTCCTCTTTGGGGTAAACCGCGCTGTTGTACCCTGATAGCAAATCTCCCTAGGATGAGTTCCAACGAGTCAGACGACTGAATGGAACCAAGTACAGCCATTTAGAAGAAAGCACGAGCAGCGAGAGCAACAACACCAGTGAGGAGAGCGCCGAAGTGGAGCTGATTGTTCGAGGCAGCACCGGTGAACAGAGGGTTAAGGCTGGAGGAACTGTTTAAGAATTCATTCAATTAATATCGCATTCACCAACACTGCAAATTTGTAAGTACTTACGTCAGGTTGCCAGAGAACTTGCCAGAGGAGGTAGCGGCAGGCACAGGGGACATGTAGGTGGAACTGCCAGACACAACAGTCACGCTGGGGCAGCTTCCGGGGTGAGCTGGATTACAGCCACCAGGGATTCCGGCGACACTGCTGAAGCCAGATGGGGTCACGGCGGGGACAGGGGAGAGGTAGGTCGAGCTACCAGACACCACAGTCACGCTGGGGCAGCTTCCAGGATGGGCGGGGTTACAGCCACCGGGGATCCCAGTGGGAGTAGGACAGCTGCCAGGGTGCGCTGGGTTGCAACCGCCGGGGATTTCAGTTGGAGTGGGACAGCTACCTGGGTGAGCAGGGTTGCATCCACCGGGGATTTGGGTAGACTCAGGGCAGCTGCCAGGATGAGCTGGGTTGCAGCCCAGTCCGCCCGGGATTTCAGTAGATTCGGGACAGCTTCCAGGGTGTGCTGGGTTGCAGCCACCTGGGATTTCAGTTGGCGTAGGGCAGCTACCTGGATGAGCAGGATTGCAACCACCTGGAATCTGGGTTGACTCAGGGCAGCTACCTGGATGAGCAGGGTTGCAGCCAAGACCACCGGGAATCTCAGTCGTTGTCTCAGGACAGCTACCAGGGTGCGCTGGGTTGCAACCACCTGGGATCTCAGTGGGCGCAGGGCCTTCCGGTGCTACTGCCGCGTAGGCTCCGGAGAGCAGAAGGACGGCAGTCAAATGAGTGAGTTGCATTTTGATGGTTAGAAAAGATTGTAGTGGAAGATAAGTTAGTTCCTAGCGACGATACGCGACGGCAGTCGAAATGAGCGGATGGGATGCAAAAGGAGTGTCTGAGGTTGGCCAATAGATTGCGCTCAATGCGACCAGGTCAAGGGGAACAATGTTCTTATATCATAATTGGTATGGTATATCGGGTCTGTTCCGAGACATGAATCTTCCGAAGAGCCATCCACCGGGATCTTTTGCCAGCTATGGAAAGCTATTGCGGTGAAACGTCCCAGAACACAAAGAGAATAGATCCAAAACATCAATAGATGGAGGAGAGACATGCCAAGATATAATCCCGACATAGGGCGCTATACTATCCGATGAAGCTGCGCTATGGAAATGAAGGCCAGGTTAAGAGCGGTCTTTTTTGAGTCTAGTGGTATCGATATAGGGTTAGGAACATTCATCCCTATTGTGGTAGGTGGGCAATGATCTGTGTTCGGTGAATCGTTTTTACCGAAAGGAACCTTTGCTCAAAACAGGTATGGCCAGCTGACAGTCTGTAGATCATTGTGGTATGCTATATTACGATCAACACGACTATCACATGGTTCTTGATTTTGAGACCAAGCGGCAAGCATTGACATGACGTGAAGACCAGTCCGACTGCAATCGTTCTTTCGTATACAGTAGCAGTCTGCCACGCAGAACTCGACTATACCAATTGCCGCCGGAGGAGCATTACTGTAAGATTACTATTTACATCATGGTCAGGCATAAAGAAGGATGTAGAAATCCCCATGACTTGGCTAGAAGCGCGAAGCATCACCGAGGTAGATTTGCATGCCTTAGACCCCATTCTACAATGATATGGTCTCTTATCTTGAAATTTATGCACAAAAGGTTTCGATTTCTGGAGCGCTGGCCCGGGGCAAAATCTTGTTTCTCAGTTCTCTCATGTCGCTGCAATGGGAGTGTGGGTCTTATCACAACAATTATAGGGAGTTACTGAAAGGACCGCCTAATTTAACGTAGATCGGAGAGCTAGGCTCATATATCCCATGCAGTTGTGGGCTGTCCCTTCGAGCATGTATCGAATAGCAGGTTATGTTTCACTTTGACCATTCTCACTGGGAACAGGCCTGAGACATGGTCCATTGTGAAGAGCCATACAATGCATAACGGCCCTTGGTAAGTCTATATTCGGGAGCAACTAAGCTCCGCAGTGGGTTTGGCCTGCAAATTTTAAGGGGCCTATCAGGAACAACGACCCACTTCCGAGTCTCAGGATGGCTGTGGCTCGGCCAGAACGCCGACTTTCGCAAATTCAATGACTCCGGACCTGTAGCTATTTTTATGGTGTTTTTGTTGGCGGCAAGTTAGGCTGATCTTCTTGCTACTGTGGACCAAGGTAATGCTTTTCGGGTCGGTCATATAAGAGGAACCCTGGTTTTTATTTTTATAGCTTCTGTTCTTTGTGAGATTTTAGCCGAGCAATAAAGGTGGTCACTGTGTTTTACTCCTGGGAAACCATGACAATGTCAAATTACGCACTGGTTGGAGTATTGGGGTTGTTGCGGCAATGTAATGCCTTATAGAAATCAATGTTTTTTGGATGATCCGAAGGTGATGATGTTTGAACAAGGACTACTTCATTTGACTACCTACATACTTACGTCTATCATGGGAATAGGAAATCAACCAATGGACTTTGTTTTTGTTCTCTAAATCAGAAGGTAAGGACGATCCTTAAGTTGTAGACACATTAGCGGCACGCTCGTGCTCCACGCTTGCGAGAACAAAGGAGGAAGAACCATGCAAGCTGTTGTAGAGGAGGGGCTGATGGACGTAATACTAAAGTTGTTCCACCTGTTAGCTGGTTACTACTCAAGAGATACCTGTTCCAGGAAAGGCAAACCTCATAAGTTGCATTCGAGCTCAAACTACAGACGGATACTGTGCCATTATAGCCCAGTGTTCCATTCTTGTTGTCAACCACGAAGTTTTCGAGAAGATGACCATAGCATTTACTGGCGAGGGCTGCGGGTACCGGGGCTTTCTCAGGAATGCCGTGCAAATAGCCAAGTCGGGCACCCTTGTAGAGCGCATACGTGAACATCGCTGATCCACTTGACTCGATGTAATTGCCCTCTCTGTTCGAATCCGTCATAACCTGCCACCAGCAACCAGTCTCTGCATCAGCCGCGGCCATGACGGCAGTAGAAAGCGCAACAAATCGCTGGTGCACATGATCCCACTGCTCCTGGCTGAGAACACCTTGCTGGCGTGAAATCTCCAGAATGTCTACTAAGGCCATCATATACCAACCCAAAGAGCGACTCCACACAATTGGACTTCCACCCGTGACAGGATTCGCCCAGACAGCTGTTTTCGATGCGTCATATCCGTGTACCAGTAAGCCGGTGTTGTTCTGACGACAATGGGACCAAAGGAGGTCGAGTTGATAAACGAGATCCTTTCCTACAGCGCTACTGTTCGATGTCGCGAACTGGGCCGTGTAGGTGGAATAGAAAGGGATGAGAGAGTACATCCCATCAAGATAACTCCAGTTAGGGTACTTGAAATACCAGTATCCCCCTATTCATTGATCAGCATTTATTAACGATGAAAAACGTATACAGGCAAGTGATTAGTGGTGGTCGTGTTTCTGATTGAACTTCGTTTTCTATGCTTTTGCCCATTCATATTTCCAGGGTATCTACGTACCATATTGGTTTCTAGGCTGCAGATGGATGGACTGCTGCAACGCATCCAGCGCCGCCTTATATGTTTCGTTTCCTGTTCTCTCATATCTATCTGTTTGTGAGCTCAACACCTTTTTTCCCGGTGGAACGAGGGCCATCTGATCGAGATATAATCCGAGCTGGGGGTTTATCTAATCAACGTACTGGTAGAACAGACCATTCCCATCCGAAAATCTGTCAAGAGGATACTGAGTATCCTTGGTGGCATTCAGAAGCCAAGGCGTGACGCTCTGCGTACTTGCTTCGAGGTAGGCGTCCCAATCGGCCTGTGCGCAGGCGCTTTCCGGGGAGCCATAGTACTCTTTCAACCGTAGAATGGCGTTTTGGAAAACACCTATTTGTAGAAAGGTTGACGCTTCCGGCGTCGTTCCCGCTGGCAAGACTGCCTGGCCGCGAGAGATGACACTGTCGGCCATCCAGGCTGAATAAGGACGCGCGTCCGCATTGCAGGACGATGGCGATGGTACCGCTGCTCCATGGGAGGTGAAAAGGAGTGGTAGAAGTAAGGAAGACACTACTATTGATTTAAAACTAGCCATGGTAGCCAAGACCCGTAAAGTTGTATAATTAGTTCAGGGTACGTGAAGAAGTTGGACGCGAAAATCGGATTCCAGGGGCTGGGGCTGATCTTTACCGAATTCAGCAATCTTATCAGATTCACAATTCGACGCGACAAGATTAAAATGTAACAGTATGTGGACATTGTTCCTCCTCTACTCTGTACAATACCTTTGATCCCAAGAAAGCCCGACCCCGAACTAGAAAAATGGTAAAAAAAAAAAAAGATTCCCATCTGTGAAATCGATATCTTTGACAGCATTGCAGTACCTGCTCTCACTCTCACGCCAATTGTTTATCGCGCACATCAGCGTGGAATGAGATACTCTCAGCTATCCTCCTCTCTCCTGATCTGGACAAGACGTTGGGTAGCGGTTTCTGTTTTGTGGAATCGCCATGGCTTAATCTTCCTCTCGAACAATTCGTCCAACTCAGCGGCAGAGCGACTGGGTAAATATATATTTAGCATACCCGGACTTTCATATAGAAATCTGAGCTCCTAAATGGTGACAACTTACCCAGAAGTCTCTGGAATTAAGAACCACATTCCAAGGGTAAATGGAAAACCGACCCCAGCATAGAACCAACCTGTCTTTAGGCCCCAGTCCCACTTGTTGACGTTCGTCATGTAAGGGACTAGGTTGCTCATCACCACACCTACGATGCAGGTTACAGCTGCACCGAATCCTGCCGTGTAGGGTCGTAGTCGCTGGGACGAGATCTCGCCAATATAACCCCAACCTGTTGCGCCGTTCGCAGCTAGACCAACATCTATACAATGAGTTATTAGCTAATGCTCACATAGATCAAAAGTCTGTATCCTGGCGGTGGCTTACTCCAAAGGCAAGCGAAGAACACGAAAGCATATGTAGACCCATTGCTCTGGGAAACAACGCCAACGATGCCGATAGCCACACAAGCGAGCCATGACAGTGTGGTGCCCCCACAGGCCAGCCATCGTCTGCCTAGGCGGTCGGCTACCGCCACGAGAACCAGAACCGTGGCAATTTGGATAGATGTAGTAATGACTTTAATTTTGAAGGGGTCGCTCAGACCAGCCTGCTGGAAGAAGTACGTCCCAAACGTGCTGAAGAGCGTGAGCCCGATGAGCTGTTGCGTGGTGTTCGTCCACAACGTGATGACAGTGCGTAGGCCATCAGTTCCACGGAATATGGAGTACCACCTCTCTCTTCGCTGCTCGGCTGCTATGGCCCGCTCGTGCTCAACTGCGAGGGACAAGACACTAAGTTGTTGATCCACGTTATAGCCCGGAACCCCATGATAAAGTCGCAAGAGCTCCTTTCTGGCTCGATCAGTCTTACCAGCGTCGATACACCAAGCAGGGGACTCAGGCACGACAATATATATCAGGAACATTATGCCAATCTGAGCCCATTGGGTATAAACGGGTATCAAGTAATTCATAGGATGATCGTGGGCCAGATGCTGCAGAGCAACCTGTGCAAAGAAGGAACCAAGTGACCACCAGAAACTATAGCACATCAATAGACCACCACGAATACGATTCGGTGCGACCTCAGCAATGTAAGTTGGTACCGTGGACTGTAGACATCCGACACCAATCCCAGCAAGTAGTTTGCCGACGAGCCATGCCTGCCACGACCTCGACAGACTTTCCGCGAGCACGCTACTCACAAGAATCACCCAGAATGTGTACATCGCCGTCTTCCTACCATACCTACTTGACAGGAACGGTAGTGAAACCATCCCGACGATTTGACCACAGGACATGATGGAGCTCCATCCAGCAAGGATCGGCGACGCCAGAGCGGGCTTTCCGTCCTTTCCAATTTCAGTGGCAAACTGCGCGACGAATCCTTTATTAGCGATAATGCTGGCATTGATTCTGGTACACACTGTCAGTTCATCGGACACCTATGCATTCTGGGACCTTAGGGCTATAACTGACCCAACCTGATATCCATCGGTAGCCGCACTGAAAGCCATGGCGAAGCATACGATCGTGCAAACTTTGAATGTTTTGATCGTTTCCCAGATTCCTAGATCCTCATACCCCGACACAGCTTGGCCTTTTGTTGCAGCATCCAGTGTAGCCTCCGAAGGCTTCACTACTCCCTCGCCCGACATTTCGACATGTTCAACCGAAGACTTAGACTGTCCAGCGTTTGTTGCCATTGTTTCCAGGGTACCAAAGAAAGTACTTCATGTGCTAGGAGGAAAGGTGTACCAAGATGAAGGATGGGAATGAACTCCAAGAGAACGGTGCCCTTAAGAGCGTGAAGGCCTTGCATTGTGGCTTGACCATGCCCCCTTGGAGAGTCACGAGAAAACCTTCTCCTGTCCAAAGTCAGTATAATGCGTTATCAATTTCAACAGGGTGAGTATAGCCGAGGTTGATAGTGAGTGAAACCTCCAGGCCTGGCGGGCAGGACTGTTTCGGTGCCCAGGCTTGTGCCCCTTTGGGCTCGGTCTCACATACCCCGGAGTTTGAGGCAACGAAGTCAAATCTTATGTTTATTAAATTTGTCCAACCCACCGGGGAACAAGCGTTAGTCACACTATATGCAGACCCCGCGGTAAGCTACCATATTGTATGACCATCCAATTGGCCATAGTCCGAGAACAGGGGACAATCGAAAGTCAAAGCCAGTCTACGGGGTAATTAAATCCGGGGTACAGATACTACTAGCGGTGTTTCTTTGCTGGTAAAGAAGGATGAAGCGATTAAATCCAAAGAACCTAAGCCAACTACGTTCGGATATCAGAATATAGCCTATTTGGAAAGCTGCCCGTTGCTTGCCACCGGAAAGTCATACTTCACAACAGCCCCAATGATGGGGTGGCTTGCATGATCGTGGTTTCTAGTATCTCCCTGGCTGGTCCTAAGTATATAGCAGTGCAAATGGTGGAATGGACGAATTAGCCCATCCATACCGTTACGCGTGTAATATGCTATGTGCTAACGTATCACCAACCGTAGGCCCTGAGGACCAGAGAAGGATGATAGTTTACTTTACTCTAGTGCGACAGACCTACGATCTCTCACGAAGTACCCCACATCAAAAACGGTCTAGCCCAGACAGTTGTAAAAGAGGGCATCCATGCACTAACATAGGACCGGTTGGGGCTTCGTAAACCATACCAATTCGGGAAAGAAGCACGATTCGATCTACAAGGAATCCCGTATCTTAGTCCCCTACGTTAAGCCAGGAGGGTAGAAAGAGGCAGTCTGAACCATGATGGCAGTTCCCATTGGAGCGTATTACTCCCATCGGGTGCTCCGATTGGCACTGGGAGCCCCAGTCGAGACTAATTTCTCACATATCTTCTACTGAAATACGCAATACGAATTGAGAGCCAATTCTAGCTTTCACCCACCGTGGAAGCCCAAGAAATGTGAAAGCCAAAGATTAAGCTTGCACTTTGGCTAAGTATTCATCGAGTGCAACATATGTTGGTAAAGGGTGGTCTAGATGGCATTTGCATAGTATGCTATTTCTACAGACAGAGGCTGCTATGGCTAATCGATTCATCCACCTATCTCCGGCTTGTGGCCCTACGTTTCTCGAAACTCTCCTGTAGATACTTTGCCGATTGTTTGGGTGTGCGGACTAAGGTTGTGAAATCGACATGTGTGATTCCATAGCGTGGGCCATAGCCCGCAGACCATTCTGTTTCAAGAAAGGTTAGTGTGCAGCCATGAGTTCCGAGGGGACAGACGTACCGAAGTTATCCATTAATGACCAGATGTAGTAGCCCTCGACTTTAACCCCGTCATCATAAATGGCCCGGGAAATAGCATCGAGATACAGCCCAAAGTACCGAATGCGGAACTGGTCGTCTAGGGCTTGCTCCTTTGTCATCTGACTTTCGCCGGGACAGGGACATCCATTCTCAGTGATTACGATTGGTCGACTATAGCGTTCCCAGACCCAGTTCAGCAACTTCCGGAACCCTGCGGGTGTCACCCGTAGCCAGGACATGCCAGACAGAGGTCCCATGGTCTTCCCCTCGCTGTTGGTGGGCCCTTCCTCCACATTACCGGTGCAGTCATCGTCCGCCGGTGGGTCAGGTAGGGCTCGTGCGTATTTCGTCGTGTAATGGTTCATACCATAGAACGAGTTGATTGGGGCTGAGCGAAGGAGAAGGTCCAGCTCTTCCGATGTAAATTCAGGTAAACGACTGCCCAGCTGAGCTCGCATGGGGGCTGGATAATCCTTTCCCAGGAAGACGGGGTCGCCAAACCAACCGATGTAAAACTCCAAGCGACGCTGAGCAGCTAACCGATGTTCTTCGCTGGCCGCATCCCACGGCTCATAAAAGTGTCCATTCAGGACGATTGAAATATCCCCTTTCTGTGTGCGTTGAAAGTCCGTCGCGTAGGCCTGCACAGCAGCAGTATGAGCAAGGATGATGGTGTGGCCGACACGCCATGGCTCAGTTCGAGAATCACCACCTGTTGTACTGCTGCGACCGGGAGCAAGCACCCCACTATGATGCCCAAAAATTGAAATAATATAGGGCTCATTGAATGTGATCCACCGTTTGACACGATCACCAAAACGTGAAAAGCACAACCGCGCATAATGTTCAAAGTCCGCTTGAAACTCGGCGGTATTCAAGAAGGCCCCGTAGCGATCATAGATCCCTTGCGGTACGTCCCAATGATAGATGGTCACAACAGGCTCAATATGATGCTCCAAGAGACAGTCGATGAGCTTATTGTAGAATGCGATTCCTTTCTCATTTATCGGATCGTCACGTCCGCCCAGAGGGATAATTCGGGTCCAGGCGATGGAGAAACGATACACATCCACACCGTATGAGGCCATCAACTCAACATCCTCTGCAATACGATTGTAGTGATCACAGGTGATGTCTCCATTTTCCCCGTTGGTACGAGAAGGGTCAAGGTGAGTGAACGTGTCCCAGATGGACTTCCCTTTGCCGTCCTGGAAGGCGCCGCCTTCAACCTGATACGCAGCTGTAGCAGTGCCCCAGGCAAAGTGTCGAGGTAGCGGCAGCTCCTCTACAGCAGGGAGACCGTCTTGAACCAAATGACTGGCATCCTGGGGGACATCGTCCTCCGCCTTAAACATATTCACGTTCATATTGGTTGTTTGTTTGAAATAAATCAGATGAAATTGCGGCAATAGCGCGTGCCTTGACATTAATAACATATTTTTATATACTCCTCATCATGTAAGAACCAAATGGGAAAGATAAAAGGACATTTTGCTTAGCAAAACATTGAGTGGAGTTTGATGAAAGCACCAAAAATAATCCTTGCAAATCAGCCATTGATGGAACCATGTTCAGCCAAACATAACGCAACACAGAGATCTCGTGCCCGCGAGGGGGTATGAGAGTCCCACCAAGCTCGGACTATTTCGCTCATAATAAACCCGAAGCGATGAAGGTCTTTCATATGCTTTGACGATCGGTGTTCCAAGGTGAGGTCCAGCTCTGTTTTCTCCCCTTCCATTTCACCCGCAGTCCGATCCAGAACTTGCAATGGCCTTGGTTACTAACGTTCAATTCGAGCATTACCATCCTCCTAATACTCTTGGGGTCCAGGAGAGGGAGCCTCGCATCTCGTGGCGTTTCAAGAATGTCCTCAGGCATTTTCGACAAGAGGGTTATGAGATACAGATATTCGACTCTGAGCATACTCTCCTCTCAACTGTTAAACGTACTTCGCAGCAGTTTTACCTAGTCCCATGGCCGTCTGATCAACCCCTAAACTCACGACAGAAAGTCTACTTGCGCGTTAGGGTGTGGGATGGAGAGGGGTACATATCACCATGGAGTGAAGAGGCTTGTCTAGAGACGGGCCTCTTGGAGCGCAGCGATTGGCAGTGTGAGCGTATCGCTGCGCCCTGGGGACCTCAAACTACCGAGCCCACCCCAGAGGATTTGTACCGAAAAGAGTTCTCTCTCGCTGGAACTGTCCGTCAAGGGCGCCTATATGTTACTTCACAGGGTGTTTATGAGGCGGAGATCAATGGCCGCCGAGTAGGTGACTACTTCATGGCCCCTGGTTGGACTACATACGACGGAAGATTACAATATCAGACTTACGATGTCACCTCCATGCTTTCAGTTGATATAAATTGTATCGGAGTCCGTGTCGCGGAAGGCTGGTTCTGTGGCCGTATTGGATTTGAAGGAGGACACCGTAACATTTGGGGTCCGCACACTTCCCTGATGGCGCAGCTTGAGGTCACTTACACCGACGGGAGAGTTGATACTATCTCATCCGACCGCTCATGGGTTGTTACGACCGGACCTATTCGACTGGCAGAAATATACGACGGAGAGAAATATGATGCCACGCGAGAAATCCCCTGTTGGTCATCCTCAACTAATGCTTTGCATCCTGTCTGGAAGCCGGTCCTGCTCATGGATCCATTGTCCGACTCGGTCCGGCTCACTGCAGGCATTAGTGAGCCTGTCCGGAGGACTGAAGTCGTTCCGCCCATTCAGAAAATAGTCACATTGTCAGGCAAGATAATACTCGATTTTGGCCAGAACCTAGTCGGCTATCTCAGACTCAAGAATATCAAAGGCCCCCGTGGCCACACTATAAGACTGTCTCATGCAGAAGTCCTAGAACATCAAGAGCTGGGAACCAGACCACTCCGGATTTGCCAGGCGATCGATGAGTATACGCTTAAGGGGGAGGCTCATGGAGAGTATTATGAGCCCCGCTTCACTTTCCACGGATTTCGGTACGTGCAGATTGATGGGTGGGAAGGGGATGCGGACTTGGAGATGTCTGCAGAAGCTGTTGTCTGTCATACAGACATGAAGCAAGTTGGTACATTCTCATGCTCCGATTCGCTTTTGAACCAGCTTTATAAGAATGTCTGCTGGGGCATGAGAGGCAATTTCCTCTCTGTGCCAACCGACTGCCCTCAACGTGATGAGCGGCTAGGCTGGTCCGGCGACTTGGCGTTGTTTGCCCCGACAGCAACACTCATTTACGACTGCTTCAACATGCTTGGGAACTGGCTAGTCGATGTAGAACATGATCAGAATGTCCTCGGAGGAGTTCCAGCGATGGTCACTCCCAATGCGACACTCCCAGACCCCATATGGTGCAGGCGTATCCCATGCGCTATTTGGCATGACGTTACTATTTTGGCTCCATGGGCGCTTTACCAGGAGACAGGAGACAGGAATATTCTTGTTCAGCAGTACGCAAGCATGATAACGTGGCTGAAATGGTTACCACGAAATCAAACTGGGTCCATCCACCTGTGGGATACAACCATTTTCCAACTCGGGGTGCGTATAGTAGTTCGGCGCTCCCAGCTCTAATAGTAGTTTGCTGACTATTTATTCCAGGATTGGCTTGATCCTGCTGCTCCACCAGATGCCCCGTGGAAGGGCGCTACTGATGCGAAATTGGTTGCCAATGCTTTCCTAATCCACAGCTTAGACTACATGTCACGCATCGCTGGTATTCTCGGGAAAGGCGCTGACCGGGAGAGGTTCACGGCAGAGTTGAAGGAGGCCCGGAAAGAGTTTCAAGATGAATATGTCACTCCCAACGGTCGCATAACTTCAGACTCCCAAGCAGCATACGCACTCGCGATTTGCTTTGGTCTACTAACGGCCTCACAGCGAGTCCGTGCGGGTAACCGCCTGGTCGAGCTAGTCCGGAAGAACGAATTCAAGATAGGTACCGGTTTCGCGGGCACACCATATCTCTGCGAGGCACTCACACTGACGGGGCACATTCAAGTCGCATACACCATGCTTCTAGAAACGAAATGTCCGTCGTGGCTTTATCCAGTAACAATGGGTGCAACTACGGTCTGGGAACGATGGGACAGTATGTTGCCGGATGGTAGTATTAACCCCGGGGAGATGACATCGTTCAACCACTACGCTTTTGGCGCTATCGCAAAGTTTCTTTTTGAGAGGATCGCAGGCCTGCAGAGGCTTGAGCCGGGTTGGAAGCGGTTTCGTGTGGCGCCCTCTATCGGAGCAGAGTTTACAAATGCATCGGCGTCTCATGTAACGCCGTATGGTCAAGCTTCGTGCTCGTGGGAAACAATCCATGTCGGGAAGGGACTAGATAGGATCCATTTGAGCGTCATTGTGCCCTATGGGTCAACTTGTGAGGTTGTATATCCAACTGAATCCGGAGAGGAGACAGAGACTGTTGGACATGGTGAATGGTCATTCGAAGCTATCTTCAAGAGGGACTACGAGTGGCCAGTTCAGCCTCTACCACCCAAATCTTAGGACCTGAGAAGAGGATTTTCAATCCAAGAGGAACAGACGCACACATGATTCCATTCACGAATAATGAAGCGGATCGTCATTTCCTTTTATTTTCTTTTCTTCAGTCGTTTCTAAGTAGGGTAGGTGAGGTGGAAGCATACTACAGGACTAGTCGTTGCCTCCTTCACCGTATCCAACGTTGTTCATAAATATAGTCATTCTTTTAATATAACTAGGGAAGCGGAGGCATGCCGATGAATTGGTCGACTCCTGCCAGAGGACACATCCATTTTACCCGACCGAGTTTATAAATCTCCGCCTTGGGCTTTTGCCGATCCAGATACTCAATATCATCAAAAATCCCGGCCCGAAGAATAGTGATATCCTCGGGATCCCCTGACGGCTTGATCTTGTGCCCGTAGATTGGTGTCCCTGCGAATCCTCTTTAGTTAATAGCTTCTCTAATTCCGGAACTGCCCATCACGCACCACAATCCGAACAGAAATAGTTCTTGATATGATTTCCGCTGTCGGCTCTTTTGGCCACTTCCTTGGGACTGCCAGATATTTTCAGGTCCGCCTTGTGGACCACGAAGCTATAGGTGAAAAGAGTCCCCGTCAATTTGCGACAGTCATAGCAGTGACATAATGCCTTTTCCGATATGTCAATACTCCATTGGATATTTTCCGGTGGGAGAATATACTCACTGACATAATGGGCTCGCCGTTATATTCGACACGGATCTTTCCGCAGAAGCAGCCGCCGACAACCATAACGAAGGAGGGAGTAAATGCTGAATTAGGTGTGTAATAGTATGAAAAGTTCGGAGGATGAATATTTTTTCTATCTTTAAAAACCGGCCGGGGTAAAGGAAATTAGTCATCCCTGGAGAAATCTTAGTAAGAGCGATATAACATAACTTGATGTTGAGCGTTGAGGACCAATCTCAACGGTCCCGCTCCCGTAAATCTCCACTGCGGACCCCAACCATACGAGGCTATACACTATAAGAGACGTCTATGGTGTCCGGGCATTTTTAGGTGGTCGGATGGGATTTGGCAGAAGAAAACGGGTTAATCCACTATAGAATCGGCATAAGCCACGTACAAAGTTTAGGTCCACGATATCATAGCTTCGCCCGTATAAAGCTTAACAGCGAAGCGCCGAGGGTTGCAGGCCAGATCTGGAAATCCACGACCGAGCATCACCGGTGGAAAAGCGGACGAAGACCGGGGTTTCTACACCAGAAGATCCGAGAAGGTTGGCCTATATGATTTAGCATAGGTCGAAGTATATTTGTATACACTAGTACAAGGTACCGTAGTGAAGATGGAAACATCTTTCGTAGTCTCAAACTACCCAAATGCACCACTGCCACCTCTTTATGGTCAACGTTAGCGCCATTCGGGAGCGTAGAGAAAGGACCCAGCGTACAAGGATGCACCATTCGCTCTAGGGTCTTACTATAGCGATTGCCCCCTTACAACAACACAAGCCATAAGTATTACTCCATTGTGGAGGCTGTGCTCACGATTAGCGAACTTCAAGTACGTATGATAGGGCCAAGGGCGGCCTAGACAGGCCTAGAAGCGGACCGTGGGTCTGTCAAGGTCTTCAAAAACATTTACAGGATGAAGGCAGAATAGGATGCCTGCTAATGCGAGGGTCTTATTCTCTGGAATGATTAAATGGCAAACGATTGGTGGGTTATCGCTCCGCAAATGTGGAGGAATCTTTGGAATATGTTCATATTTCCTTCATGTTGAACCTTGGATCGGGAATCTTAATTGGAACTATTCACTAGAAACCGGATTAGTTGCTAAGCCATCGTTGGCTGGCCTCAAGGCGAAGCCATGGATATCTACGTTACTGCTCATGCATGTCATTCTTACGGATACATGGCGACGTTGAACTATCAACCTGTAAATTTGAGGTTATAAATTGGCTCTATGCTATTCCTTGTAATGTCTACCATATCACTGGTACTCCATACAGATCAACGAATGAAAGTCTGAATTTCTGCTTCTGATGATAACATGTATTCCTCACGATATTTATCCAAAGCACTCAGGTCCCCCACACAGTACAGTCTCACCAGAACTACTCTTCGAGCCGGACGAGGTTTCCGTACCACTGCCCCGGTAGCGACTCGCGTGTCCGAATTGATCAAGAACGATCATCGCGAACTAGAGGATGCTTATAATCAAATTTTGAGCGCTAAAACTAATGATGACAAGGAACGATGGCAGAACCAATTCACCTGGGAGCTCGCCCGGCATTCCATCGGGGAAGAGCTCGTGGTATACCCGCGGATGGAGAAAGTGCTCAACAATGGCAAAACGATGGCGGATCATGATCGACATGAACATCAGATAGTGAGGCTTCTTAATTCATTTCCTTCCCTCGGCAGTCAGCCACGATAGAGGTTACTGACGGGTATCTCTTCAAAGGTAAAGGAAGACCTCTACAAATTCCAAGGACTTCAGCCCGATGACCCCGAGTTCATTCCCACCCTTAAAACTCTCTGGGCCAACTTAGCGCAGCACATCAAGGAGGAAGAAACCCAAGAACTCCCGGCTCTCGAACATGTTCTGAGTGAATCCGACTCTGATAGCATGGCGCGCTCATTCGGTCGCACTAAGAAGTTCGTTCCTACTCGTAGTCATCCGGCAGCACCTGATAAGCCCCCTTATGAGACGGTTGCTGGGTTGATGTCGGCACCGATGGATCGCTTAGGCGATATGCTGAGGAGGTTCCCCGATGAAGCAAAATCCTAAGGTTTCAGTTTTTTGGCCTTAAGCATTGCGACTATAGTGTATCCAGTATATTTATGAAGTCGTTCCAGTTTGCTTTATTCGGAGTACAGGTAGCTGACAATGGTCAATTCAAGGAATGTATAAATGACGTTATTAACAGGTTGTTCGCAGGTTGGCATTTAAGCAACCCTTTGTCGAAAAGGATTCCAATAAAACAGGCCTCCGTATCGTCTCGCTGGTGTGTAATTCTCTTACCAGGTTTCTCAGTTACCATCACCTGCTTCTTAACCAAAATTGAAGTTTTGGTGGACATCTGACGTACATAAAACGTAAGAAATATGAGAATTAGGTTATAGTGTGGCGGTACCAACGTGAGACTCCAGCCACATAAAAAGACCCGTTCAGGTCCCGGTACTTCCACCTCAACATCTACTACCAGTCAGTGAAGTCAAAGTATTTTGAAAATGGCCGTTTCATCCTATCAGCAACCTCAAGAGTCGTCTGCCGATACCGTTGCTACCAAGTCCAAACCCACACGGGCGTCTCAGCGGCAGACCCTAAGGCGACAGTATTCAACCGAAGCCTCACATTTCCTTACAAGCTTTTACAACAACTTCTCCCATCGGAAGTTGTCAGCGAAGGCGACGCGAAATAACCCCGATGAACCTCTTGGCGGTCTCGACTCGCGAGTGTAGGGACTCCTCAAGTCTGTTTTCCAACGCGACTTGCCAACTATGGATCTGAACGTCGCTGTTCCCTTGTGAGAACAAGGTAAAATCAAGGCAAAGTACCTATTCTTGAGAAGGTTAGGTTTACCAAGATTAACCTCAAATTAACGATTAGTTACTTGTAACTAACGGATGGTTTCAAAGTTGATAATAGAGTTCAGGAGGAATGGAAGGTTGAAAGTCACCACATGTGTTCATTGAGACGTTTGTATGTAGATAAACGTCTTAAGTCTGATAGTCCGACATTACATGAGATTGTTATATTGGCTTTTATTCTCTAGACATGCGAACGCACGCCAATAGTGTTGACTTCGTGGTCCGCAGTTTAATATCTGCAATAGAGGCATCGGCCCGCAGGGCCAATCGGCGCATAAGGAGAATATTTGGCCAAATCAAACTGTCTATAGAGTAGAACAATATTCAGTATAGCAGAGATTCCCGTTCCTGCGTAGGATATCTGGGCAACTGCAACTCCGACCAAGTTGGGCGAAACGCTGCACTCAGGAATCGGAAGAATAGAGGATAATCCTTGGCATGAAGTACGTCATTTCATATAAACGACGTGTCCTGAATGGCAGGGGATCCTCTCGCGTTATATTTGTGCCGAGGCCTGCGCGTTATGGCTGACGATAGGGCCGAATAAATGACGGCTATAGTATAAGCCATTAATTTACCAAATAGAGAATCCTTTAGAAAAGGGATTATTATTCGGATACTGGAAACTAGCTATAATTGGGATCAAGCTCATAAATGAGTCATGCAATTACTAGTATATACGATCTCAACAACAGTCAATCGAAATATAATATAATACCAACTGCTTTGGACACTCTCTCCCTAACATATCATATTGCACATATCTACTACTGTCCACTATGGTAGATGAATCCATTATTCATCCCCCGTGGCATATTCACCATTGGCGATCTTCTCACTCAATGCTTCATTGGATTCGAAGTACGCACTGAGATCCTCGCGTGCCTCCAACAGGAGGTCAAGGGTCATCCGACCAAAAACCGCCTCGCCCGCAGTATTCAAGTGTGTTCGGTCGTCACTAGCAAGGTTATACTTCATAGCGTTTTCCTCGCCAATGGCGTTGACATAGTTCGTGCTGGCCAAGTTCAGGTCGAGGTATTGGATGCCAACGGCCTTGGCAGCGGCGATGGTCGCATCGCTCCAGTCCTTAAGGTCTTGTTTAACCTCATCGCCGTCAAAGTTCCGACGAGTAAGGGAAGTGATGAAGATCTGTCCATATCATCAGTACATATATTCCAATCAGGTAGATGCGAACCGAAGCCGTACAGGGGTTCCACCAGCCTCCTGGATGTCAGTAGCGATACTCTCAAGATTCGACGTGAACTCGTCCAGGGTAAGGACCTTCTGGTCGTTGTGACCAAACTGAATAGTAACGATCGGTTCATAGTTGGCGGCGTTGGCTCCAATACTTTCAATGAGGTCGTCCCATCTTCCATCGGATTTCCAGGTAACGGTGGTACTTCCGCTCTTTGCCCTGTTCTCACCCTTGGCTGGGTCCTTCAGGTAGGCTAAAAGGCCATCGCCCCAACCACCGTTTACAGCAACGGTAGAGTCACCGATGAGAAACAGGTAAGGTGCCTTTGCTGCGCGAGCGACAGGACTTGCCTGGACTTGGCTCAACAGAGTGGCAACGAGTCCAAGAGCGCCGATTCTCATGTCGACAATGGTTAATTTAATATGATGAGGATATAGTTGTAGAGGGTAACGGCGGGTGTAGATAGGAGGAAACAGAGATTCTCGACAGGTGAATGATTAGAAAGGCTCAGGAGCATTGCGTTCTATTTATAGCCAGATACAACTGGCAGCAATTTACATCCTAACCCTGATGTGTTAAACAACAGTGAGATTCGAAGGACTCTGCCTGCAGGATAGAGTGGGGTTTTTCCGCCAATCACCCCAACTCCACTCGCCCGTCGCTCGGGATCAATTCTCCCAGTCTCAGGATGAACGGAGGTCTCTCGGAATGTATTTGTACGAAGATGAAGATCACGGACTTGAGCAAATGTGAACATGCGTTGGCTGGTGCTGTCGCCATTCTGGCTTGGCCCTAATGTGAGGGGAAAGAAGCTGTGGCCAAGAGTCGGCTACACTAGCTTAGGGTCCTGGGCCAGTCGTTAGGTGAAGATCGTCCCTCGTCTTACCCCAGATATTACCGACCCCTCATGCGACTGGTGGCATGCTGCCCTGCATCTCCGAAGGCTTGCTGGCCACATTGCCTGGGCCTACCGGCCATACGCTAAGTACCGCCGGCAAGTTCTTCAGCGACCTGAGCTTGGTTATTGGTGCAATGTATCTAAACCAACAGCTTTGCAATACCGTAAGACGTACTTTGCTTTATCTCATTGGTTAGCGGTTGTACTAGCGATTTGTCTGACTGACTCGAAAGAAGACGGCTAATGGCATGAGGGTGCTTCATGACTAGTCATTCTCCACCCACATCGTCAGTCGCAATACGTTAAGTGAAGCACGGATGAAAGGAGTTTGCTGTGGGCGAATAGAGGAAAGTTGCCTGATGGTATCATTTTACGTGGCGTATCCACGTCGCTCATCTTGAAAGGTTATCAACTGCAGCATGCCTAACACAAACGCCTGGACAACAGTTGACAGCCTCATGGCTGACGTGACCATAGAATACTCTTGCCTGGAAATGTCTATCGATCGGTAACGTATTAAATGGCCTTCACGAGACCTGAAACACGTGTGCATACCTGGAGGTTCACTGCAACATACAGTGTATTTTTATGTCTATACAGTCAGTAGGCAATTGTCGGAGTGTAACCACAGCAAAACGGAAGCACATAAAAATGCTCATATTTCGGTAGGTAAACTGGAAGCTTTTTCAGGGCATGATGATACTCGTGGATGCCTGAGAGTAGGCAAACTATATATTTAATTCAAAAGATACGGTCTAGAAGAAATTTCCTCGTGTCTGCCAGCATAACAAACGTCTATAGGACCGATCGGTATCGCGAACGGCTTCTTTAGCCTTTGAAAGGTCATCTTTATACAAGCCCACATAGACGCGAGACACACTTCTCATTATAATTTCGATCCCTCGCGGGCATGCTTGGTCTCCTGGGTCTCTAGCTCATCATGATAGGGGACTCTGTGTGGCCTTGTTGGTAACGGAAGCATATCCAGAGACACTGCCTGTGGAATGGTCTTTAACCATTCGTTATACACAACCTTTGTTGGGAGTCTTGGTATCCTCGTAGCAACATACGACTTTAGCTCGGGTGTGTCCATAGCCTCGAGCTTCTGACGCTTGTGGGCTATCTCGATGAGCTGACGAACCCTCGGCTGGCGTGTCCGCTGAACTGTTTCGAACATATCAGATAGCTCCCCATCTGGGACCTGTTTATCAGGAGGTGTAGAGCGTAGTAGCCTCACAAGGCCATTGGTGAGGCATGCTGCTGTTTCTATGCAGCAGTTCGCCCCCTGCCCTGTTAATGGATGAAACTATGACTCTACTTTCAGCCTTTATTCCATTGACTGGCACTAGTCTGGATGTCAGCCTACCTTATGGCTTGCATCCCCAAGCGCAATTATTCTTCCATAATGCCAGTGTTTGTATACATGCTCCTGCAGTGGAGTAACCCCGGACCTAATTCTACGTGCATAAATGTCACCAAATTTGACATCTGAGGTGATCAGATCATCAAGGTGTCTGCTGACAATTTCATCCCTGTCTGCATCTGTGAGTCGAGGGATTTCCTGGCCAAATCGCACCTTACCCAAGTGCTCGAACAGGAAGAAATAGGTACGGTCGCCGGGCCCGTCAGCAATAAGATAAGAGAATTTCTCGTTGAATACGTCCTGAAGGGTGCAAGGATCAATCCCGGGAGTGCGGTGTGAAATCCCAAAGACACAGGAGTAGGTTGCAGAGATTGCTATGAGGTCAATTAGCTCTACTTCCAGGGCTTTTAAAAAGGGATCAATAAAGTAAAAAAGGCGCTCACATTCTTCCTCTAAGTAATCTCGACCCGTATCTACGTCTAAACGTGCCATCTCCTGGCGAACAGCTGAATGAATACCGTCAGCACCGACGACAATGTCACCATTGTATATTGATCCGTCTGTCGTAATTACGTTTACCATGGACGGGTGAGAATTGTCTATAGTCTGTACCCTCTTTCCCGTCAGGACCTTGCTTTTATCCTGAACTTTGTCGTATAGCGTTTGAAGCACCGTTTGTCGGTCCAGAAATGCTATCGGATACCCGTGTCTATAATTGACCATATTAGACGACGGCTTGCACGGGCAAAGAACATCAAATACCGTTTGCTCATCTCGTCACTAAGCTTGCTGGCCTCCCACATCTTCTCGCCGTTTGGGCTTCGGTAAATACTTTCCTGTACTGTGTGGCCCTGCGCATGTTCCAAAAGTTCATCACAGAAGCCAAGCTGGTCGAGAATCCGGAGTCCAATAGGCTGTAAGGCCAATGAAGCACCAACCTGAGGCGCAATGTCGAGATATGCCTCGAGTACCAGAAAGTCGATGTTATTTTTCTCTAGCATAAGCGCCAAGGACAACCCGGTGATGCTGCCCCCGGCGATCAACACTCGGAAGGGTGGCATTGTTTTTTTCAGCGAGATCAGTTGAGCAGCCAGAGGCAATTGTCCAGGTCAAAAATAGACGCGTAAGACTGAGAGAAAAACGGGCCTTGCCTATGATATTCCGGTCTAATGTATTAGTGCCACCACACTGCCCCGATCTGCCGGGCTGGCCCGAATTGCCCCCCGTAGTGCTCGTCACGTGGGGAAACCATGCATATTAGTGCCCTTGTGCCATACCCCATCAGGATAAGTGGCATGCAGGGGTCAAAGGGAATGTAACATACTAGACAGGGTAAGATAAAACCATTAGAAGATAGAATATCACTGCCTGGAGAGATTAAAGCGACATGGGTATCAACGGCGCTCAACAAACTAACAAATCTGCGCACTGCGGAAACACATTGACTGTCTAAACTCTTTGGGGACGATTTCCAGACTAGACAATTGACCGCAAAGTTGAATAGGAGAGGATGGGGAACTATGGAAGTTGGGCTCTATGAACCACGATAGAGGAATAGAACGGAGATGGACTAATTCTAGTCGGAGGCCGACCATAAGTCTTTCTGGTGTTCCAAACATGCCCCTTCTTCCGGCGCAGACTCGGACTAGAACACCACTGAATCAGCTAGTAATTACACGAAAGCAGAGCGTACAAAGGACCCCAGATCAAAACCGTTGAACAAGATCGTAGGGCTTTGTATATCTGCACAGGCGACGTTCTATTGTATTCTGGGCCATAGACCCGACGATCACACGTGATTATAAAGATTACGCTGGCCTATGGAGGTACAAAAGACCTAAACTAAGCTCCCAATTTGACTGTGGGGCGTGTGATTCATTGTACCTTTCCACTGGGAATCGTGAGCGATGTCATAGGGTTTGGTCTAGACCGGCGTGGCACATGGCCAGTCATGATCCATGGAAAGAAGGTTTCCAGCGCGAAGTGCATCCCTACCAATGCGGTGCGCTTTTCCCTTTCGTTGAAACCGAATATACTGTTTGACACCGACTGCACGGATCTTGACGTCAGGGCGCCTTGTTGGGAAGTTTTATACAAAGCCGCCCAAAAGAATGTAACCCTAAGCATTTGATGGGGACGAGGGAAAGCTTAACTTTGTCTTTCAGCGATTCTCGACTAGATCGGCAATAAATAATCGCTCGACCCCTGTTTGTGCCTGTTTACTGTTTACAAGGCTAAGATTTGCTCGATCTCTGGTTGGAGTCCACGGAACGATTGTGACTATGCGAGCCATATCCAAACCCGATATCCTCCATCAGTATTTCAGTACAGTCTCACATTTGAATATCTGTGGAACTTTACTCGGGCTGCGAAGGCGCCCAGCTCAATCTCACCTTTACGCACACCATAAACACCAAGCTCCTTTGATTCGAGAAACATGATATCCTCATGCCGCCCGATCCTGACCCGGGTTTGATCCAGCCAAAGACTGGCGGAGTCACCCATCTCCAAACTTACATCATTACAGTATTCGCGACGATTTCCTGGTACAATGCCGTGGAACTGGTGATTATATGCTTAACCACGTTCAAGCGGTATAGGGGCTGCTACTTCTGGAGTCTGTTGATCGCCTCCGTTGGCTTGATCCCACTTGTTCTTGGATGGCTCTTCTTCATCTTTTACTTCGGACTTACTCGCTGGGTTTCTGCCTCCATAATCATCCCGAGCTGGTACTGCGTAGTGGCGGGTCATTCTCTTGTACTCTGGTCACGACTGCACCTTATCCTGCAGTCGCCAAAGATACTCCGTGCCATCCTCATCCTCATCATCGTCGACAGTATTGTTCTTTTTATTCCTACGACGGTGCTCTTCTATGGAACCTTGATCCACGATGAAGGCTTTCGCACTTCGGCCCGCTTTGCCGCCGTATATAACATCATAGAGCGGATTCAGCTCGTGGTCTTCTGTTTGCAGGAGCTTCTTATTTCTGGGATCTATATCTTCGAAACGGTAAAGCTACTGCGACTTCGACCGGATACACTTCACCGTCCAATGCTCACTCGGCTCGTGGCGATCAATATTGTGGTTATGGTACTCGACGTGGCAGTCGTTGCAGTCCAGTTTGCTGGATACCTCGCCATTCAAATGATGTTCAAGCCCGTGGCATATAGTATCAAGTTAAAGTTGGAATATGCCGTCCTGAGCCAATTGATCGAGATCTCCAAGGGCCCGTCAACGTCTGATCCGGAACAGCTATGCTCATGTTCGCAAGAGCACAACAGCTTATCGACTTACCGCAGTGATCCGGGGAGAAATGGCGCCACAGACTCGGACATGCGGCAGTACAGTGTAGATAGCATCTCTACAGTGGTTTCGCCACGTCAGTCAGCTCCATATTGAGCAGAAACAACTACCTGTATACCAGTTCAAATAATATATTTTACCAATGTGACCTTTAAGAGAGACGGTCGCCGAGTAAATATCAAGTGCACTAACTATTCAAGGTAAAGGTTCTCAGTCACCGCAGACCCGAAGTCCACCGTAGCAGTTACTACGCATTAAGATCCACCCATGTCAGCTATGCTTTTCAAGGAGGGAAGATAAATCCCTTTCCACCAATGATGCATGCGAAATATAAAGGGAGCTCTTGGCAACTAGGCGAGAACACGAGCCCCTTTTCTTATTTTGATCCTAGTGGTCATGGGCCTTGTGCACTGCTCTGTCAGGTCACGATTAGTGGCAATCAGGGCAAATAGGCTCGAAGCTAGTCTGAAAGCTTATAATGTAAAGGGAAACAGTCGATCACAGTGAGTATTCTACTATCTCCTTGGCACACCGATTTCGCTTCTCTTTCCTTAGAAAGTCAACGAGTTAAGCTCAGAGCAAAGTTACATTCAGCCATGGCCGTTAATATTCTTTGTTTCGTTTCTATATAGAGCTCCTGTGGGTACCAGCGGCCCAGCGTTGGGGAAATTCGGCCTCCTAAGATTGTGGGTCTCCAATATTAAGCATCTCCGCGGTCAAGGGGTTTCATGGAATTGAAACAGGTTTTTGATGTCCCCTGTCTGCTCTATTACTAAGTCGGGCAGTCTGACTGGCAGTTATAGAGCACGCTCTATCGCCGCCGATCTCTATTCCTACACTAAGCCCCGTCTTAACCTAAGTAATTATTCCCACGATAATGCAGGAAGGCCGTTGACCGTTGAATGCACCGGCCTTCTCTGTATTTTTATCTCCCTGCATTAGCGTCTATGCTAAGCTAAAGTGTGAGCTTGGAATCCCCAAATATTTGGAGACTCAAGTGAAGCTAGTAATATTCAAACGCTTCTTAGACTGAATGGATGTCAACAGTGACAGCGATGTGGAACCTAACTGGTATTGCGGGCATACCTACCAATCTGTTCATATTTTGCAATTGTCGCCATCACCACGAAAACCTCCTCTGCCTCCACAGACATACAAACAAAGAACCTGAAAGTCTAAAGGTTCAATCCCTGGAAAGCTGCCACTCGACCCACCGGACCCACCCGCGAGATGCCACAGCTTTCTTTGCTAAGTGAGGCGAACCCGGAGTTCTGACAGAAGTACTGATGGGCCACAACAGTTGAAATATTCTGAGATTGAAGGCTTCTGAGGACTACCAGACTATTAACCGGTATTCTAGCTATTTCTAGTTGGGGCATAGAAAGTCAGGTAGCGCAATATCATCAGGTAAGAAGATTATGTTCCAATTCGCGATTAAACACCACATCACCTGAGAGCAAACCACGGCTGAGGAATGAACAAAAACCTCAGGTCGCCACTCCACTCTACCCGAGATCGGCAATGCTCTTGACTGGAGTTGATGCTGTAGGAATTTGCGGGGAAAGCAAACGGAGTGGCCGCTCGGAATGTGGACCACCGTGCCGAAAGGCCAGCAGATGAACCGTGGCTCTCTTTTCCGAATGGGGGATCCGATGTCCATCATAATCCCCGGATATAGGCCGTGATCATGGCACCTATTTGGAAACAGTGAATCAGTGATAGCCGTAATAGAAACATCCCTAAACATGAGTATGTTGTCGCCTCGTTTCCAAAATTTCATGTCCTGACTCTTAGCAGCGTTAACCCCCGTGCACTTCTTCTCCCATGGCTCGACCATGATGTTGGGCGAGGAGTCTTCCTCGGCCGACTATTGGAAACAATGTGGTGACGAGGCCCTCCGCAATGGCATCAAGGGAGTTATTCTCATGGTGAGTCGGCGGCCAACAATCGACCATTGGCGTCCTGAAATTATTTGATCACTGACCGTTAACAGGGCGCCCATTGGGATTGTTTTGGTGATCAAATTCAGGTTTCAACGAACCCTAACCCGGGCAAGAGTCCTGTCGCGTACGTTCATCCGTCGAAGTACGTCGACTACAAGCTCAACAACGATTTGAAGACCGCACAACGGTGCATTGACCTACTCGACGAGGCCGGGTACAACGTTAGTGGTAACGACACCTTCGACTGGATTCACGATACATATCTTATCTTGATCCGGATGTTCCCCAACGGTTGCCCGCCATCCACCATCATCTCTATGAACGCCCGTTATGACCCACATTTCCATATGAAGGTGGGCTCGACCCTCCGTCAGCTGCGTAAGGAGAACTATTTGATTATCGGAACTGGTGGTGCAGTTCATAACCTGTACCGCAATCGCTGGGCCCCTATGCTTCGCTTCCGCGACAACTTCGCCCAGGATACGCCCCCGGAGCACTGGGCCCTAGAGTTCCGACAATCCGTCGAGGATGTCTTCACAAAGACCTCGGGGCCGCAATTACGACGCGCAATGACGCGGCTAATGAAGCATCCGGAGTACCGCGATGCGCATGCGACAGATGATCATTTCATGGCTGCCATGTTCGTTGCGGGCGCAGCGGGAGATTTCGAGGATGAGGGAACACCTGCCGTTCTGGCGACTGAGACGTGGGAACTCACGAATATGTGTAATTCTCAATTTACTATTGGCTCCTGGCCAAAGGTGGCAGCATAATCACTGTTGTCGTTTGTTGTATATAATAGTATTTTGAAGTTGGATTTACTTTTACCATAGCTCCTTCGATCGAACTAGTTAGCAACCATATCGTATCCCGAGTCATAAAGATTCCCATCACAAACACTAGCCAATACGCAGCACCATCTAGCAGAGCATGTTGCATATAAGTGGCTACTGTATGTCTGCCTGGTGGTATATACTGTTCAGTGAGTTTAGGCTGTTGTTGATATTTCCACCAAATATATATTTACTACACTCTATACTACAGAACGGAGAAGACCATGGATTGTGACACAAGCTGACCCTATCGCAGCACAGAAAATGAATGCCAGAATATTCTTCGACATGTTTGACCCCAGGGAGGTGATAGGCACGCTAATTGTTCTTTCGTTATAAATATATGAAAAAAATACTAGCGGTGTGTGGGTGTCGAAAGTTTTCTTTCCGTTCAACGCTACGCAGTACAAGCGCGTCGAGCATGAGCTGTCCAAGGGACCCATATGTCCCGCGTTAGCGCAACAAACCAGCTCCATAAATAGGCCATTTCAGCCAATTACTCAACAGCTGAGATCTTAGCGTTCTTTGAAAGTGGTATTTGATACGGACGATAGATGTGGCCCACACCCATACGGAAGATACTTGTTCGCAGTTCTCTACTGGGTCCGGGGTTTTCGTCGATTTTTAAATAAGGCCGCGTACTGCCTCGAACACAACTCGACTCGACCAAGAATTTCGAAAACATCTCAAACATAGTGGCATAATGTCCGATCTTGTCTGGGAAGAAAGTGTTGCTCTCCAAGAATATAACACTTTTAACATCAAATCAAATGCGCGATATCTTGTACGAATCCGAAGCGCTAGCGATCTTGCACAGCTGGTGACTTGGCCACGGTTTCAAAACAGTCGCCAATTGATCCTTGGAGGTGGTAGTAACATGCTGTTCGCAAATGAACAGTTTAATGGAGTCATTGTGAAAAATGAAATCAAGGGTATTGAGGTGGTTTCAGAAAGTGATATACACACATGCCTCCGTGTTGGTGGCGGGGTTGAATGGGATTCGCTGGTCGGATATTGCATCGATCAGGACCTCGGTGGTCTGGAGAACCTCTCTCTGATCCCCGGGACAGTTGGAGCAGCACCTATCCAGAACATCGGTGCATACGGGGCGGAGCTCGGCGATGTGCTGCTAAGTGTGGAAGTGTGTGACTTTGGCACTGGCGACATGACAACCATGACAAAAGAGGATTGCGCCCTGGGATATCGAGATAGCATCTTCAAGCATACTCCAAAGGTGCTCATGGTCTGCTTTATTACGATCAAGGTAACCAAGGCCCAGTTTTACCGTGTAAGGACCCATTATGCTTTGATGCAGCATGCTTTACAAGAGAAAGGAATCACAGAACCAACGATACGATCAGTCAGTGAAGTAGTCTGTTTACTGCGTAGAAGGAAGCTACCTGATCCAACAGTCTTAGGAAATGCTGGAAGCTTTTTCAAAAATGTCGTTGTCGACCAATCGGTCCGAAATACACTTACTCAGATGTATTCCGACATTCCTTTAATTTCAAAGTTGGACGGGCGATGGATCATACCAACGGCATGGCTGATTGAGAAATGTGGTTGGAAGGGAAACCGAACTGGAAGGACTGGGGTTTATTCCGACCATGCTCTTGTGCTTTTCAACCTCGGGGGAGCTCAGGGAAGCGAGATTTGGTCTCTGGCAGAGAAGATATCACGAGATATACGGCTCAAAGTCGGGGTGTTATTGACACCGGAAGTAAATATCGTCAAATAACCAATCATTCCATATTTTGCAGGTCTAGGTAATGTAGAATCTAAAATTGGATAGGCTTGGCACATTTTTAAATCCCATAATTTGATAAGACCGTCAGGATATACTACATTTAATGGTATTACAAGTACATTATCTCTAGGACTTTCCTTCACAGGAGCGTTCAAAACAAAGGTACAGAGTTAGACCTAGGTTAAAGAATTATAACGTTGGCTAAATCAACGGCATATTGCTAACTGTACACATATACCACAGCTACCTCATCCTCAAAGCCCAATATCCCGCAGCAGACACAATTGTGATCAGTGAGGTGAGGGTGATGAGTCCTCCTGTAATGATACCCTGCTCAAAGTAACCAATCTTATGTCCGGGTCGCTGTTGGATGGCCGGAAGTGGAGCAAGAATCTCCTGCAACCTCCGATCGGACTGCACTGACTTTCCTTCTAACAGAGCCTTGGCGATCGTCGTGTTGATGGTTGGGTTTATAACTTGAGGCCGGGAAACCTCAAAGTGCTCTGTTGTGTACCGTGTGTGGAGATCGACGCGATAGCTGAGAGGGACGACGGGTCCGACTTGACACAAAGGATATATGATCAATGTCTGTCGACGACAGATGGGTGTGAATCTGTACTTACCAAGTATGTCATAAGGAACGTGGTTGACCCATGCAGCATGGGCGTCGATTGACTCCGACACGTATTTGGCTGCGCCTGGGGCCGCGAAGGTGTACGTCGCGGCATGAGTACCGCCACTGAAAGTCCTATCCTGTTAGTACTTATACTGAAGAGCATATCGCGGGTAATCCAAATGACGTACGCGTTACTGAGATTAATCGCATCGTCCAGACTGGACACAGGGTGCAGCAATAGCAACTTCTCACTGAGTTTGGTGTGCAACAGGGGAGAATCACTATGCATGGTTAGACTAAGATTCCTGTTGCTAGATACCCACCAACCTACCGATTCTGTACCAGCGCAACACCCCAGCCAGTTCCAGACACAATCACCTTAACTCCCTCCTCAGAGCTTATCTGGTCAAGCACCGATGGCTGTTTAGGGCGTTTAGAAAGCGAGTTGGCGCCACGATTGTCACTCCCGAGATGTTTGGCGGCGTGTCTGATCACCAATTCCACGAAAGGTTGCATGCAGAACTGGTTCACTAACACTACATCCGGAGCGTGCGGAGAGCAGCCATTGAATGCAAACCGCGCTAGGACAAGATCAACCGCTGCTTCCTGAAGGTTTGCTGTTCGGTCTACCACGGCAACCGTCCGCAAAGTGTTCAGCGGTTTGAGGGCTATAGAAGGTGTAAGGCATTCAGAAAACTGCTGGTTTAAAACAAGAGTAGTGCTGAGAAATTCTGCGTCGGGACGGCTCTCGCTAATGGCAAATGTATCACTATCTAGCGCTCCGCCGAGGATTCCGCGGAGTAGCGCAGTGACTCTTGAGGTCGTTTTGGGAAGCTGTTTTCATTCTTAGCACAAAGGGATCGCGTTAGAAGGAAGAAAGCATTTTAGAGGGGCTATAGGTACCTCCAAAATGATACAGTTTCCCGCCGCGAGGGCTGCACTCAGCGCAGCGATGACTGAATAAAAGATCGTGTGGGTGGTAGGTATGATATAGACAATTCCGGCACCTTTCTTCCTGTCCAGATTATCTTCTCCGCGTGCCACGCGGTATTCTACCTGCACACTCTTTTCAAGACTCAAGGAAGAGTAGTGGGAGCGAATTTCCTTCAACGCCAGACAGACTTCCGTCTGCACTTCGTCTACGCTATGACCCGAGTCCTGGGAGATAGCCTCTTTCAACTCCGTCAGGTGCTGGAGAATGCTCGATTGGAGGCGGTGGAATTGCCTCTGGCGGTATCTAACATTATCTGTGCGACCATCGATATTTCCAGCTATAATGGTGGAAAACTGTGGGGGATGCGATCGAGAATTGGATTTAGATTCCATGTTGATGTTGTCGAATTGCGTTCAAGCTGCAATGGAACTGTAAAGTCGCGCTCAGTTTCCACCGTGGCAGTAGTCCACGGATCAATAAAAGAAGCGCCTGATAGTATTTTTACCCCCTGGAGTAAGCCGATCAGCATAGCTATACCTACCTACCCCAATTTCGCGGTGGATCACCCTTTGGTCGTCCACTTCGGCCCACTTACTCGGCCCGAACATTTCGGGACCACATCACAGACATGATATGATATGATATGATATGATACGATACTAGCAGCATACCACATGATCCATCAATTTTCGGCACTTTGATCAGCGGGACCGAACTGTACCGGTAGTGGACAAATCAGGAACTACCCCAGATTATCCCTTCATCCCTTCCCTAGCTCTCGCCGTTCCTCGAGGCCTTCGATCCAAAACCAGTGGTCATATTCCCTGAGTCCAAACAAATATCGACAGGCACCTTGATACCACACTATCAGCGTACCATCCAGAATCATGTCTACTACAACAACAGAAACCCCGATTACAAGTACAACGGTATCCGTTCTCACGGACTACGAATTGCACCACAGCGAGCCGCAAGTACCCGCCCCGCGGAGCGAAACACCCATCCAAGCCTCAGTCCAACAGCCTGCAGATTGGCCTGTGGACCATCTTCGGGTACCCCCCTATCGACCTATTAATCGAAATCTCGACTGGAACGAGCGTTCTGCGGGAAGTCACCCGGCTGAGGTGGCTTTCGTTCAAATCATGTTGCACGGTGTCTGGATCAATGCGGTACGCAGGGACATGTCAAAGTCAATTTGGATTGACCAACTGAACAAATACTAATGAATCGTTCTTGCATTAATAGGCTGTTTCGCGGCTCTGGCATAACACATTAGGGCGTGTGAATGATAGGATCTTTAGGTATGAGGTTGGAGGGGAGTGGTAAATCGCGATATCGGCGGCGCATCGAGTGAACTTATATTTTAAACAATTGAGCATTCATAACTAATGGCATACCTTCTTCATATGTACGAAGATTGGCCTGAGGTGAAAAGGAAATCGTTTCAATTCAGGACGGACCCAAGGTGATAATTTAATTTCTAGATATGTGCAACGAAGATGTTGCACCCCAGAATTTAGAAGACTTGGATGGCCTCGATGTTAATGAAATCTTTCTGGACGCATTTTTTGTTATGCATTTTACAAAGCATGGGAATGGAGATTTGGCAGGGTGGGGCCTGCGCATATCAACCTATTTCTTAGCCAACGTCATTAGTCTGTATAGCCGCTAACCTGTCGTTCGAATCCTATACTGGTCATTCCAGATGGAGAGACTTAGTCGCGTAGGAATCACGTAGAGTACGCTCTAAGTTACTGTCAACCTGAGAATACCCTATCCAAGTTACCTATAGAGATGCCTATGGTGCCTGGACAGTTTTAGGTAGTTGAATCGGATGACCTTTCGTCTGTCAGTTACTTAGATCTCTGTCGCCCGTCTGGTATAACCTGATCAGATCTTAGCAGAACCTCTCTAGTTGCATAGGCATGGTTGACGGAAACGAAGTATGCCCCAGCTCCGTAGATTGCACCACGGACACCAGGTTTCGGCTTAGCAAAGGAGATAGCTACTATTTACTGTGAAGATGATGTAAAGCATAACCTCTGGCTGTTTATTTCTGCTACCTGGCAAGGCATGGGGATAGAGGAGTGAGCTTGGATGTCTAAAAATCTAATTTGTTCTCTAGTTTACAGTTCACGGATTGACCTTCCGAGCCGATGACACGTCTGCTACCCCCTCTCCTTCAACAACCTTGGCCTCTATAACCTCATATACCGGAACTCCAGCCAGACGAGACACTATGTGATGGAGAGTAGGGAGCTGGTTCCAGTCCAACCCATCGATCTCTAGTTTGGCGTCCGTGGCACGTAGTTCGCGTGTGATCTTCGAAGGTACCACCGTCAGGTCTTCAGCGGAATCGACCACAACAGGATACTCCGCCTCAGGGATGCCTTTCTGGTCCCTGCCAACGGAGGGCATGTAGCGGTGCAGCAGAAGATTTGGCGGAGTCTTCGTCGCTCCATTGGTTTGCCGTTGCTCCTCTGACGTCTCCTCCAGCCCTGTCAAATTCAACCGACCCCATACTCCCCCTCGCCAGCTACTGATGACATGGTACGAATGGCGGCGCCTATTCACATCGATAGTACTAAATACCTTCGGGAACCCGAGCTCCTCGCGACCAGAGATGATAGGATCCGCCAGATCCTCAAATAAAACTGGGAGGTAAGATCCTTCCGTGATCTGGCCATCGGCACTCTTGTATTGGACGCCATGGATGTATAGCCCGAAGTGGTTGTATCCGCCACCGGCGAGCCAGTCTAATCCATCTAGCGTAGTTTGGGAGAAGGTTGCGTAAGCTACGCTTCCCATACCGGCAAAGCTGTAGGATGCATTTGGTAGCAGGTTCTTAAGCAAGGTACGACTCGTCTTGAACCGAACGGATGCTGTGCAAAATTTCGTCTTGCTCGAGGCAGCCACTCGGCTTCTTCCCCAGAAGTCTTGGCGGGGTCCTGGCATAGGGCCGAAAACAGTGGGTTGACGATAGTAAACCTGTTTGTTTTGCGCCCAGAGATGCTGGCGTAATAGTTCACTGGAATGATCCCATTCATCATGATCGTAGATGTACGAACTGATAATGGCGGCTACGAGCTCTCTTAGCTGTCATTCTTGCAAATTGACTGAGTGTCTACATACCTTCCTTTCCACCCACATGCCTTCTTCCAGATTCTCGTGTGTATTCCTGGATCTGTAACACTCGCTCCTGTCGAGCCTTTTCGTATAGGCCCAGCCGTGTGGAGATATCCTCGCGTTTCAGATCTCCTGGGAGCATAACAGCCAACGACAAACCGTCTTCAATGGCCATGGCACCTCCTGAGGCCCGATAAGGGAGGAAGGGGTGAGCAGCATCTCCCATTAGCGCTAGTCGCCCATTGACCCATTGAGGCAGGGTTTCCATGTCCAGCAGTGGCCATATCTTCAGTGTTTCAGGGTCTGCCTTGTTCAACAGTTTCAGGACTCCAGGCTCAAAGTCTTTGAAGGCGTCTAATAGAGTCTCCTTTCCGACGCCTTGATTCCAGCCATGAGAGACATACTCATTGGTAAGAGTGTCGGGATGAATGCAGACAAAGTTCAATATCTCGTTGTTCACGCACGGATAGACGACCACCTTACTGTCGGCACTATGCCACATAAGAACGGTTCCGTTTGATTGGACCATGTGAGCTGTCTCAGGATCTTCCAATACCTCCTTACGCGGGACCATAAACCGGAATGCGTTGCGACCTGAGCTGAATGCCTTGACATCTTTTCCTGAGACATGTCGACGGGCCACAGAGTGAACACCATCAGCCCCTATCACTAGGTCTCCGTCGAAGCGCTTTCCGTCTTCCAGAGTTATGGTTGCGGCGTGAGCATCCAGGTCCGCCACCTTGGCGGAGGTGTGCAGAATAATGGGTGTTCCTTTCCCCGGAGCCTGGGCTTTGTCTTTCAAAGCTTCATGGAGATGCGCGCGATGAATCAAAACCCATTCCTAAACGAGCAGGGTTAACTAGTGCCGCACTACAATAGGCCTATTGGGGATACGAAGATGGCTTACATGTTGCCAGCTGCCCGAGATTAGACTTGTGTCTAAGGTATACTGCAGCTCACCATCAGAAGTGTAGTCGCGAAGCTAGATGAACGGAGTCAATAGTCAGTCTATCACTCCTCTCCTCCATAACTCCATATGGGATCGACATACTTGCTCCGTCAGCACCGCGCCGTACTTTCGAGCATCAACCCCAATTCGTTTCAAGAGTCCATTGGCATTCGGAGTTAAGTGGATTGCCGCTCCAACTTCATTTGCAAACCGTGACCTTTCAAAAACCTACACCCTTATGTCAGTCTCGGAGTCATGTATTCGGGCTCAAACAAGCCTCTCACCTCCACTTCGTGCCCCTGTTGCCGAAGGGCAATGGCGGCAGCTAGTCCTCCAATGCCAGCGCCAACAACGAGGACTTTCAAGCCCTGTGGTTTAGACTGCATCTCGATCGGAACTGGAACAATTTGCAAAACAATGGCGCGGAGTGACTACAGCGAAAGCAATAAAACAAAAAAATGTAGGAGACGAGAGAGGGAGCCATGGTAGGCATGCTTCTCCAATATGTATGTACTAATGCTACTTTGCTCCAGGCCCAAGTCCGGTGGGTCTCGGCTATTCCATGGATCGACATTATTATGATCACGCTACAGTTCCTGGGCCTCTATGAGTTCGGGTCAAACATTTCGGCTCCACATACGGCCGGGCCCATGATCCCGATCGTATGGACATAGCTAGAGGCATTATTTAGAGCAGACAAGTTGTGCAAGAGGTGTAAATACTAATACCACTACAGCGGCAAAATCCTCCAATTTTAAATTATCCACGTGTGATCTTTTGCTGTGTTTCTCGTGTCAAGATGCCGAATCCCATCAAAGATATTACCCGCGTAGACGCGGCCTCGTTTCCTTATATCTACGAAGAAAATGTCACAATTCCCTTGAAGAACAACGCCGGACTAATTCGGTGCAATGTCTATCGGCCCAGGGATGTCGAGAACTCTCCGGTGTTGGTTACCTACGGGCCATACGGGAAGGATATCCACTACAAAGAGTATGGTGTCTTCTCCATTTTCCACTCAAAGAGCTTCGGTACTAACTGCACGCAGTTTCCACGCTAAGTCTTATAGCGAAGTTAATCCGGAGCATCACTCTGATCATTCGGCATGGGAAACTCCAGATCCTGGCTTCTGGACCAAGCATGGCTATGCCGTTGTTCGAGCCGACGAGCGCGGCTTAGGTCAGTCGCCCGGTGTTTTGGACACCATGTCGCGGGGCACTAGCGAAGCCTTCGTTGATGTAGTGGAATGGGCCGCTGAGCAGCCGTGGTCAAGTGGGAAGGTTGGTCTTCTAGGCATCAGCTACTATGCTGGTAGCCAGTGGCGTGTCGCTGCCCGTCAGCCCAAAGGCCTTGCTTGTATTATTCCCTGGGAAGGCATGTCGGATTATTACCGCGACCGATGCCGTCATGGAGGTATTCTGTCGAACTCTTTTATTAAGTTCTGGTGGAATCGCCAGGTGATCACCAATCAATATGGACGGCCTGGACGCGCTGCCCGCAATTGGGGGCCCGATACTATTGAAGGTGACCTGTCAGAGGAAGAATTATTGGCGAATCGCAACGACCAGACGATCGATAATGCCACCCACAAGTTCCGTGATGAACCATACTATGCCTCCAAAGAATATAATATGGAGGATATTAAGGTCCCGTTGCTCTCCGTTGCGAACTGGGGTGGTATTCTCCTACACCTACGTGGCAACGTGATCGGCTATATGAATGCAGGTTCGGAACACAAATATTTAAGATTCATAACTGGACGCCATGATTTGCCATTCTACTATCATGAAGAGGTCGAGCTGCAGAGAAGCTTCCTGGATGCTTTCCTCAAGGGAGAGGATCGAGAGGGATGGAGCAATGGCCAGGCACCCAAGGTGGACGTTTTGCTGCGCAAAGGAAATGTCGGCTTTGACAACGCTGAGGCTGAAAGAGCCTATACTCGGCGTACTGAGAATGAATGGCCCATCGCTCGCACGCAGTACACGAAATTCTTCCTCACGCCAGACCTTCAGTTACAGACCCAATCACCACAGTCAAAATTAGTCAAGGTTGATTATCGCGCATTGGGCACTCTGGACAACCCTCAGCTTATCCAATTTACTACTCCTGCTTTTGAACAGGAAACGGAGATCACCGGCCATATTGTCGCTCATTTGAACGTATCTGTCAGCCCTGATAAGGGAGGTCCGCTTCCCTCCGACATTGATCTCTTCCTGACACTGCGCTATATCTCCCCAACCGGTGAAGAGGTATACTACACTGGTACCGCTGGAGACCCCGTACCGCTGGCCAAGGGTTGGCTGCGCGTAAGTATGCGCAAGGTGAACGAGAAGCACTTGCGCCACCAGGAGTATTTGCCGCATCGTGATTACTTTTCAACGGATGTCTTACCTGTCATGCCCGGTGAGGTCTATCCGGTAGATGTAGAGATCTGGCCGAGCAACGTAGTAGTCGAACAAGGTGGTAAACTGGTCCTGGAGGTGGCGTCGGGCGATACTCAGGGATCCGGAATCTTCCAGCACAATGACCCCAGTGATCGGTATGTCCTCCCTTCTCTCCATTCTATTGTGTTCTGGAAATTCGATGCTAATAATATGAAGCTCCCCCGAGAAGCTGCAAGGAACCAACCACATACATTTTGGGCCTGCGTACGAGAACTATGTGACTCTTCCCGTGATTCCGGCCAAATGAAGTCGGTTTCGGGATATGGGCTCTGGGTTAACCAATATTCTTTGTTATGTAAACATAGACTACATGAATCATAAGGCAATTCTCCGATGTCGTCTCATTGCGCCCGAGGGCAACGATGGTGGACCCGAACAGCAACCCGAAGATAGATCCACCAGCAGCATCTGTCGAGCGGGACCTTTAGTATATAGATACCACTAGACCTCAAGGTAATTGCTATTCTCAATTCTCAAATTATCTACAAGCATACACATTCCCTTCCGCTATAAAACTATCCTACACAATGTCTGAACACAACAAAGATATCCGTCCTCTTCAACGCTTTGTCACTACTCATAACGACAATGGCCAAGCCATCTTTTCCAATCGTCTTTCTGAAGATATGCCCGTTCAAAATGTCGACCAGGTTACCTTCGGTCTTGCCTATACTTCGGAGCAATTCCCTTCCCAGTTGTCGGCCGATGCAGATATTGACAGCTATGAACGCCGTCTCGCCTCCCCACCAGGGTTGAGCATCTCCACGGGTACCGTTTGCCGTATTGTGGATATGCCACCCAACACAATCAGTCCAATGCATCGGACAGTCTCGCTAGACTATGGCGTCGTCCTAGAAGGGGAGGTCGAGCTTCTACTCGACAGTGGTGAGAAGCGACTATTAAAGAGAGGAGATGTTGCCGTGCAACGGGCTACGAACCATGCCTGGCGGAACGTTACTCCCAACCAGGGCTGGTCTCGTATGTTATACGTTTTGACTCCCTGTCATCCGGTGGAGGTGAAAAACCAGGGCGTTCTCGGCGAGGATTTGAATGGAATGGGTGTGAAGTCCAGTGAATAGGGCCATCCCTCCAACAACCTGTATCCTTATTTTGGAGTATTTACCGCACCACATACCTAAGACACAATGCATATCAATATTATGCACCAGACTCATGTCATGCATGTCCAAATTAATGTTCCAATAGCCGCTGTGTTTTGCCGAGGTTCAACATTGTAGGGTTTTGACTCCGCACGTCGGCAGTCCACATTCCCGATCCCTGAACCCGTGACATCATTCTCCCCCGAACAAATTCTGGGGCCGACAAACACCAAGAGTATAGCGTCTTGCTGCAGTATATCACAATATCCGTAGCGATGAACAGTCCCTCAGAAAAAAAGGATAAGTCTCGGACAGGCTTTTACCAATGCGGCGTCTGCAGAAAGCATTATGCTCGACCCGATCATCTTATCCGCCATGTCCGATCGCGTGAGTCCATTGACCCTGAGCGCGAAACCAATGGAGTTATAGCAGGAATGCTCACCACAATTGCTCCTCCCAGATACCTCGGACAAACCGTTCGTCTGTGATAAATGTGGAAAAGGCTTTGGGAGAATGTTCGTTCATAGTCGCCCATCAATCGCCCGTTTATCATGCTAATCCCTTGCCGAAAGCGATCTCCTACGTCGGCATGCCCGAGGACACTTCGCCGGTCAAAGAGACACCAGACTCTCCACCGCCTTAACCATGCGAGGGCGGGTGTCACGAGCCTGCAAGAATTGTGCTCTGTCCAAGCTGAAGTGCGATGACCAAAAGCCCTGTCGTCGATGTGTCAAGCGAAACCTCGAGTGTCATTGGCCTCAGGATGAGAGAACACCTGATGCTGCAGACCCACAGGGTAAGGATGTCCACTTCATCTCCAGCGCATATGAAAGAGGGGGGATTGGTAGGAACGCTGGCTGTACCATTCCGCGATACTTAAATCGTAGAAGCTGTTGCTAACGCTGCAATGGCAAAACTAGACCGATCCATGGCGGAGTCTTCTGACTCAGGTGAGCAGGTTGATGATACCGCCATCCCTCACTCACAGGAAGAACCAGCTCCACAGGATTTCTCAGTGGGTCTTATGGACGATTTTTACTCTGCTGCTGAAGAAGTGATTGATCAGGCGTTCCTGGAGAATAACAGGTTACCTTTAATGGTTAATACTAGTCCAAGTATCTTCAGCAGCGACGTTGCGCTTACATATGAGAGCAGAGCCCCAACGAGTACGATTACTTTGGCGGGAATATCAGCCCCGAGCTGGGGTTAACCGAGGCCGACTTGGAGTTTCTAGCATCTCTCAATAATCACGACCTAGCTCATGAACGACCAAACACCACAACTCAATACTCAACTCAGCGCAGTGTCCCCGAAGCTTTGGGGTTGATGGACAAGGAGGCATATCACAACTCCCCTCTGTCCAATTGGACTCCTCGCAGCGAAGACAACGCATACATGGATCAGCAGTATCTATCCGTGCCAAAACATCTCGATCGGTCGATATCATCCGGTAATGCCGAGGCGAGGGTGTTCTCTGAGTGTCTATCAAAGGAAGGTCGCGATAAAGCGTTTTCCATATTCGTTCAGGTATGCCAGCGGCGCGATTTTGGTCGGATGATGCACTATTTTCCGAGTGCAGAGCTCCTTGATAGTCTGATCCAAGACTACTTTCTCCATCAGAGATCTGAGATAGACTCATGGATCCATGAATCCACCATCGACTTGAACCAAGAGAGTCCGGAGATGATTATAGCCCTGGCTGCTGCTGGAGCAGTGCTGTCTCCTGTGAACGCAATTCAACGTTTGGGATATGCTCTACTAGAGATAGCTCGTCTTGAACTGAGTAGCAAGGTAGGCAGGCCATCTGCGTACCGTGAAGAGGGCAATAACAGGCTGACCTTGTCAGTACGAAAATGATAATAGCAACACACGCAATTTGCGTCAGGGACAGGCATATGCTCTGACCTTACAGATTGGGCTGTGGAGTGGTGATAAACGACGCGTCGAAATCGCAGAGAGCTTTGCACAACCCATTCTGACGGTGCGCTTTACGCAATTCCCCATCTCCTCTACCATGCTTAGATGACTGTTTGATGCGGAATGCTAATGACCAAGCAGATGCTGCGCCGAGCTTCCCATTTCCGAAGCGAAGGGTACCCCATCATTACACCCACGGTGGTAGATGATGAAGAAACGCTGAATCAGAAATGGCATCACTGGGTCGAGTCAGAATCCTACAAACGGTAAGCAACCACACGCGCGTGTCATGCTACGGTGCTTTGCCATTGGCTTCATTAGGAATGGTTGCTTATTTCAGTATCTCCATAGAGTCGTGTACCATCTCTTTATCCATGACGTGCAGTCGTCCTTTCGGCTGTCCACGCACGCACTGCTCTCATACGGTGATCTAGAGCTACCCTTCCCTTGTTCCCGCAAGCTGTGGAACGCAAAATCAGCTTCCGAGTGGGGATACATATACCTGCAGGAGTTTCCTCATGCCCCGGAGGCCTTCCCATCCCTTGCAGGTGTCCTGCGAGACCCATCGACACTCGGTCTATTACCCCGTCAGATTGACTTCCCCTTAGCAGCGTTTATCTCAGTGCACGGGATGTCGCTCATGGTAGCCGACTGCAATCGTACGCGCCATAGCCTACACCGTCCATGGACCGGTCTACTCTTTCAGTCATGGCAGCGCGAATTGGAACAAGAGCTAGATCAGTTTAACATCGCGATCGTAGAGCCATTGCATGAATCTGTCCCTGCCGTGTCCCTAATTCATCAAGCTGCCTGTCTCTCTTTGTACCTACCGCTTGGTATACTCGAGAGATATGCAGGAAAGGAAGGTGAGAAACGGTCTGCCGATGTGTACGAGCTCTTTATCCAACACATCAATCCGAGTCATTTACGGCAAGCCGCATGGCATGCAGGTCAGATACTACGCATCGCTAAATATATACCCCCGGGTCTGCTGACTGGGTTCTGCGCCACGTGTTTATACTTCGCCGCGCTTGCTCTTTGGACATACAGCACGGTGACGGCGCCGGAGGGGTCTTCGGGTCGAGACCTTCGGGCTGAATTGGCGGTTCAACACGGTACTTTTTTCTTAGATGGAGAAGGCAGCCCCAGTGGTGCAGTGCGTCGTTTTGTCATTTCCGGTCAAGGAATCCCTGCCCTGTCATCTGGGAATGGTCCCGCTTACCTCGAGAATCAAGCCGCCGTGATGCGCTTGTTCCAGCAGGTATTACGATCGAAATATCCGAGTCAAGCTATCCCTCAACAAGCCCAGACTCTGTATCATGCCTTTTCAGCTCTTGGAAGCATACGGAGAGCAAAGGAACATGAAATCCCGAACAAGAAGCTGCCTCCAGATTAGGTATCGGCAGTGCCTCCGTTCTGGCGCAGAATTTCTCATTTGATCTTATGCTTTGCTTCCTGTTATGCTTCTCCCTGGTGGAGAAATCTGTACTAGCTATGTCATTTATTTGTATTCAGTCGGGTCACACAGATGGCGTTTAGAGGGAGTTTAAGATGCAAGGTGTCAGGTCACCGATCGATCATTTTGCTTTCCGCTAGTAGCTAATTACAACCACATATAACTCACAGACATATATACCCACCCATCCATTACTACTATTCACAAGACATGTATTATCCCTGCGAATACGACGATAGCCCAGCAAATCGCGTATGAAACATCAAACACTATGCACCCGTTGTCGTCCATATAGAGTATAATACACCATTTGCAACCCACGTCAAATATCCCCAATTCATGTGCTTGTAAACGCGAGGGAAAACACTCCACCACGGAACACAAAGAACACAATTTCCTAAGAGGAGGATGACTCAGAAGCTTTCCGCTCTTGTTCTAACATCCATTTGTACCGTTTATATTGTAGTTCCAGCAACATCAACTGCATTTGATAGCCTTGCAGAGTCTCTCCGAGCTCTCGCTCGGCAGGATCCTCGGAACGTGTCAACTCTTCTATCTCTGCGAGACTCCGAGGCGCGACAGACGTTTCTGCCGAGGGTGTTTCTGCGCTCTGATCTTCTGGTACGGTCACGGGGTTGTGGGTCCCGAAGCTTTGTTCGTCAATCTCGGGGTCGGACGCGTCCCGTGGTGGGTAGAGCTCTTTCGGGCGTGGGGTCATGACGTTCTTGGCGTCGCGTATCGGTATTAGGATGCTTCGTGCTAAGCTGCCAAATCTTAGAAGTTTAAAAGCAAGACGGAGATAGTGATTGGGAGTCATAGACACAACCTTTGAGTTAAGAGGGCTTGAGGCAGTTCATGCCAACTTCGACTAAGGGGAAGCCAATGCGGGCCGTGCGAGCTCATGTGATGTGACATGCATTAGGGCCAGGCTGGACATACCCTAAGTATCCCTATAGAGAAAGCCCTTGTCTATTCATTACTCTGGCTGTAGTAAACATGAAAAAAAAAGGTTATGTTCGATCGTGCTTGAACCAATATACAACCATACTTCCCGTTACTAGCGAGTTGGCAGTGGTGGACGAATGTTTCCAAGATCTCGTCATGGATCCAACATGGTCTCACAGCTTGTGCGCAAGGGTGTGAACGAGAGAAGCCGATGAGCATGTTTTTCGCCAAGCAAAGGGCGAACTTTGCCTTACGTTCGGTCTTCACCTACTAAATAGATTACCTGCTGGATGGCTGCATGATCGACACGTACTTCTGTCTTGGCTGCCGGCTGATCTACAACCAACAAAAAGCAGTTCAGCCTACCAGCGCTTACACGAATCCAAGTTCAGATATTGGGCTTTCAGCCTGTCAGAGCCTACGTTGCAGCCTAGTAGGGGTCCAGGAGAGACACCACCCTGAGAGAGAAATCTCTTTGTCCCCTTGTTCAAGTTGACCCTTACAACTATTTAAGCCACCGTCTGGTTTCACCATCTCAACTCTTTCACTTCCCCACTGTCTTCTTTTCTTACCTGAATTCTAATTGAATCATCATTCAGCACTGTCAGCTTTCCAAATGGCCCACCTCCGTGATTCTCTGCTGAGCTCTCTGCCTAGAGACACACTTTCTACCGCAACGATCGACCATGCTCACAGAGATCAGGAAGGTACACGCCAGTCTGTCGCTCGGGGTGAATCCAAAGAGGTTCGAGATATGGCCTTCAGTAACCGGACCTGGATCGTTACCCGCCGATACTGTGCGATATTGGAGATGGTGTAGACTCCCTCGAAGGCCACATTCATCCCCTGTGGTATATGTACTACGAACTTGGCAAAGCAGTCTCCTCGGAATCACCTGAGCATGAGGGACTAGTCCCCGATATCCTCCGCATTCAAGGGATGGGGCCGTTGACTAGACCTGCACGCGGAGTCCATGAGATTGATATCGCAAGAACTGTCGACGGTACACTGTGGAACGATCCTCCCTTCTTGGTTGGCGATATGACCAATTTCTGGATCAATCCCGCTACTCTATGTCGGGAACACACCGTCTCAACTTCACAACATTCCTGGCTAAACTTGCATCCACTCGTGTCGCTAAGGATAGGTTGTGCCAAGTTGCTCTTCTGATCTTCCGTACTCTCTTTGAAAGCCCTCAAGCACTTCGCACCGGCGAAGGGTCAGACGACGAAGACCTCAACTGAGGTACCAAGCAGTTTGAGGTCTTTCATCTGTTACCAGCTGCTGTTGCTTGGCTGAAAATAGCAAGCCACAACCTCCTTTTGCTATCAGAAATGTGTTGGAACGACTTCCCTAGCCACATCAGCAAGGGTAGTGAGAGATTCCTCGATTCGTAGCTTGGACAGCGATCGCCTGCTGGATTCTCGCCATGGAGATACATGTTCTGGCTGAAGTGACTTCATGAGATTCAGGAAGAAGCTAAGGAGGCCAATGAGAAATCCCTGGAGAAGCTTGCCACTGATGGCATCCAGTACATAATCAGCACAGTCAAGCAAAGGAATTCTGAGATACTCAGGGCTTACAAGAATGGTGGCAATGCCCTGCATCAGGATAAGCATCTTTCGTGCCTAAAACCCCTTGCACGCGTTGAGGAGCCAGAATCGTAAAGACTTCGATTAAGTTTTGAGGGAAAACTCGGAAATACCATGTAAACATTCCCCGTCCCTCTCTTTCTTGTTTAACCTTTCAAACACTGTACATAAGTCTTAGAAGCTACATGCATTATATTGTGGGCTGTAAAGTGAAGGTCAACAACTATATATATTCTTTCACGCAGGTGTTCCGGGTAGAAGAGGAAGCAAAAGACAAATAAAATAAACAGCTAAGAACGACAGATAAGGTTGTTTTTACACTAGCCCAGGGTCTCTTCTACCTTCGTTCGATCTTAACTTTTCTTCCTTTCACTAATATGGTTTTCTTTTCTTCGTCATGATAGAAATGGTTGATGAGTCCATCGGATTCGTTTGGTCCGGCCCGGATCCGAAATCCTCGGATCCGGACAACAAATCCGAGCTTGAATATACTCATAGAACATGATACATCTTTTATTTATTTAATATATATATATATATATATATATATATATATTAAACCGTAACAACCCGCTGGGTTAATGACGGTAATTTCCATACCACAGTCTCATCAGGATCCCACAACGAAAATGCACATTCTCATTATTGGTGGTAGCGGCCGGACTGGCCAGCTGACTATTGAAGAGCTTCTTCGTCGAGGTATGTATGTGGCTCTCCTGGTATGATTGATAGTAACTGACCTTCGCAATCAGGACGTCAAGTGACGGCATTGATTCGAAATCCTTCTGCAATTAAACAGCAGATTGGCCTGAAACTTGTACAAGGTAAGCTGGGTCACCGTTGGCATACCGTGACATGTGCTAGTGGAAGCTAAGTCATACGTAGGGACTCCCACAAGCAGAGATGATGTGAGGGCCGCATTCCAAGTCCATGTGCCGGACGTGGTTATCGTAACCCTCAGTGCCCCTCGCGCTTCTGACAGCCCATTTGCTGCTCCGATTTCACCGCCACGTCTCATGGCCGACTGCAATGCTAATGTCGTCTCGGCAATGAAAGAATTTGGGGTTAGGAAGGTGGTCATTCTGCAAGCATTTGGCGTGGGGGATTCCTGGAAGAACATGAATTGCGTGTTGCAGCTATTGATGAAGAAGTCCAACATGATTTACCAGTACGAGGACCACAACCACACTGACCGGGACGTACGAGCAAGCGGTGTCGACTTTGTCCTTGTCCGTCCGTCACGATTGGTGGACACCGACGCCCAGGAGGTAAAGCTCTGGCAGCAAGATGGGAAGGGGGTTCCATTGATGGCCAGCATAAGTCGTGTAAGCGTCGCTTGCTGGCTGGTGGATGCCGCTGAAAGGAACGACTGGGACAATACTGCCCCAGTGATTACGAATTAAGGAGCCATCTAGGTGTGGCTAGACGAGACTTCGACGATCTCGACATCAGTGTGGCTTGTGCTTCTATTTGTGTCTTCGGAGTTTCTACAGTCCACCGCGATACGATGTATACATATACTACAGCCAATAATCAATATCCTGCTCCTGCAGCATGTTTCATTTTGTTTTATCGATAGCATCAATGATGAATGATGTTTTCTTTCGGCATATTCTGTAAAAGAGACTAGCCCGCCTTCACAAGCTACTGTTAGTATGTATTATAATGCTTTAAGCTGCGCGCAGAGCATATCGGCTTTACCCGTTGAAACCAGCTGTTCTCCCTGTACATTTCACCTAATACAGTATTTTTCTATAGCGGTAGTAAAGACTACCAACAACCCAATCTTAAAAGAGATATAGTTATCTTTATAGTATTCTTGTAATAAATGAGTCCCCCTAGGTGACCATGCGATTAACTAGGCTAAAACGACCTACTATGACAAGCCCCTTGCAGCTTGAATTTGTGTTAAGTTGCACATATAATGTGTATTACTATTGCCGTGCCCGAGTACGAACAGCAAGCAGCTTACAGAAACTCCAAACATCACATTCAACGCCTTCACAGTTCCTGGAATCGCTACCATTCTCGTTGAACGGATCGTGTTTGAGGTTGTTCAATCGTGTCCGTAGGAGGGACAAGTCCTGGCGTGTGTCCTCCTGCATCTTCCTAATCGCCAAACAGTATACTGAGCATGTAGAGCGGCTATAATCCGGCATGACGTCCCCTCCGGATCCGTGATTCACTAATCCTAGGAGTCCATATATCTTGTCCCGAGGATTTGTTGCCAAGGAATGTTCAGAAAAACAGACTAACGTCCCGAGAGATTTTGCATGCTCTTCTTCTTCCAGAGCTCAATTAATTTTCTGCAGTTACTGTTCAGAAAAGCCTGTCCCTCCCGGTTAAAATCAATGTTGTCTCGTTCGAGAGATCTCAGAATTCCTTCCAGACACTCAACAAACTCAGGCCAGGCAGCTGTCCCACTTCCTGACATGAGAAGGATCCACTTTGCCACCATAATTTCGTGGATGACCCAAACCCGAGACCAGTACGGCGCTGATGCCGAAGAAGACGAGTTAATTTCTGTGTCTTTACCCAACCATACTATGACCTCGTTGGTCATACCAAATATGTCCTTCATCATAGAAACCTGTTGGCATCGCTCAGATATGTCATTCTGATTAATGCAGATCAGATCAATCCACAGGAGGCTGGGACACTCCCCTTGGTTCTGAAGCTGTTGTATAGCGTCGTGGAGGTTTTGTGTTACTGGGAAGAGGGATCCATTCAGAAGAATCCAGTCCTTTTGATAGGAGACACCCCAGGTATAGGAAAGGGCTCTATAAGTAGTTTTATCATCACCTCCGGACCTTGTTGTACGGTATACGATAGTGGAGTTTGTCCAAAAATGTCGGTCGTGTCTGGGTCAGCGCCATGTGTCATCAGAAGTCTGAGCACACCCTCGTACCCTCTCTCAGCTGCATATGATAGTGGTGTCCGCCCGAGGATATTATCAGAGGTGCGTTTAGCAAATGCATCAAGTAGTAGATTTCTTTCGGCATAATCCCATTGCGCGAACCTCGATAATAGTGGTTTGGTTTCCAGCTTATCACGTAAGTCTGCTTCAGCCCCTTTCTCAAGTAATAGCTTTACTACAGCCTCATGCCCTTCCTCCGCCGCATATGATAGGGGCTTCGCGTTTTGCCTAGCAAATACAAACATATTGAACAAGAAGTGCAGCATAGTGATCCACACAAAAAGAAAAGAAAAAAAAAAAAAAGAAAAGAAAAAGAAAAAGAAAAAGAAAAAGACTGGAATGTTCTCGATCTAGCGCCACCAGCAATAGAGAAACAGGCAGGAGAGATAGAGAAAGTCACTGATATTGTGGGAGGCCCATTTACGGAGCCCATTTCTGAGGCAAATATACATGGTACCCGGTGCCCTAAAGGTACACGATCCATTCGCAACCTCCAAGATCATGTTGCGAGAGATACATTTACTGGAATGTCTGTAGAACCTCATCCCGATGCTTCTCAAGATACTCCGAGAATGTGGTCAGACGAATCGGGTATTTCTGCAGTCCCTTGAAGTCGACGTGATACCCAACTTCATTCGTCCATAATTGGGCATGGAGCACCGGGTTTCTCACGGCTAGATCTTTGGCTTCCTTGTCATCATAGAATTGGAGAGCGATGTGTTTCCCACTAACTCGACTCAGCTCCTTGACGATCTCAGCCGGGGTTAGAGATTCGACACCCAAGTCGACTTCATGTCTGTTAAATGCCCCAGGTTCAGCAATCGCAGCCGCCGCGAATTTCCCGACATCACCCGGATCTAGCATCGTCATAGCCGTGCTGGGCTTGTATGCCGTCAGAAAAGTTCGATTCTGAGCCAATGCAGGAAACATAAAGGAAGCCGCCGGCTGGTGGTAGTTGTGCATAAGAAATGCAGGCCGAAGGATGGTCCAGTATTCGATGCCGGATTCTCGCACCATTGACTCAATCTGCGCTTTGTTGTGCCAATACCACGCCTGGGGATAACTTGGGCCCCAGGTTGGAAAGCTTTCATGCTTTCCCGTCATGGTAACGCTGGAATAAACGATCGTGGTGACGGTGCCGGATGCAAGAGCAGTGTCAATGATATTCTTTGCGTGGATCACCTCTCGTCTGGTGTCAACCATTGTGGGTGATACATTCAGAAAGACAGCCGTAACCCCTTCCACTGCGGCCTTTAGAGATGATAGATCGTCGAAATCGCCCGGGAACAACTGCACTCCCAAGCGCTGGAGGTCAAGGGCGGATCTGGACAACGGATCCCGGACCAGCGCATGAACCTTGATTCCGGCATGCAACAGTTCACGGGCAGTAGCACCACCTTGGTGGCCCGTTGCTCCTGCAACAAATGCGATTGTGTCATTCATCTTGGGAGGTTTCGGGATATATGAGCAGTGATTAAGTAACGTAACAAGGTAAGTTGATCCTGATAGGATTTCTTTGGGCAGAGGCGAGGAGGATTGAAGAGGAGTGAACCCCTTTTAAGCACTTCATTTCATACCATGGGGACATGAATTCATAACTATGACTGAAAAAGGCAGGCAGCTCGAGGATGTGGAGTCGCGAAAACGGGTCCCGTAAAGTGGATACCCATCTGGTAAGATACTATTCCCGATCCAGTAGGCAGCTCGACCGGGAAACTTTGGTAAATACCGATATCAACTAAAATAACTAGTCCCGGCGGGGTGGTCTTAAGTTGATTACTAAACAGTTGATGAACATCTGAACTCATACTGACTGGTATTTCTTCTCAAATTCAGCCCTAACGTTGTGATATCCATAACCCAATATGGTCTATTGTGGGAAGCCCAGCAGAGCATGCTTAGATTGTCGAGTCAAGAGAAGAAAGGTATCCTATCGAATAATCGATCTGGTTTTGATATTGTCTGTAGTGAGCTAATCTGAGGGCGAGTACAAGTGCGATTTATCAAGACCCGCTTGTCGTCAGTGTGTCAAGGCCGGTTCCAGATGTGATGGATACCGAGATCAGGATTCCCTTATAATACGAGATCAAACAGCGGAGATCATGGGCAAAGTTCAACCTTTTCCCGACAATAGCCCGTCTCTTGTTTCGCCCCATGGCAACCAGGCAGTCCCGGTAAGATCCGAACGATCTCAACAGACAGTGGTCGATCAGTCTAAGGGCCCACCGGTTTATCATCCTTGGTTGGGAATTGTGGTGCCCCTCGAGCATCAAGCTCTACATTTCTATTTCCATCATTATGCTGCAAATAGATCTGGGCCGACTCCCAATCACCCGGATTGTCTCGCGATAATATACGCGCGCGCGACAGGGCCCGGATACTTGGCTCATCTCATCAATGCGGTGGGATTGGTAAGCCTCGCGTATCAGAAGAAGGCGCCCGCTTTGTCTCATGAGGCGAACCGGGCGTATTCTTGGGCACTTCGTGATATACGTACGGCACTCACTGACCCTATCGAAGCAGCCTCCGACCAGATGTTGGTCGCCGTGATGCTTCTAGTGTTATATGAAGTAAGCCTCTTAGGACCCACAAACCCTACACATGATAATAATCTTCGTTAGACAGTGAGTGGCGATTCTGAGAACAGCCTGCGTTCGTGGGACAGACATGTGGATGGTGCCTTGACATTGGTGCAGCTCCGTGGAGCCAGCCAGCTACGCAACAGGATCGGTCGAAGCATTTTTCTCAACTTGCGCACTGAAATTGTAGGTTATCTTTTTGAAAACTGTATGCTTAGTCGTCTTTCTGACGAGCTGACAGCTCATCAACTGTCTTCAACGCAGGTTGCGGGTTCCAATTACATTGATCAATTGGATGAGTGAGGCTCGAAATTTTGAAACCGCACAAGAGGCACCTGCTGGTAGCTTAGCAGACTTGATTGTCAATGCCTGCGCCGTTCTTGCATCTGCCAAGGATGAAGTCATGGATAAGGCGAATTTATCTCGCTATATTGCAACACTATTGTCTATTGATAAAGATCTGGAGCGCTGGACACAAGATCTCCCAGTTCACTATGAATTTAAGACCTTAACACCCCCTGATGAGACGGAAGAACTTTATTTGGGACGATGCGATATTTACTCTGGTGCTGAGATGGTCTACACCTGGAATTTGCAGCGCTGTGCACGTATTATACTTCGCCAGGCACTCGTGAGGGCGTTATCCCTTCACTTCAGCTCACTATCCCCACCGTCGGCGTCCTTTCCCTTATCATACAGGCACCTACTCCGTACTTCGGACGCTCTTATACAGGAGACCTCCAGCGAAATATGCTACAGCCTTCCATACATCCTACATATCTATGACAAGCCAGGTAAACCGGGCGATTTGAGAGCTGCTTCCATTTTACCATTGTTATGGCCGCTTTACATTGCTGGAACAGCACATACTGCGCCCGATACTCTACGTGAATGGGTTATAGCACAGATGCAAAAGATTGAAGAGGTCACTGGAGTTCAACAAGCGAAGTTTGTGGCCCTGGATTTAGAAAGGAGGTGCTTGTTCCCTCATTTACTGTAGAAATCATCCACAACTATTTAGGATTCCCCCCTTTCGAACTATCGCTTTAACACCTCGCTGAATTGCGCTCTTCGCATTACTGTGTATGAATAATGTTTTGACTATCTTTTTCTATTGGATATACGAACCTCAAATATTGTAGATATTGGGCTCTCTTAAAATAACCTAAATGAGGGGTAGCCCCTATCCTCCCTATTGAGCCAGGCGGATACTATAGCATGAAGCAATGTATTTTGGCTTTTCAAATCCATGAGTTACGCTATACAACCAAACGCTTCTCTCGGGTTCATGTTCACGCTTCATCCTTTGTTACAACCGCTGATGGAATTGGAACCAAGTCGCACAACATTGTTCTCCGGTATGATGTCAAAGCTATCAGCACTGGATTTGCTATTTATCGCCTCCGATGCCCGACATCAAGACTTGGAAATGCTCCCGCATTCCAACAACTCTATCAGAATATGGGATGAGCGGAGATTCGACTTGGCCCCGTGGACCATCTTCATTATGGCCTGACCATGACGAAAGGCTATGGAGAGACAGAGTTAGTGCCAACTCCAGTAGAGTTCGGCTATTCTATATATTCAGCTGTTAAAGAAAATTGCTAGCTGGATCTTGTTAATAACGCTTGGGCTATAGATAAAGTTGTGTTAGCTGTGGCCTGTTATAGATTTGCTAATAAAAGGGTGTTGAGATCTGGAATACAGTTGGGCATGACTAAAAAACACAAAGCTACCCTTAGTAAGATCCAGGATTTTACTAGATTGTGCGTATCTAGATCACATTACAGGATTTACCTCGCGCATTAAGAAATAATCAATGACTAGAGATTTGCTTATAGTATTCTCGATATATCAGCCATTAATGGGTGGGTCCTGGACCAACTTTAACCAAGGCTATGATTGGTCCCAGTACACATGGCTAACTGTATATGTGATAATCAATCTTGGCAAGAAGACCTCAAGAGGGTTTAGGAGCCAAGCGTAAGCCTTCCAATGGTCTAAATCCCACGGACGCGTCCAAACAACATGCCGTGTGCCCTAGTTGGCTTTGGATGGGCTGTATATCTCAAACCAAATAAACGTGCAACACAACTGACCAAATCAGAGATTAACTTAAAACATACAAGGAATTTGGGAAATAACTATTTATAGAAACAGCTTGGGGGCCGAATCTCAACGTCCGCCTCCTGACTTGGCGTCAAATCAATGCTTGCGTGATGAATGATCTCTCATGCGAGCTGATATGTCCGAGATGGTAGCTACCTCCATACAGGGCCCAGTGGAAGGTCCGAATGGCACTCAGCCCCGGAAGCGGCCACGACCGGTAATTTCTTGCCTGCGATGCAGAGAGAAGAAACTGAAATGTGATCGAGTCACGCCGTGCGAGAATTGTGCCAAAGCTGGATGCCCTGCGGGCTGCGTCTACAACCAAGGTTCCAATTCAGTGTCTAAGGCGAAGCGCGTCCGCCTCTCCTCCACTACTTTCGATCAGCAAGGTGCACCGCGGGGCGAGTCTGGAGGTGGTGCAGGGATAGGGATCATCGAAGACCTGCAGCAACGAGTCCTCAGATTAGAAGAGCGACTCAGCCTTGGGTCACGTGTAGCCAACACGGACCTGGATGAAGATGCCTCAGTCCTTCAAATTAGGTGATAGACACATAGCAAACAGAATTGATTCCTCCTGCCACTAAAGGCTAACTTGGTGGATAGCAATGACCCGCGACCTTGCGAAGCCATTTCCGAATCAGAAATTCCACGACCATTTCTCGGCACTTTAGTTGTTAAGGGAACGCGAACACGTTATCATGGACATAATAACAGGATTAGCCTTCTGAACCAGGTAGCTTGGACTGCCGTTGACTCGGCATATTGTGGCAGCAGCCTGACTGATATTTCTCACAGTTCCCCCAAGCCAAGGAGTTCATTGCTCAGTGCAGTGAGAACTCGACTATTGTCGGCCTTGCTCGAGAAGTGCAGTTCCTTCAAGGAAAATTGCCACGCCAGTTGGATTCACCAGCATCAACTGTGGATGGTGAAAGCTCGCCTGAGTTGGTACAGCTTCGCGTGTCTCTTCCAGCGAAAAGCATATGTGACCGTCTGCTACGGACATACACCGATAACTTCGAGAAGATATTCCGGATTATACACGTTCCCTCGTTTCTTCGCGAGTACGCGCAGTTCTGGACCGAGCCCGATCATGAATTGTACCGGTCCTCTGCATTCATACCACAGCTTACGGCGATATGCACCATATCACTTGCGTTGGATGGTCAACGTACGAAAATGAACGATTCCGACCTATGGCAGTACTTGAACGGGCCGGCAATCACATTGATCCAACTTTGGCTTCAGAACCTGACTCGTAAGCGGCGAACGGAGCTCGCAACACTCCAAGTCGAGACGCTCATTCTACTGAGTCGTCGTCTGCGGCTTGTGCCCCCCGAAGAGCTGTGGAAAGCCACAGGCACCCTGATCCGCTCGGCGATGGTAATGGGTCTACATCTGAATCTGGCGAGGTGTACCGAGCTTTCCGTCTTTCAGGCACAGGTCCGGCGTCGACTGTGGATCACGATCGTGGAGATGGATCTTGAAGCGTCTATCGCTTGTGGCATGCCGGTGATGACGTCCCCACACGATGTCGGACCGCCACCGGCTAACATCAATGATTCTGACTTCGATGAATCCACATCCGAGCTACCACCCGCGAAGGGACTATCTGACCTGACAGATTCGCTTTATCAGGTTTCGTTAGCGACTTCTCTAGCCGACCGCCTACGGGCAATGTCTGTAGTAAGAATGGCCCGAGAGCAGACTGATTTGGACGAACTGGTCCAGCAGGGAGGCAGGATTGTAGAGCATCTTCGGCAGATACCGCGCCTACTGAAGCTGGGGGAGGCTCACATGGACGAGAATGATCCGGCAATGCTGCTCAATTGTGTTCTACTGGATGTTTATACGCGTAGGCCTCTCCTGTGTCTTTATCGGCCGGTCGTGCTTGGAGAACCTCGCGACGATCCGGTTTTCCCGGAGATCTGCCGGATTAGCTTGGAGTCATCCCTCGCCATCTTGTCTTATCAGGATAATTTTGACCCGAGCGTAGCCGATCCAGAGGTGTGCAATCTGGGCGCATACTGGGACCTGTTCCAGATTTTCTGCAAAAATGATATTCTATGGGACGCCCTTAGCGTATGTGGATACATCAAGCAGTCCAGCCAAAGAAGCATCTTCGACTCTCGGCAATCAGGTCGTGTAGCTCTCGGAAGCTCGATGCATAACAAAGCAAGCCTGACACGAATTGTTGAAAATACCTTGGATAGTTTAACCGCAAGGATCAGCGAAGCAGGCAGTAATCTCAAGGATATTTTGCTTCTTGCAGTTGTTCTGCAATCCGTCCGCGTGCGCGGCGCGACCCAGGCCCAAGAAGAACGGATGTCGCAAGGAGCAAGTAAGGCCTTGTCTGCTTGTCGACAGCACTTACTTCCCGCGGTGGCGGAGGGCTCCTTCGGATTAAACCTCACTGATTTCGCCCAAATGGTAGGATTCATAGCTAAACCCTTCCCACCAGATGACTCCTAGTAACATGCCAATAGCTTCCAACTACCCAACCGATGTTTACGCCCGATGGCCAGGGCTCATTTACCCCGTCTACTCAGCTCCATCTACCCGAGGACTTTCTTGCACAGTCATCAGCACTGGCCATGGAGTTCGGTAATTTTCACGGGGACCCGTTCATCTTTGGGGATGATTCCTTCACATGGAATGTATAATCTATGATATATTCTTGTGATGTCCATATCCGTTAGTTCTATATTCTCGGAAGTAGCCTATGCAAATACATCGACTGTATGGCAGATGCCTGGCCGGTTCCAGTCTTTCTAGCGCTATGTAGTTTTGTCGTTCTTCAGCTTTTGCTCTTATCACTACCCTAGTGGTCACGTGGGATGTAATCCTGCTGGGCTTCCTTACGCTTATGGATATGAAGATATGTATGTGTATTTTATATACGAAATGAACCGACAATTATTCGTCTACCGATCTAAACGTTGAATTTAGCTCAGCTTCGTGAGGGAGGAACTGGTTTAAAGTACAATATCGGATCCGAGTTCGGATCCGAATGACTATCAAATCCGAAATGGATCTGCGGCTGACATCTTCGGCGACTCGTGAGTCATCCACATATAACGTGAGATGTTCAAGGCTATTTTGTGAGGATATAAAGAGATACTGACTTCTAACGTAACCGCTGTAAACAGTACCAACATCAAACAAACAATCACTACAAAGAAGTCTGGCTTTGCGAGACACCATGTCGACCCCAGAGAACGTTGCCATCATTGGTGCAGGCCTTTCAGGTTTGACTCTCGCTCTTGCTCTCCATCGCCAGTCCATTCCATGTACAATTTACGAGGCCCGATCTGCCCCGTTAGACATTGGCGGTGCTATCATGCTCTCTCCCAATGCACTCCGCATCCTCGATATACTCGGGGTATACCAGCGTATTCGACCAGAGGGATTTGAGTTCGATCACTTGTACTTTCGTTCTCCCGACAACGAATTGATCGATTGCTTTGAGTTTGGACACATAAAATATGGTTATCATGGTTTGCGGATCTATCGACATGTCCTCATCAAGGAGCTCTCAGAAATGGTGGCCGAAGCCAACATCCCCGTTCACTACAACAAGAAATTCCTACATGTCATTTCTGAAACCTCGTCGGAGGTCACCTGGCAGTTTGAGGATGACACCACGGCGACAGCAACCTGCCTCGTGGGCGCGGATGGAATTCATTCCCGGGTCCGGAAATATCTCTATCCAGACCTAGAACCACGATTTACAAACGCGGTTGGGGTGACCGCTGCTGTTCCTACTAGTCAGCTGGAAGCCCCCGATGAATATGAGTTGCCCGTCACGATCATGAACCCGAAGCACGGTGCTTTTGTAATCGCACCCCAGCTCAAGGATGGATCCGAGGTCTTGATCGGCAGACAGAAGCATGCCACGCAATTAGGACAAGAGGGCTGGGACCGACTCCTGAATGACAAACAATGGTGTATTGATTTTCTCCGTGACGGAGCCAGTGACTTTCCAGAGATTGTGCAGCGAGCGGTGTCGCAGATCTCTCCGGCCAAAATCAACCTCTGGCCTTTTCATGTTGTCCCTAAGCTGGACCGATGGAGCTCTCACCTCTGCCGAGTAATTATCTTAGGCGATTCTGCGCACGCTATTCCGCCCACTGCGGGGCAGGGGGTTAATCAGGCCTTTGAAGATGTCTATACGTACTCGTTGGTTCTGGCTAGGAAGAAACGGGATGTGTCGCTAGAGCAGGCTCTAACGCTGTGGCAGCAGGGAAGACAAGCGCGAGTCGACAAGGTGCTGGAGCTTAATGCGCGAATTGACACGCGTCGTATGCCGAAACAGAATGGAAATAATGATTCAGATGTGCACGAAGCGTTTGACTTAGAATGGTTATATAGTCCCGATTTTGACGCAATGGTGGACGAATGGCAGCAAACACTCGAGCCCCTTTCATAGTCATGTTGTTGAGACTTCTCAGTCTGTTTTTCTATTGCTTACGTTTTCCATACGAGTACTTGTAAGTAGACGATCTAATATGACACTATCATGACTCAGCAAGGCCAAAATTACCTTGGAAAATACCTATTAGGGAAAAAGCACCCATGTAAGAGGGCCGTTTCCCTGTGCCCTCTTCAAGAAGATCCACGACATAGTCCGATTTGAAACCAAACCGCTCGTGTATGCGGATTATGAGACCGGCTTCTACTGTACACGAGGGTTCAAACATGAATACTCCTCTGATCTGATAGTGATGCTGCACTGGCCGTCAGCAACTGCTCAGGGGAATACCTCCCAGGCAAGTTCCGAACTACACTTGTAGGAGGGAGGAGCCTCTAGGTAATGCCATATTCAGGTCCAAGCACTTCGTAACATCCACTACTCGTTGCAATTGTGTAACGTACATCCGAGCTCATCGTGACGAGGCTGGTTGGGCTATAAACCTGCGCAATCCACAAAGCGCTGGGAATGAGGGAGGGGAAGCGTTTCTGGAGTGGGGAAAAACCGGTTATGTCTCTGCATTTGATTACGATGAAGCCCTAAAGTCGAGGATGATTCTAAACACTAACTGAGACCCAGCTTGGTTACATTCGGTTCCTCCGAAAGCCTTCCCCGGATTCCGATGATAGATGTATCACAGTAAGAAAGCCAAGATATCATAGATTCCTTTGGAAAACCCAACATTCTCTTCTAGCACGTTGACCATCAACTTTGCTTCATGCAACAATGATGCCAGTCTCTCCTGGCAATAGTCAAAAGATCCTGTGGACCGAATATATTCCACGGCGTATTTCTTCACGGACTCCTCCTCACTCCTCTGTCGAAGGATATTGAGCAGCTGTTGATTATCTGGGTTACTATTAATGCTGTGGATAATTAGAAAAGAAAATTTTCCTTCTGTGAGGTCTTCACAAAAGCCTTTGTTTTTGCTATACAAGTCACTTTGCAGATTCTGATAGTCGTCACGGATCTGAAAGATGACACCCAAAAGGTCGACAAGCCCGAGGAAATCGCTGCTCCAGTCAGCAATTCTGGCAGTGCACTGAAACGGTTGTAAAGCCCCACCTTGAAATCTCACTTTCCAGCTGCATTAGCTTGATTGCCAGCCGGAAGAGACCGCCAGTTTTGTTCGAAATCATTTCGATGTACTCTTCTTCTGTGGGGCAGGTCAGGGAGTCTCGCCAATATAGATCCATGCCCTGACCCCGATGTAAACGGAGTAGCTCTTCAGTAAAGATTTCGTACGCCTTGGGGCGGTTGAGCTCTCTGAGCTTCTCCTGCGCGGCGAAGTAGGCGTAGTTCGCGGAGTTAATAGTTTGCGCGACACCGAATATCGAATGAGCCACTGGTATCCCTCGTCGCAGTTTGGACGAATCTTGAATGTCATCGATCCTGCAAGTAATCGGATACGGCGGACAAAATTAGCAGGAATGCGACTGACAGGTCATACTATCTCTCTTTAGGGGATAAGGAGAGGGGGTTGGCGTACAAGAGAGACGCGGTGTGTAGTAAACCAACAATCTCTGCGATGATGTTTAACCTGTCTTCTGGAATTCTTAACCATTCATTGAAGGCTTGCATGAGCTTGCGACGAATATCTTTTCCGGGACATTTCAATAGATAGTCAACAGGCCCCCGAATAATCTACATGCGTCCATCAGTTTTCGCTTTTTCAGAAGCAAGAGGCAGGTATATGTACCTTCTCTTTGTCAACCGAAGTAGACGTGGAGCCCTGGAGAGATGGACCGCTTGTATCTATAGGCTCGGAGGACAATGAACTCGGGGTGGGATAGCTTGCATCCAGGTTTGAAGAGAAAGAGGACGCAACAAGCTTCCAGCGATCAGGCACACCTGAAATCATTTCACTGAAGTCAGGGTTCTGCAAGGAGGATATGTAGCAAATGAGACGAATTCTTGAAAGACGGGATTAAAGGTAAGTAGGGTTACAGGAATACGGTATGCTTCAGACCTTTGGATGAAGGATGGTAGAATCTTATATGTAAGGGCCATGTGGGGTGGATTAAGGAGGAAGCGCAAGGCAAGATTACACCGTCACCCCCGTTGTTAGGAGGCTACTATTTCTTTTACGACTGGATCAGATATGGGGAACCCTACAGGCTATGTCCAGTCTGCATATTCTTGGCCCAAGGGTCATTCAGGTGGACTGCGGTTGATGGGCTCTCCTGGTCTGGTCATCAGCTGTATCGAACAGGTGACAGGATACTTGACGCCTTTGGCTCTAGCTAATAGCTCAACATATGCGTGCACGGTCAGCCTCATTTTCATGTTCTACCAAGTGTCCCCTTGAGCATGGTTCGCATGGCTCGGTTGAAATTGCTGGTTTTGAGCTCGAACAGCCTTGTTGAATGCCCTCTAAGTGGCAATGGAACGGAGGTGATTTAAGTTATGGAAGACAATAAAATACAATTGACTAATTAAGTGCCTAATATTGATAGACTAAAGCGCAGAAGCACATATTCTCACTATCTCCGTACTGTCGCATCTAGTTACTAGTAACATTGCTGTATTCCCACTCATTTGTCGCTCTTCATGTCCATCTTCTCATTTCGTCCCCAGAGTGCGAGCCAGTCCTGGATAGAAATTGCTGATTTTTTCATTTCTGTGAGGCATATATTTCGGACTTGATCACTCTGAATCACTCGCAGCGCTTGTCGGATATTATGTGGCGATCGAAACTCCAATGCTCGTACCACGCAATGTCCTTTAGAAGCATTCAAGGCGACAACAATTGGGTAAGTAAGCTCGCCGTTGCGTAGGTCTTCGGCAATGGCTCCTTTGGCTTTTGCATAGTCAGAGGAGTACACGTTTTTGCAATCATTTTGTAATTGGGAATACCATCTAGGGAGGCGACGAGTTAATGCGATACTCTCATAGCACTGGCTCTCTTGATCAACTCACGCTACGGTGCTTAACGTATCATCGTAGGTTCGATTCTCTAGTACGAGCTGTCCGACTAGGCGGAAGAGGGCACCTGTCTTCAAATATGCCATTTGGCGATATGCCGCTACTCGCTCCTCTGGCTGAACGGGAAAGGCAGAGAGACCGTCCCGCCGCCAAACAAGTGAGAGGTCTTGCCCTTCTAGTATCTCTTCGAGGCATTGCAGCAGCCATGGCGCAAGCTCTGGGAAGTCGTGCACCGTGCGATTCAGTAGTTGGGTTACCCGGTAGTACGCTCGGTTTGCAGTCTCCGAGGGACCATAGATGTGATGGGCAGCAGGGCGTCCTTTTCGATAG